TACGTAAAAAAAAAAAAAAGATGCGACCAGGCTCAATTAATCAAGACGTGTCCGTTTCGCGGATGATCGCGCTCTTGGACGTGTCTCGCGCGTAAAGCGCGTAAAGGCCGTGAACGCACGAGCCAGGGTTCAATGTACCACCAGATATTCATCATGAGACCCACCACGCTTTGAGACTTTGACCCATTCCAGCGACCAAGCCCCATCCTCCAATTCATGATAACCACTCTTTGTTGTTTCGTGTCAGGCCGTTGAATAGACCATATCTGTGCAAGTACATGACGCATCTTCATAGCCATTGATTCACAAGCTACGCGTAAATTATCAAGCTCGCTAATGCAACCTCTTGACGAGGGCCGCCATAACTATGGCCAGTAGTGTTTCAGCATAATACAACAGCTACCTTTCACAAAATCACCTACACGGTCTTGCACAACTCTCCTCGTTATGCAAAGTCCAAGACAGTGGTCAGGTACATTGTTCAAGCTTTCTCGTTTCCGTGGACAAGGTATGTCACTCCGTCACTCCGGATTGACCCATGTTCCAACACGGTCTTACTCACAACATTGATGCCCAGTAGTATTCAACATGACTTGTGTAAGATTCAAGAAGTTTAGTGAACCCAAGGTACTTTAGGAAAACATCAGAACTACATCAATATCTGTTCCTCGTTCTCCTTGAGCGATGTTGAAGAACCGACCGGGGTTTTACCGTAGACAGCTACCAAAAATCATTGTAGACAATTCAAGCTTCAAGATCCCGTCCTTGGCATCTGCCATTTCCCATTACAACACTTGAACGAGGCCTTGTGCCTCTCTTTTCTTGCTTTTTGTCATAGGAACTGTCACAATGCCCCGTCCAAATTCGAGCATTCCCAATTGGCTTCTTCCACGCCATCTCTATCGACACATCCTACGAGAGACATCCTATCTGCCTCCAGCAATTCGGGCGACTATCACAACAGAAATTTCCTCTAGATTTCATCGTCACCGCGGAAATGACCCTCATAGCGACAAACATCGTGCGAGGGCTGCGAATGTGTTACGCAAGTTGAGAGCGGCGAACAGCGGACATAAAAAGTGGATGGAAGAATTTATGATGCACGCTTTTGCCAGGAAGGGCGCTCGAAGACGAAACCTGATGTCGGAGTTTCTACGACCTCAGCCTCTCAACGACAGCGAGACTTTGGAAGCGAAGATCCAACAGGTACAGACAGACCAACCGCCCGTCGATGAAGTAGTTGCCAAACTAGCCGAAACCACAATAAAGAACGACTCTCCATCGGAAGAGAATGGGACGAAAAAAGAAGATACAGAAGCTGCCAGCGACACCAAAAGCGATAGGAAAGAACCAGCGCAGAAGAAGACTCTTGTGAGACGGGGGCCGAAGCCTCTCCAGCCTACGTTTTATCACAAATGGGACGTACAAAAAATCAACAAGCTATTATCTTCTCAGAGAGTGCAGCAAAAGTCGGCAGACATGTCTTGGCCCAAGACCGATATTAAAAATCTGAATCCCGACAATGACATACCAAAAACAAATATATGGGGGAAACCAACCCCCGAAAGGGTCATCCAAGCCAGAAGAGCAAGCTTTTGGAAGCGTTCGATTCCTAAAGCCATGCCTCCACTCCACGTTGATGAATGGGAATTCCTTGGTCAGCTAGCGAATGGCGCCCAGGAAGAAGGACAGTGGAAAATGCCAGAGAGGAGACCAGCTGCGAAGCCTGTACGAGATGTCACGAATAAGTCGAAGCCAAAGTCGTCAACTCTGGATTGGAACTGGGAGAGCCACGCCACTTATCCTACTAGCAGAGTCGAGCGTGTAAACAAACTTGCGCTGTTTGCGAATGTTGGGCCAGACAAAACCGATCATCCATACCATCTACAGTTCGATCCGAAGCAACTCACACCAAGATGGTTCCGCCGCGCTTATCAGAGAGTCTGGCAACTCTCAGCTAAGAGAGAAGAAATACCAGCGACAGGAAAGAGTGTTTATGTTTGGGGCTCTTTCAATCCTGGTGTAACCGCTCCTACCGAAAGACAACTTGAAATTTTCGAGGGCGTCAACAACAAGGGTCAAAAGCCAAAACGCCGAACTCCTACAACACTAACACCCGAGCCCGACGTTGCCTCTTAGAATCTTTGGCAAATCAAAAGCAACTTTAATGTTGAGATAAGAGTATTGAACTTTCTTTATTGAATATCAGTCCGTCAAGTTGGCCAACTTGTTCAGGCCCTCGTTGTCTACTCGCATGCCGACCCAGTCGTTCATAGGGTAAGCGCCGATACTCTCATAAAACTTGATGCTGGGTTCGTTCCACTTGAGAACAACCCAATCAAGTCGAGCTCCGTCAATGGCAAGGACTTGCTTGGCCAGTGTGCTCAACAACTTCTTGCCATAACCCTTGCCGCGCTCCGAATCTCGGACGTACAAGTCCTCAAGATAAATGCCTGCGCGCGAGCGCCACGTGCTATAGTTGTAGAAGTACAACGCCATGCCGACGGCTTGGCCTTCAGGCGAAATGAGGAGGAGACACCGGGCAGGCTTTGTTGGCGAGATGGGTTCAGTGGCTGGGATAACGGAGGCGTCGACATTGGGGGAGTCGGATGGCGCGAAGGCGATCGTGGCCTGTAGGGTCTCAACGGTGGCCTTATTGGCGTCAGGCTCCTTCTCGTAATCGGCGAGCTCCTGAATGAGCTGGAGAATTACGGGAGCATCTATGATAGAGCTCTGGTCAGCATCATGACTCGTCTCCAGAACCAATGTTGGAACTTACCCTCCCGGCGTGCATGTCGAATTGTAGCCATTGGATATGTATATTAGAGACTTGATTGTATAAACTGTCGTGAGATACCCCTTGAAGTAGAATAAACTTGTAAGAAAGGATATCAAGATTCCTCGAGAAATCGCAGGGAGTACTTTATCTTTATGATGTCGTTGGCGCTTTGGTGGGGTTGATGGGGAAATTATTTAGTGAAGGGCGCGCCCAGAGGAGGGGCAGTTGTGGAAGCTGAACGGAATAGGCATAGCGGAGGGTATACACGTCGGGTACCTAACTGCCGATGAACCGGTGTAAGTCGATAGTACAGCAATTTCTCAATGCTCCATATCTTTTGTCTGAGTAGAAGAACCTTGGACCCTTTCATCTCAATAAACAGAAATAGGACAGTATCCCGGTTCTTTGTGTATATGGTGACGATGGTAGCACATAGAGCGTGGCTAGGAAACACCGTGGCGTACGGGCCCTATACATTGAGCAACACCAAAGAGCAGATCTTCAGACCTTTGGAAGTTACTTAGATTGCTACATGTTCTCCGAGCTCACTATATAGGTACTTTCAACAGCGATTTCATTGGGGGCGAGAAACAATCTTAATGTTGCTAAAAGTATTCATTATTCATAAGCATTAGATAAAGCAACTAACTATCCAAATTTGGGTATAAACCACACTACATGCTCAACTCTTATTTACAACAGATATCTGTACGTAGGCGCATTATCGCCCAGCTCGGCCTTCTCGTCATTAGTGAGCTCCCGCTCAGGGGGGTTCGCAGCCCTCTTTGTGTTCTCATACAAGCACACAGCGCCGTATGAGATACACGCGATAATAGACAGAATCGTAAAGGCAATACAGATGGAGTAGCCACGGATGAACTTGGGCGCATCCTTTTGCAAGAAAGAATACACGGCGATGATACCACCGATATTTCCAAAGCCAACCTGCCATGCGCTACCGATGCTTCGTCGTCTGTGGCCTCCGAGGTTCATGTTGAACCAGCACACGATAATGGGCATAGCAGTGTATGCGCCCATCGTTACGAGGAACAGAGCACCATATTGAACTTTGTGGTTATCGTGGACGCAGATGAGAGTAGCGAAACCAGCAATGGCGACAAGAATAGCGAAGATGGCAAAGGACGCTCTGTGGCGAAGCTTGTCTGATGCAAAGGCGACGCAGAGCGAGAACGCGAAAGCAGCAGCCCATGGAGGAACGCTGTAAAGCTGGGTCTGGATAGGGCTGTATCCGTAGGTCTTGATAATACCAGGCGCGAAGTAAGCATATCCGTAAGCAGGCACAATGAGACCAAAGTACATGAAGCCGCCAATGATGATCTTGTAGTCCTTGAGCACGTTGAGGGCGTCGGAGAAAGTCGTCTTGCGCTCGGCGCCGGCGTGGCCCTGATCGACTTGCAGTCTGGCAGTGACGTACTCCTTCTCTTCAGGAGTAAGCCACTTGGCCTGCTCGGGGAAACCGGGCAGCAGGAAGTAGAAGAAGAAGCTGACGAGAACGGTGAGACCACCCTCAATGATGAAGATCCAGCGCCAACCAGCGTAGCCGCGAAGACCACTCATCTTGCCAATGGCAGCCGCGAGAAGACCACCAAATGCGCCGGCGAGAGTCGTGCTGTTGAAGAAGAAGGAGTAACGGCGCTGGGCTTCGTGTCGGCGGTACCACATGCCGATGAGGTAGAAGGCTGAATTTTGTGTGTAAGTGAAATGCGCGGCGTTTGTGAGGGGTTCGTAATTAACTTACCACCAGGGAACATGCCCGTCTCAAAAAGACCCAAGAAGAAACGAGTGGCGATCAAGCCGCTATAGTTCTGAACCAGGCCTTGAAGGAGCGTGGTGAGGCCGAAGAGAAACATGTTGAGACTCAGCCAGACATGGGGCTGGAAACGCTTGAGGAGAATGTTGGAGGGGATCTCGAAGAGAATGTATGGCACGAAGAAGACGACGAGGGCGGTATTGTATTCAGTCTTTTCGAGACCGAGCTCTTCGGAAAGACCAAAGACGTCGGCATTGGCAATATTGACACGGTCTATGCGTTGCGCGATGAGTCAGTTGTTTGCGACAGCAGAGAGAGTGAGATGAACAGACCTAAAAAGGCGAGCAAGTACATGATACACAGAAAAGGAATGACATGGAAATCAATCCTGGCCATGAGCTTGGTATCAGTCGTACTGGACGGACAAACCAGCTGGACATCGTCTGCGACAACGCCGTTGGAGCGCTCAGGGTCATCGTAGGACACAGGCGACTCATTGCCGCTCTCCTTCTCCCTTGAGTTGAGAGCCATTATCACTGCAGAAGGCCTTTATGAAGGAACTGACTTTGTGTAGAAAGGTCTTTGGAGGAGAGAAAGAGTTGGAGAAATTCTACACTGCAGATCTAAAGAAAAAAAGGTAATGGGGAGGAAAGGATACTTATAAAGAGACATGGGGGATGTCTCGGGGCAAGGCCGTGTTTTCCGTCGATCCCAGCTTTAGAGTACAGTTCGGTACCACCTAAACTAAACTAACAAGAGTGAGTGGGTGTTACTTTTTGGTCAATGACATGCAGTTCAACCAGTAAAGGCTAACAGAATGTCAATCACTGAGCCGAGGTCGGGAACAATTAAACAAGGGGACGATCCTAGGATAGAGGACGGATCCACCGACCTCCATTATAATGAGTTAGTGCTAGATCACCCCCCGCAGAAGAAGATCCGATGGAGACTCCGCTGGCTTTTCACGGCCGAGATACGGAGAAGGTTTCCCTATCGTTGATGCCGACTATGGCCGATGTCGCTTGGAGATGCCAGTATCGGAGGTTGTTTTATCTCCTTTGACATGAGTGTGTTGGTAAGAGATATCATGTCTAATGAAACAATTGAGAAGAATTCATCCTCTGGAGAGTTATAGTACAGTATGCATGGTACAGTTGATGTTGATCTGTTTCTGTTAGTACGAAAATTCAGTCCTTGGCACGCCACAGCCGAATGGGTTGCACGACTTTAGTGTGATCAATTCCTGGTGGCGGCTCTGCAGTCTGACCTCCCAGTTGGAGAAGAAAACAGGGGGATCATTCAATGACGTTGTACGTAATATCTCTGGAAAGTTACAGAAACTGTTGAAATGTCCAGGGACTATAGTGTCTAAGACTAGTGGAACTCGTATCAATCGGTTCTCAAAGGGCTTAATAATGGCTTCACCTACGGATGACTTCTTACTATATCATAGGAAAGCAAGCCACAGAATGTAACATTGTTTTGTAATGAGGTTGGCCGAAATTCAAAAAGGAAGCTCGATATGTTCCCCTCACAGCTTTAACAAATTAACCCCACGGGGAAACAAGGCCTAGTCCTCGGGAATTGACCCCGGATGACTTGGCAACGAATGACAGTTGTTTTCATGACTACTTGATCTTGTGCTAAGCTGAGAATTGCCTGGTCTTGTCTCTGATATTGAGTTTTTGCTTCTTATTTGGGGTTTGTGACGGAGAGATTCCGCTCTTTTACTCCGCATGAGGGTGGTTGCGGCTTTGATGATCTGCTTGGTGATTATGGATGGTAATAGGAACTGGCTGGAATGATGGACACTGAAACAGGTCCCTTTGTTGAAGCGAATCTTTAAAGATCCAATCGTTTGATCCGATGCTGAAGTAGGTACGATAGTAGGCAGATATATGCTGAATCAGGGCCATTGGTAGGTAGGGGCTGTTGAGGTAGCCCTGATATGCCGGAAAGTCCGGACTTAAGCTGCTGCCGCAAAAGACGCGCAGGTTCCTGTTCTGGTCACAAGTACTCATGTAGCTGCATCAGAATCGTATTAGCAAGATTACAGGACTCAGTTTACGCTTAACACGGTTTATTTGTCTAGACATATGGATGGAGTCGCGTATTAGCAGGCGCCGGAGTTGAGCTTTCTCCACAGCTGGCCTCCGGAGTTGAGACTCAGTTACGTCAGATCCTCAACTGCGGAGATGCCTCCAAACTCCGGCCGTCTCGGCTCCGGCAGACCACAGGGTAGGAAGAGCATACGATTATTATCAATTCATTGAAAGACATATAAACCAATTCCAATTATCACTTAACATCTAAGTTCTTAAACATTATAAGTTTTTCAAGTAAACTAATATCTTCTGGAGACAATGGCGTCAGCACACAACAATAATTACGGACACGGCTACGGCACTACCGAAGTGAAACATCATGAATGGCGCACTGCAGAAAACAGCAGCCAACATCTTCTACCAAGACTCAAGTCTGTTGTCAAGGAAAACCCAAAACTAAAACTACTAGACGTTGGTGCAGGATCAGGCACAATCTCGGCCTCTTTGGCAAAATACATGCCCGAGGGAGAAGTCACAGCCACCGACATCGCCGACGAGATCCTCGTTCGAGCAAAGGAGTACGCAGATGCCAAAGGCATTTCAAACATCAAATTTCAGCGCGCAAATATTTTCGAGCTGCCATTCTCGGATTCAACTTTTGATGTCACACATGCTCATCAGGTTCTGTGCCATTTGGAAGCACCGGTCGATGCTATCAAAGAAATGATGAGAGTAACGAAACCCGGAGGTACTGTCTCCCTACGAGAGAGTGATATGCACATGTGGTGCATATGGCCTGAACTCCCAGCTCTTCTCAAGTTCCATCAGCTTCAGATCAAGAACATCGAGGGTAAGGGCGGACAAGGTAAGGGAGGCCGGCAACTTCTTTCATGGGCTTTGAATGCTGGGGCTTCTCGCCAAGATATTTCTTTGAGCTTTGGGACTTGGTGTTACAGTGAGCCTGAGGATAAGAAGGCGTGGGGTAAGTATATCTCGATGTTTACACTGATGTGCACAATGGACTGACACTCTACAGGGACGGCAATGAAGGACCGGTCTCTTACTGGGTTTGGACGAGAGAAGGCTATTGAGATGAGTAATGCCACCGGGGAGGAATTAGATGAGATGGCTAAGGCTTGGGAGGAGTGGATGGAAACAGATGATGCTTCTTTGGGTATCATGAATGGAGAAGCATTAATCACGAAGAGATAGATGTAAACAAGAAAATTCAGACGAGAGAAGAAGAAAAGTATTTTGTCAAAGAACCATCAAATTTCCAACTTCCCATGTCTCATCTACATGTTCACTGGAGGCTTTCCCACTAATCCAAACTGTTGTCGAGCTCGCAATACTAAGGAGCAATCAGGCAGTTACCCTTACACAAGTACCAAACCCCTTCATCCTGACGGCTTTTGCCATCTTGCAAATAGGGGCCCATGCTCCGAGAACCGCTGTGACTCCTGTACAAAGAATCATTGGACCATACCTGGTCGCATATCCAAGACTGTCACCAGTCGCCAGCGAGTTCCCAGCAGAGATGAGTGCACCACTCAAAGGGCCAGCAACAACAAAGCCCAACCCACGACCTCCAAGTAACATGCCAAACACCAAAGATGTATCAGTCAGTTCGTTATCTCCTTTGACTTCCTGAAGAGCACCCGACCAAGTAGCACTGAAACCACCAGCGAAGAATCCATAGAGGATCACAAATACCACCATGGTGCTGATATGGCGGTTCAGACCCCATAGAAGAAACACTGGGAGTGCGCTTCCTAAAGAAGAGACAAGAATGACTTTGCCGGCAGACACCTTATCACCTAGCATGCCGTGGATGAGAGATCCGGGCACAGAGGCAAGTGAAAAGAGTGCTAGCAGGATCGGTCCAGTGACTGATGAAAGTCCAATTGCGCTGGCGTAACTAGCCAGATAAGTACTTGGCATCAAGTATCCAAGCGACTGGATGATAACGCCGAACTGAAGCATCCAGAATGACGGAAGTCCCAAGAAAGCAAAGCTGATAGGTCGTGGCCTTGAGTCGCGGCTAATCTCAACTCTAGGCTTAAGGAAGAGAAGCGTAGGCAAAGTCATAGCAGCCGAAGCGACTGTCCAAGAAAGAAGAGTCGCTTTGAGTCCGAACTTTTGGAGCAAGACATTGAACAAGAATGGCATGGCAACACCAACTGTCGATTTGCCCGCCCACATAACGCCGTACGCAAAACCCTTGCGCTCGACGAACCATTCGTCCATGTAAAGTGAGATGGGGCTGAACAGCAAACTACACCCAATAGCGTACAAAACTCCTTGTGTTGCAATAAGTCCAGCAACTTTGCTAACGAATGCAGAAGAAGTCAAGCTAACGATGGTGATGGCAAGACCAAGAGGTCCGCACCATCTACGCATACGAGGGAAGCGATTGAGAGTGATGAAAGCGAGAGGCATCATGAGATACATGATTCCTGTCTGGGATGCGCCGATTGAAGCAATTGAACTTGGAGAGGCTTTGAGATTTGTGTGCGCGGTGTAGTATTCTTGGAAGATGCCGAAAGATACAGAGTATCCTGTTACAAGTCAGATTGTTATTCACTTGGTGAGATGAGAAGAAACTTGCCCCAGATGGGTGCTTGAGCAATTGTGCAGCAAGCAAGAGCTGTATACGCTCCGCGACCTCGATCAGTTGGTGGAAGAGCGTCAATTGATGCTTCTGCTTCATTGTCTTCAGGGCGTATACTCGCCAGTTCAAGAGAAGTTGTTGTTGCCATGATTGTCTTTGTTAATACTTCGATAGCCAAGACTGTGGTTCAACACGACTATAAATACTCAGTGACAAAAGTGACTCAGCCAAGTAGATCTCGGTGAAGAGACTTATTACCCGGTTAGGAAACCTAGATGTGTTTAGGACGAACAGATGAAGTCATGGTCTATCGTGATTATTCCCGGTCTAGCCAATTGAGTTAGCGATGGTTCCGACATCGCAGCTTCACAGTGGATTGTAATGCAAGGATAATTAAGAATAATTATATCTATTGAATCTCAATATTTGAGGCACAATGGAGTACATGTTCGAACAGATTGAGCTATCACCACTACTTGCCTATACTACACCATCGCTTCATCACTGCCTGGCTTGTCGTACCTCAGGTCTTATCAACACCAACGCCCGCTTGCTTCTCTCCAACACGCCCATTATCAAAAACACTTAAAAAGAAATCTCGACCCTACTTCAACAACTTAAAACCCGCCGTTGGGGTGGATAAGCACCTTGGTATATCCATCAATCCTCTTATCAAACTTCTCATAAGCGACCTCAGCTTCATCAATGTTGATCTCATGCGAGACAACAAAGCTGGGCTTGGCCCGACCAGAAATGATAAGGTCTCGAAGGTAACGGTTATAAGACTTGACATTGCACTGACCGGTGCCAATGGTAAGTCCCTGTGGTCATGTTAGCAATTGCCTAACATCAGGAGAGACCATGCCATACCTTTTCAAAGAGCTTTCCGAAGCTAAGGCTAATCATTCCCTTGGCAGAAGCCTCGTCAGACGCACCAGGATCGCTAGGGACGTAAAGACCTGGAATTCCAAGACCACCACAGGCTCTGGTAACGCGGATCATGTTCTCGAGAACAATGTTAGGCTGTTCTTTATCACCGCTGTTGCCAACTGCCTGATAACCAACAGCATCAACAGATCGATCAACCTCTCCGTCGTTGGCCTTGATTATCATATCCACGGCATCGCCCTTGGAGAAGTCAATGGCAGTGCAGCCGATCTTCTCAGCGGCTTGAAGACGCTCGGCAACGCGGTCGACGACGAAGACTCTTGACGCACCGCGTAGAACAGCCGAGTAAGCGGCCATGAGACCTACAGGACCAGCACCAAATACAGCGACGCTCTCGCCTGATCGGAAACCAGAGATTTCAATACCGTGCCAGCCGGTGGGGAAGATATCTTTACACAATGAGCGACTGAAGCAAACAACAATCAATGAAGGGCTCACCAGCGAGAAGAATAAAGTCAGCCTCATGTTCCTTGCCAGCAGGCAATTTGAGAGCATTAAAGTCGGCATACGGAACTCTGATATACTGCGCCTGACCACCTCTGTAAGGACCCATGGCGACATAACCGTAGGCGCCTCCTGCAAAGCCAGGGTTGACGCCAGTACAGAAAGCAGTTTTGCCCTCTTCACAGTTACGGCAGCGACCATCGGCGACATTGAAGGGCATGACGACGCGGTCTCCTTTCTTTAGAAGAGTGACGCCTTCGCCGAGTTGTTCGACTATTCCCATATTCTCATGACCTGAGAGGTATTAGTAAGTGAAAAGACTGAAATGGATTGAGAGTTACCGAATGTGATGCCGGGTTCTGCTGCTGTTCGGCCTTCGTACATGCTGCTCGTTGTCAGCTTCATCGCTACCATATGATAGCATCTCTACTCACTGTAAGTCGGAGCCACAAATGGCAGCCTATAAGTTCTGTAAGCTATTGCAATGGATGCTCTCGAGTCAAATCCTACAGTTGTGACCTTGACAATGACGTCGTCAGGATGTTCCAGCTTGGGCAGTTCAATGTCTTCCACAGTGACCTTGTAAGGGCCCTGGTAGTTGACAGCCTTCATCGTTTGTGTAGCCATGTTGATTGTTCGATTGTATTGAACGTATATGATGATGATTGAGAAGGTAAATACATGTATTCTCCAGGTCCATCAGCATCTTATTTATACCCCGCGTTCCCAAGCCGCCCAGGCCGGAAGTTGCTCGGCATTGGATTCTTTTGCCTGTCAACGTCTCTTCTTGTGTTGCCTCTTCGAGATGCGGCGATGGCAGGGTAATGCGGGGAAGAAGAAGTGGCTAACTTGATGAGTGAACTGTTATTCTCGTCAATCTGACGTTCAGTCTGACTCCACATACTCCATATTCTATGGGTAGAGGCGATTTTATTCTATTCGTTCGGGAAATATTCTATGAGTCTTCTATCCTCTCAATTGGGTTGAGACGATCAACTTTAAAGCCAAACCTACTCAATGTGGAAGCAAGTCGTGAGTTGATAGGTGTGATCGTAGTTCGGGGTGGCAATCGGCGGAAATAGCCCAATTGAGCGATCAAAGCCAAGTCTCGACCCACGCTGAATAAGGAAGATCTCTCCGTGGCTCTTGACACTGGGTAGAATATTATGAGAAACATTATTTTCTAGCAGAGTAAGGAGACCCAGAAGATATCCTTGGAATCATGTCCATAAATAAACTCAGTAGTCGATTCATCATTGAGATTTGTCGTCAACTTGAACAACGTATACACTACATCAGACGTCCTTTATAAACACAAACTCTATCCGATAAGAGTTGAAGGTCCTCTCAGTTCCTGTTTCTTTGACCTGCATACTGAGGTATGTGAAACCAGATAGATGGGTCGCTGAGCAATGTAGGCTTGAAAGTGCCGACATATTGTCTTACACTTCCACTACAGTAACTCGATCAAGGGACAACATCCACTCAAAATAAAATTGAGGCTGAGACGTTGAATGAAATAGACTTTAGATGACTTGGAGCCTCAATAATGCTTAAATGCGATTCTTTCCGAACAACTTTGCACGGTCTTGAGACATGAGGCTGACACATAATACCCGGCGCAATGGGATGAACTATACAATAGTCAGCAGCTCTATCAGAGATCTTGGTTGGCGAACTATATGCAAACCATTGTGATAAGCTAGATCAAAGTCTGGACAATCAACTCATGGTAGGTCAACGTCTCAAGCAGGTGTGTTGCGGCAACAGCATGGCGTTGCGTGGTGAAGGCTTCCAGAAACACATGTCCTTCCAGGGAAAAGTCTAGATGACAGAACTCAAGCCTGTCTTCACATTGCATGATTCTGGTAAGACATGTCACGGCAGGCATGGCTCTAATTGAATGGCGTTCCGGCGTTAGACAAAGGTCTTTGTTCCTCTCCCTTGATTGTCTCACAACCATGCGATCTCCCATATCGACCACACCGCCTTGTTTTTCTTTGACGCACGAGATATTCGGAATCGCCAATCGCGTTCCGATACCGTTGGCATTTTCGAGGTTATTGAGCGAGTGAAAGTGGATGGTGAGACGTAGTAGCTTGCGCCAATATTTATCACGAGGTTCAAAAGTTCATGGGAAAAGTTCAAGTAGCAATGCAAATTATTTTCATTGATTGTCTAGATTAACTGCTATGGCAGGTTCGCGAATGCTTTTGTGGGATTGTAGTACCCAGGTATCGTCGTAAAATGAATGTCATGGTGATCATGAATTAGATCTTATCCGTCCGTCGTCACGGTGTAGTGTAATAGTTGATGTAAAAAGGTGATACCCCAACGCCATAAGCTTGCGCTTAGAAAGTATTAAAAATGTTTGTCCAAAGTTGTCGCAAAAGAAACGAAGGTGTGGTTGCGGTCATGTCCCTTACAGCACAGCACGCATCTCGAGAACGGGGACCTTGATAGAGGCTTTGGTGCAAGTCTCGTACTCAGCGCCCTTGTTGCTTGTAGTCTTGCAGTCAGACAAGCTAGCACCAGAGGTCTTGTTGCCAGTGGCCTCGAACCAACCACCCTCCTGCACGCAGGCCCAGTGCTGGGAGATAGCGATGACTCCCTTCTTGTGGTTGTACTTGAAAGAGGCAGAGTCGGCGCCGTTGGGAACCTTGCAGTTGTAGTCTGTCTTGCCGTCAAAGAGGTCCTTCTTGTTGAGCTTGTCTGCGTTCTTGGCGACGACCTTGCCGGAGCAGCTGGCTGAGTAGTCGAGGGCAGCGTTGTGGAGGTCGAAGGCGACTGTGGCAGTGTTCGTGCGCTTCTCAGAGCTGTACTGGACCTTGTAGACGAAGTCTGAGAGGTTCCAGCTGGAGACCTTGGTGCCCTTCTCCATACATGTTGGTGCAGCAGCTCGGGTAGGGAGCTTGGTAGGGATGGCCAGAGCGGAGGTGGCAAGGAGGACAAGGCTGAAGAATTGCATTTTGGTGATGTTTGGGTTGAGGGAGATAGAGACAGATAGTCAAGAAACTAGGAGAGTTATATGTAGTAGTGGTTGTGAGGAGGTTGGTTGTTTAGTTGCTGCTAGAGAGGATTGATAGAGCGGGGTGTATTGGATGATCTTGTAAGTTAAAGTCAATGGATGATCAAGTGACAACTCAAGGGCGGACTAGAGCTTCTTTATAGTTGATAGTGAGTCTGGTCTAGAAGAGAGAGTGTGTGTGTGTGAATTATGCATACTACTTAACGTTATGATAGGACCGAATTCACTACATTCTCGAGCACAAGCGTTGATAGTCCTCCACTGTCAAGTGACGTACCACTCAGTACCACTCAGTACCAACAGTAGCAGTAGCAGTAGCACATTCTGAAGGTGCATTAGGTCTCGTATTCCCCAATTCCTACCGTCTCCGGGTGGGGCCGTGTCTTCAGCTTTCGGCATCGGCAGTCAAGCTACGGTCGGTCTCGTGCATAAAGCATGCATTGGTCTTGACCAAAATAGCAGCTAAAGTAACCATCACGGTCCAGAACATTTGCCTCCCATGTGTTTCCCACAAAGATACTATGATTTCATGGGTTGAATTATTAGGGGTACGTTGTATTCTACGATCGGTCGCTGCGTTTCGTTTTTCCCTAACAGCGGTAATGCTACCTCAACGTTGACAAGGTTGATGATTTACCGTTGGAATGCCATGGTGCATAACGAATTACCAGAACGGGTAACGCTTCCACTTAATGCCTGCGAAGACCTTCTGAAAGTCCAACGCCAGCGACCCGCTTACAGTGGAGGTTTCAGTGGAGGACGCGGGAAGAGGCCCAGGGTCTGGACCGCAATGAAACCTCAACGACTGGTGGACAAATGATTCTCTATCAAAGTTAATGAAGTCTCTGCAAGAGTCAGGCTTTTTTTTTTATCTGACTTTGCCAGTCTACTAATTTGTTTCGTTTCTTGCGATACTTTCTCACTCTACCTGCTTCAACGGTTTGGCGTCACTGGGCCATCATCAAAGTCTAAAGGGAGGTTGGCGAGCGAATGCGGAACACTTAGTAGAACGATCACCACAAAGCAAATAGACGAGCTACTTCAACGGGTAACCTTTGAGCTGATGGATCACAGAAAGATTCTACTATTACACTATTGACTACTTGTCGGTCAAGAGAGAAAACATAAATAAACAAAGCCACCATTGGTCATGATCCCGAGGCAGGCAATCAGTCGCATTGTCCTACAGGGTACGACATCTCTCACTCACGATGTATTGCATGCATACAAGTCACAACACGAAAGTACAGTACAGCAATGCTACGATTCATGCCTCGTGGCAAAGTCATCTTCAGCCGTGCCGTGTCTTGCCCTGGCATGTTCCATAGTTCCATGTCAAGCACGGAAAACGCGGAAAGATAATAATAACTAGAAGGCTGGGCATGTCTAACTTCTGAATTCTATTGTGCTAAGATCTCCACCAACCTCAGCTATATCCCGCGACGATCAAGTGAGAAAGTCCACTTCTCCGCATAAACGAGAGAAACAACAGCGGTGATAGAAACCAACGATTTACCTCAAAGGCTCAACGTCATGCCATCGGCGTCGACGGTGACTGGACCTTACAGTAGTAGCGCTGGCAACGTTTCCATCAATTGTTCCGAGCTGCACGCCCTGTCACTGCCCTGTAGTACAATTACTCAGGTTAAACCTTGCATCCTCCAAAGCCTCCATTTAAAGCAAGCAAGCAAACAAACAAAACAAAACAAAAGTTTCCACGAGAGCGGTCTGCAATGGCATCATCGGGCGATTGCCTCGCTGAAATCTCCCAGCATTGACCGCCATCGATCTAATTCAGAACCCTGTCTTATCTGTTCCTGTGTCACCCCGCAGAATGGAAAAGTCCTCGACCTCGGCAGGGATCTTCAGCTCATGACCTGCATCTGCATGGTGCTGCTAAACATGGGTACAGCTATATCGATCCACCAGCTATTAAGTCAAGGATCGGCGACGAGCAAACAACGGACAGTGGAGGCTTTGACGTTTACGTGACATCGTTTCCGTCTTTCTGCATCATGTACTGTATTTTTAATTACCGTGTTTGTTGTCAGGTAACTTACGAAAATATTGTGCGTACCTCGGATAGAGCACATTCATGTGTGACATGACAGACAACAAGGCCTCGTATCATGTCATGATCGGCCACCGACTCCGGAGCCGGTGCACTACATGTGCTATCCCTGTGCTGGACTTCTTAGGACTGACTTTGTTTGCCATATGGCATTCAAGTTGAACGGCTGACTGAATATAGAGGTCGAGAGTGTAGAAGACAAGGTCGTTTGTCGTAGCGTGAAACCTGATCGATGTCGAATAATGCCTACTTTAGTCGTTCATGGTGCCGTGCTTTTGGTATCTCGATGGAAGTGCTTGAGAAATGCAAGTGCCGTTCATAATTCTTCGGAATCCCCGAGATCTGTTTGCTGGGAAGATACTCGATGACTCTCTGAAGGATTCATTCCCGGTACCCTGTTGTCCTCAAACCCACGAGTATCGCTTTTGGGAGGCACTACTGTAGTATAATCGCTGGTGTCAAGCAACGTCTGCGTGACATCGGGGGGATTACCGTTGTTAAATGTTTAGCATCACTTCGTTATCTGAACTGAGTAACAGTACAGATACAAGCTTGTACTCTTTTCCAGAAGCCCCGTCAACGCAGTGATCTCAAGGTCAAACGAACCATACACCCTCTGAGACCCTTTCGTCGTTTGGTTCCGGGATCATATGAGCGCGATACTGTTCCGAGTAACGAGCACTTTTGCATTTCAAAATCTGTGAGAGTATGGGTGATATGAAAGCCTTGCCACCGAAGGTAATTTACTGCGATTGGATAGCCATGTCCTTCCAAATGGTCTGGCGTGCTCAAGGTTCTAGCCAATGTCAAGCGGCACCAGATAGCTACACAGAACTTGACAAAGGACAAAATAATTTACACAAATTCGCTAGATTTATTTTTCATGTGCTAATATACCAGATGGTTTCGATAGCATGGAACATGACTGTGTGGATTTAAAAAAGCGATCAACTTGAGTACAGGCATGTCTACTGTAGACGACACTTGGCCATACACCATCTAAGGAAGCCGTTTGCCTGATCGTGTAGCTTGCCCAACCTCAGAGTTTGTGGTGTCCTCAGCATATCTCTTGTAAGCAATGATGTACCGTTCATCAGCGCTCCATGTCTCCTTGACACTATCGCGATCCAGAATCGCATCATACCACTTATTCCACCTCTTCCAAACATCGCCATCTTTACCCTCTCCAGAGATAGGAATACCGTGACCACCTTCCTTGTAATGATCGATCAGAAATAGGCGTTTTGCCCAAGGCGCCAGGCAAATATCCACAAGACTCAATGTCGATCCGAGAAACCATGGGCCTTCAGGATCCATCTCCTCTACCAAAGCCTTGATGCGACCTCTCAATTCTTCTCTCGCATCATCCAGACTGAAGGGCTTATCTGGAGTGTGCTGCATAAGCTTGTACCATGCAGGAATGATTCGCGTACTGATGTGGTCGATCCAGATACGACATCGAGCCCGCTCATATGACTCGGTAGGAAGTAGACGAGGTCCATACCTGGACTCATCAGTGAAAGCCTCATCGAGATACTCGCATATAATGTTGCTCTCAAACAAAGCCTTCTGCTCCTTGCCCTGTGCGTCAACAGGAACTGCGAGTGTGGGAACCAGTCCACGAGGGTTCAAAGCCAAGAAGTGGGGCTCTTTCTTGTAAGGATTGATCTCAACATATTGGTGAGGAATCTTCTTCTCATGTATGGTAATCCAGCTTCGTTGAACAAAGGGACAGAACCAGCCGCCGTAGAGCTTCAGTGGGTGTTCCTCTGCATGCCGAGCAGCGAAGTCGGCAGCTGCGCCTGTGGGCTCTGGAGGCAGTGAAGTATCGACATTAGCCATGATGGTTCTTTTAGTGTATTTTGAGAGGGATATAGTCGCTGCTAAGTTTGAGAAGGCAGGTCGTGAGAATTGAAAACGCTGCATACCCAGACAGAGGTGATGAACTGATGTTCATGTGAATGACGTCGAAGTAGATGTGGAGTTTACAGCAGGGAAGGTGCCCCGGATATAAGTCGACGAACGATTAATTACGCATGGCGGTCGTCATTACCTATCGCCATGATTTCTAATTTACAACATCGTGCGTTTTGAATAACTTGAACTTATGTCGCAAAGTAAGCTCTGAAGGACTCTAATGAATGCTGATGAGATTGTAAGTCGAGTCGTCTTACTAGACGGGTGGGCTATGTACTAAGTGAGCCATCGCACTGTCTTTCCACATCTTACACTGGAAACACAGTGTATCTTTCAGGGAGTGGCACTACCCTTATCTTATCGTAGCTAAACTTCCAGGAAACTTTACACTTTACTTGCAGTATTCTTTCCCTTGCTCTCGAGAATAAACCACAAAATGTCCGACTCGGGAGCCTCGCGGTTCACTCCGCAGAACAAAACCACCCATGAACGCCTATCAACACACACAGTAGGCCTCGTTGCCCTTTCCGATTTCCGCAAGCGACGCGCCGAAGTCCTCGAACAACAGGAGCGCGAGTCTCGTGAAGCTGCATACTCAGGCACGCCCACTCCGGATGCTTCCCTGGCAGGCACTCCTGACAACGCTGGCAGTGATAGCGGAAATGGTACGCGACCATTGAAGAAGAAGAAAAAGAAGCAAGGGAAGAAGTTGCTGTCGTTCGATGACGAAGAGGGCGAGGATGAAGAGCCAGCGATCAAGCCCAAATCGAAACCCCGAAAGGCCAGCGCGGACGAAACCGTAGGCAGCGAGGGCGAGTTCAAGACCAAATTTAAGGCCAATGCTTCAGTTGGAATGGTGCCGAAAGCCATGACCAAATCCGCATTGCGCAAAGAAGCCGCCGAACGAGATGCTTTGCGACGCGAATTCTTGTCCATCCAGGAGGCTGTCAAAGCGACCGAGATCGCTCTCCCTTTTGTCTTCTACGACGGGAGCAACATTCCCGGTGGTGTTGTTAGACTGAAGAAGGGTGACTTCATATGGGTCTTTCTTGACAAGAGCCGAAAGGTCGGCGCTGACTTGGGCGTTGGCGAAAAGGCAAATGCAAGGAGAGAGTGGGCCAGAGTTGGTGTTGACGATTTAATGCTTGTTCGCGGGACTACCATTATACCTCACGTAAGTTGCTACATCAATTGCGCTTTTGAATAATTTCTGACCGTTGCTTAGCATTATGACTTCTATTTCTTCGCCATGAACAAGACCCCGGGCCCTGATGGCGAGCCTGTCTTTAAATATAACGCCGAACCCCCTCAAAAAACCGAACCGGTCGATGATGCAGTTCCTCAGGAAGGCCTCACCACACCTGCTTCCAAGGCTGCTGCTGCTAAAGCGGCTGCTAAAGCGCTGCCCGATATAAGCACCCTCGAGGGCGCCGATGAAGATCCCACTCTCACAAAGGTTGTTGATAGGAGGTGGTACGAGAAGAATAAGCACATCTTCCCTGCCAGTATGTGGCAGGATTTTGACCCGGAAAAGGACTACGGGAAGGAGGTGCGGAAGGATGCTGGCGGAAACACGTTCTTCTTCTCGCGCTGAGAGATTGCTGTCGACGGTCACGAAACATCGAAGTCGTTGGAAGTTTTGGGTGTCCATTGGTGTTGAGCGTTGGATATATCACCTTTGGATCACGTATTGAATATGGTCGAGAGCTCCCATAAGAACTCATTCGAGGTGGGAAAGCTTCAACCAAAGAGCATCCAGCCTGCCCAGCACGCGCCTGCAAGAACCCACCAACCAGGCCAGAAGAGCATCAGGAAAATGAGGTTCCCACTGCCAAGAATGAAGACGGCGAACTCGTACCAGAGCTTATTCCGTAGCTTCTGTATCTTTTTCGAGTTCCAGGCACTCGCAAGAGCTTGACTGGACATGTTGAAGCCGTGGAAAGCGCTAAATTTTGCTGCGACGAAAGCTTTAAAGGTCACGATTTTGCTCGCATAGAGGACGCTTGCGAAGGTGATACTCGCGACATAACAGGCACGCAGGCAGAGAAAGATGGAGACGGAACCGACGAAGCTCTGGAATCGAAGGGCAATTTGTAGGGCAGGGCCGATCAACCTGGTGATATCTGAGCGGGGATGGGTCGAAACGCTTAGATCCACTTTGGAAGCGGTTAGAAGCGTCGCCTTGTCCATGATCGCGATCTGGGAGATGGTGTCTCGATTGGGCGAGAGAATGGAAGCGACAACGAATCGAGTGGAAACCCGAGCAAGGAATATTGGAAAACAAGCGAAATTGAGATGAGACAATGTCTTTGACCTTGCAGCAATACATACCGCTCCTAGATAGTTCAATGGGTTCTTGGTGTTTTATACATACATCCATATCCATCCATCGCCCTCAATCTGGACCCCCACTCTACCTACATCTTGTCAGTTAAAACGCTCAAATGCGAGACTCTTTTCCGTTTAGAACGGTCACAAGCTTGCGACTCTAGAATCACATTTCGCTTCTGTCAAACTTGACTTGCCGAAGAGAAAGTTCCAGGGCCCGCTTGTACCCAACCACCCATGCCCATCACACGGATCCCCGGCCACACGTGGGGCCGTTGATTCGTCGCTTAGTCTTCACAAACGGGATTATCGGAAGGTTCTTGGAGCGTGGGGAGTGATTGAAGGTGCCGAATCTAGATGTTCAAGAGCAGGATCTTAACGCCTTGTAGGGACCCTGAATAAGTGTCAGCACCGCACGTGGCAGCAGCATCGTCTTTCAAGACTTGAACGGGTATAAAGGATGGGAAAGTTAACTTGTGGAAACGGGAATAGTCTATTCTATGGGGAATAAGCGGGAGTTGAAGATCCAATGGGGGACTCCACGTGGGAACTCAACTGCCGTCGTTCGTTGGACTCGACGTTCCGGGATATTTCGATCGGGACAAGACCGGAATTGCGGACGGCGTCGGTAGGATTCTTTGCATTGGAATGTTGGGGCAAGTTATTGATATGCATGGCATCGATTAGGATTCTTGGATATCTTGCAGGAAGCTAGTGAGAGACAGCATTGGCTTTCAGTTGGGCGGCTTAGCTTTCTTTATATCACGTTTTTCTAAGATCTGTATCATGATCTTTGGATATTCTATCAAGGCTATTGGCTGATTTGTCCATCAAAATGTGAACACAAGAAGCTTCACAAACCATCAGAAATATTGGAAAGAATTTCAATTTGCTACTTATAAGGCTTGTAGGTGCCCTGGACCTGTCCAGTACCGTTTCGTAAGTGATATCATTATTTATTGCTGATCAAGCATTTGCCTTCTTTGCCTCCTTCAAATCACTTCGGGCTTGCACCAGCTTGGACATCTCTTTCGCCCTCTCAGACTCCAGATTCGAAAAGCCCTTGATAACACCCTCTCGATCTCCCATGCCCATCTCTTGACTCATTTTGAATTTTCCTCCCATAGACGTGATTTCGATCTCAATACCGATAATGCTTTTCTTCAAGAGCTCAATGAACCTATCAGGTGCATCGCTGACCTTCCAATCGGTTGGGTTATCACCGCCAGTGAAGCCCATGACATTAGTCTCGGCATGGCGACTAAGATCAGAAATTTGTTTGTTCAGAAACTGGCCCATCTCATCGGACTTGGTGTCGTAGAAGATCTTTGCACGGCCATAGACTTGGACAGCTGCGTAGTTCCAAGTAGGAACGACCTTGCCAGTTGTAGGTTTTGTTTCTGTGTAGAACTTTGGGGTGACGTAGTGCTGAATGGGGGAGTTGAAAATGACGATCACGTCTTGTTCGAGGACATTGTTTAGATTCGGGTTCTCGGTAAGACTCTCGATCATGGCTTTGCTCTGAGGATTGACCCTTGCCAGATGTCCTCGTAGCTTTCCCAATTCTGTCTCGCTAGACTCATCTTCGATATCCAACACGAAGGGAATATGACTGCTTTGAAGGAAAGGGTAGTTTGGAGAGGAGATGGCGCTTGTAATAAGACCGAGGGGGTTCTCTCGGACTAGTTTTCGAAGCACTGGAAGCTCGGCTTCTGCGTGTGGTCCTTTGATATACATTGCTGACGGTGTTGGGTATCCGGTTAATGAGGTGATGAGAGGAGTTATGAATTTCAAAGTGCGATCAGGGACTTATATGTAGAAACTGTTGCGAGTCAAACTTCAAGCGCTACGTTGATATATCATCCAGCGTGTATCCCCATGACTGTGTAATCAATAAAGGGAACACGGACCAATGGTTACAGTTGGAATAACAATCACGGGTCCTTTACTTGGGTTTCTCCTCGGAGCTTGATTAAGCTTTCCTTTATCCGGTCGATCATATGGAATCATTAGGACCCTGAATATCTGAGACTGCGTGACTGTACCCAGAATCGTTCTAGTCAAGGAAGGCTTTCTAGCTTTGTGCGATGTAGGAAGGACCCTGCTTCTCTTCCTGACTCATTGTTGTTGGTGTTAGTCAGAGTGCTAACAGTTCTGATAACAAGAGTGAGTCAGGTCAACCTATTCCTTAGCAAACCTGATACTTAGCAAAACGCCCTTCATATCAACGTCGAACGATAGTCGCATCTGAGTTTGTAACACAATTCTCTGATTGGTTGTTGAAGACATCTTGGCTTTGGAATCATTCTGTAGATTGCGGGGCTGTGTGGGGTTGGACGATGCCAGTATGGTTCGGTATTTTGTTAGTCAATCACATCAGCTGGCATAGGAAATCTTGTTGAGTCATCTTTATTGGAATTAGATGTAGGTAGTCTGTTGGGCATTTGGATAATCCGCCTACATCATGAACTGTTTCAACGACTTGTTGTACTGACTCAAATAGGACTGTAACCTCTAATTGACGGCTCTCGATGTTAATATGTATTTACATCAAGAGCAATTAGAGCAGTTGATTTGCTTCTTCCTACTTCGGATCTATGTTTACAAGACAAAAGACAGAACTTATACTCGTCTGTCCGTTTAACTGCTAAGATAGTTCAGAAAGAGACGAGACTAAAGAGGAATGAACCAAGAGTACCAGCATAATAGGAATTGGATATCAATGATATCTAACAATATTGAGAATCTACATGAGATATATCAGGCAAGTTGAAGTGATATTAAGAAGTAAGCATGCGCGTAATGAGAAATCCCGAGCCGTCATCCGTTCCTGCATAAGTTGGTTACCGTGTCAGCCCGGATATCCAATAGGAAGCCAATTTGACATGAAACTGTAAACGACATGCGTAATGAAGATAGTAGAACAGTAAGACAATACCTCTTTTTGTCGTATTTTCGGACTCTCGGGTGCTATATTCATCCGCTTCGAAGGATTGTTGCGTTATCAAAGACCCACATCTCATTTCCTGAGATAACCTCACTAAGAGGCCGCCTACTGTGAGCCAATTGAGCATCGAATCGCTGGAGACGGAAGTCTTCAAAACCGTTGCAAGTCCGTTAGACACTCGAGAATTCCACTTTACGTCGTTATACTCTACCAACATACCCAATAGCCCCTCTGTATTGGCTCTTTACTGTTGCCATCTCATCATGGAGTCCAAACGAGAGTTTCTCAGATACGCGAGTATGTGACCCTTGTACAGATGATCTTCAACTCTAACACCGCGAAGGTCCCAATGAGATGCGGACAATAGCCCGTGAGGATGTGGGCTACTATGACGCAGTTGTCATTGGCGGAGTGTACAACTTCAACAATGAAGTCAACATCAAGTCTCCCTCAACCTATTTCCATGCTCTCAGACATTGCATCGAGGAACACCCCTTCTTCTGTGTTACTGTTGGTGATAGAGACACCGATAAAGCTTACTATGAGCGCGTGCCAAGCATCAATGTCGAGGAGCACATCTCCATTGTCCAAGATGGAGAAGCTACGACCGATTCTTTGGAGGCCATCGGAAGATCGATGAGACTAGAATTGGATCGTCCATTTGTCGCAGGCATTCCTCCTTGGAGGATTGTGGTCCTTCCCCTCGGTCCTTCCCATTGTCATGTTGCCTTCTCTTTCTCTCATACTATTGGTGATGGCATTGCTGGTGTCGCTTTCCACACGACGTTTCTCGAAGGGCTAAGAAAGACACCTACAGCTATTCCATCGTCCACTATCACGCCCCCGAAAAAGCCATTACCTGAGCCATTCGACACACCAGAGAGACTGCCAATCTCGTGGTCGTTCTTATTAGCGCCATTCGTTGCCCAGTACATGCCCTACTTCCTTGTCCAACTGCTGGGCTTACGCGTCTCGGCGTCCTATGTCAACGAAGGCACATGGACTGCAACACCTATCTTCTACGATGCCAAGACGCACTGCAACAAGCTCAAGATTCGACAAATTGAAGCACAACAGGTCGAAAAGGTTACTCAGCTTGCGAGAACCCACGATGCGAAATTGACAGGAGTCATGCACCAACTTGTAGCCCGAGCACTCAGCAAAGCCGTCAAGGATAACAACGTCACAAACTTCGTGGCCCAAACAGCCATCAATATGAGACGATCAATCGGATGGTCCAACGACTTGGCAACTGAGTGTGTATCGGGCTGTTACACCCTTCATCAACGCAGCTCAGCTACAGGTCCCCTGACAGAACAAGAGTGGACATCCGCCTGCGAAGCCACGAAAGAATTCGCAATCTCCTCCACCAAGCTCGACGACATGCCAATCGGTCTGTTGCGATACGCATCGAGCATAAGAGAGTGGACTCTTGGCAAGATCGGCAAAAGGCGAGACTCGTCATATGAGTTTAGCAACGTTGGTGTGTTTGATGGAGATGCTCTCGGCAAAGACCAGGTCAAGGTGACCAAAATGACTTTTGCGCAGCCAGGTCACGTTGGTGGATGCCCCATTAGTTTTAATGTAGCTTCGGTCAAGGGAGGAGATTTGGTGTATACCGTTACGTGGCAACCAGGCGCTTTGGGGCTTGGTGATGAAGCCATGGAGGAGAAGATTGTGGAGGAGATCTGCGATAATGTCAAGCAGGGATTTAACGCTATTGCTTAAATTCCGGAGACGAACTATAATTAATAATTAATTAACAAATGATCTTATTGTCTACTGAAGAATCTGCCTTGTATGCTGGTTGATCAAAAGGATAAGACCCTGCTGATCGTGGCTTAGCGAAACAGAGAAGCTCAAGCTCGGACTCGGAAAGGCCGTAAACCACAGAGAATAGCATGTCATTCCCCACAAACAAACATGGAGCATCCAGCGAACTAACATTAAACTCCCAGCCACAACCGCTACGTAAACGGCAAAACAGCATGTCACTCGTCAATGTTAGTGGTTCAGCCCTGACATTAACGGTTAGATTGAGCTTACGGGCTTCCAACTTGCACCTGTGGCTGTGACTGCGCCTACTGTATTGGTCAATGTCATCAGTGAGGCTTGTCAGCTAAGGCGCTTTTCTTCTGGAATATTGGAAAAGCTGAGTTGAGTTACTTACCAAGATAGGCTAAATGTGCCTCTGTCACGGTTCGTACATGGAAGGATGGAAGCTGGAGCAGCATCTATAAAGGCGGGGGAGGAGCAGCTTGTTCTTTCTCTATTCCTATCATCACATTTTCATCTTCCATCTACACTGCAACGATCCTATTGATCCCTTCATTCGATATATCTATTTAAATCTACACCTACAACACAAAAATCATCATGTCCAACAGCGACTATTACGGCAACAGTGGTAACACCAACTATGCCCAGGGTGGTTACCCTCAGCAGCAGCAGTATGCCCAGCCCCAGTATGCTCAACAGGTTTGCTCTACCATATCCCTTCAAGTATCTTCATCACTAACATTATCTTCAGCAGCAATACTCTCAACCACAGTACTCCCAACAACAGCCTCAAGGCTACGGCAACTACCAACAGCAGCCCCAATACGCCTCCCAGCCTCAGCAACCTAGCTACAACTCCCAACCCCAGCAGGGCTACAGCCAAGCCTACCCTCAGCAAAACGATGGCCAGTACGGCGCCCCCGGCTACCCTCAGCAAGGTGGTGCCCCGGGACAACCCGGTCCTGATGGCGAACGCGGTCTCGGAGCTACTCTCGTCGGTGGAGGAGCCGCTGCTTGGGCTGCGCGCACCGCTGGAGGTGGCTTCTTGAGCAGTCTCGGTGCTGCTGCGGCTGGTGCCATCGGTGCCAATGCTCTCGAGAACAAGTTCAAGAAGGGCAAGAAGGATAAGAAGCACAAGAACCGTGGTATTGATGACAGTGACTAATTGACAGGCTACTGTAATGATGGGTCACGGTGTTTGGGCGTTTGAGTACTACTTTTCCTAGACATTTATAAATAAATTGTTTATACTCGCACCCTCGTCTGAACTGATATGGAAGTAATCGTGCATGTATCCAATCTGATTGAAACATCTTATACAGTCCTGAAAACAAGCTCAACAGCCAAGCCTTTCAAGCTTCTTGGCTGAAATCATAGCTATTTCCGAACCCTCGGTTCAGGTAACCCTCGAGCACAGCCTCCCTGCTCGTCCAATCAACTGGTACATCCAACCCCAGCTTTCCCTCTCTTTCCAAACCTTCAAGAATTGGTTTCACATCTTCACTCAGCTCAAGTCTCATCCTGTTCCTGAACCATGGAGCAAAGTGAATCATGGCGAGCATCACTCTGGTCTTCTGTGTCAAGTTGGGCATTCCTGCGTGCCAAAGTCTCAAGTCACGGACGATGATGCTACCCTTTTTTATGGTAGGCTGGATAGGAGGTGATATTTCTTGACGCTGGCGGAGAAGATCTTCTCTAATGCGGCCACTTGCTCTTTCACCATGGGCACCTTCTTGAGCGTCGAGACCGAATGCATTGTGTGTGCCAAGCCAGATCTCTGTGGATCCGTTCTCGGGTGTAGTTGTGACGAGAGGGACGTTGATAACAAGAGCAAAGGGATGGTCTGGGTGTGCAAAGTCTGCGTCTGAATGGACGGGCTGTCTTTGGGGAGTACCTCCTGGGGGAGTTGCCATGGCAGAATTGGCGGAGCAGAACGTCCACTTGGGACGAGGGCCCATCATGGCTGTGGTGATCTGGGTAGCGATTGGATCTAGAGACGGTATAAGCTATAAGGCCATAGGAGTAGAAACAGATACATACTGGTGAAGATAGAAGGACTGAAGTACTCCGCCACAGGAGGAGCATCTTGCTGGATGTTTCCCTTGTTATAATTGAATGGACCCTTGTCGCCCCGAGCCTGGAGGACATGGGCATCTTCAACCATCTTCTTGTTAAGAAGATCGATGTCTTGATGAGGGACAACGTCCTCGACAACGACTAACCCATCTCTGTGCATGTGCCGAACTGCTTTCTCGAGATTTCTTGAGTCCAGAGACAGGTTCTTTATTTCTTGAGAAGAAGGGCGAACGACTCCAAGTTGAGGAGGATGAGCAACAGTTGCAAAGCCTCGGGCGCACTTGGTAAGTGCTGGGAAGATTCTTTGAGTACGCAACATATTGAAAGCCTTGAATGTACAACAGGCAGTCTTTAATGATTGAAATTAATCTGAAAAATTGAATTGACTTCTTTTTCTCATGGCAGGTCTTATTCCTTTATACCTCTGTCGTACACCTCTTGGTGATGTGAGTTTCCCGAGCTCGGAAAACCTTTCCCCACCGGGCTAAGATCTGGGCCACGGCGATCGTACCAATGGAACAAGGTGTCGTCAAGTCAGTAACCGGAGAATAACATCATATTGACTGTTAAAGTTTAGTAATTGAAGAAAGAAGAAGGCTGGATGGGGGCGTCGGCCAACAGCACGCTGTGCTACGCCTGGTCCATTTCCCAGTGCGCTTTCAGATCATTAATGAGTCGTTGAACTGGCCAGCCAATACTGGCTTTGCAAGCATGTAGCTGACGAATGGCCTCTTGCTGAAGGGATTCTGAACGAAGAAATCTCGCGCCTAGATAAAACATGTCAGCCTAAAACATAATGACGAGATCGAGGACTTACAAAAAGCTATCGGCCCAAATGCATTGACTAGAACCGACGGGACCTTTGCAGTAAAAGCTGCGCCACATATATCCTTCGCGAAACTTGAAAGAAGTTCCTCTCTTGGGTCTCTACAGTCGAGCAGATCTGAGTCCCCTAGAAGCCTTGGATCCTGTAGACAGATTACCGTCAGTGTAACGAGGTAGTAGTGTGATATCGCAGCTATGCATTCCGACAATTAGTGCAATGGAAAAGGACGAAGAATTTACGAGACTCACCATGACATGGCTGAAGAAACCAAATAAGTGGAAACAGATGAGAGGAGGTTGATTCCCTCGAAAAAGGCTTCATGTGCCCTGGACAGGCGTTGCGCCATGCCCTAAGAGTTCCTGTAATGTGCTCCCATCGAGACACATCCGCGTTCTGGCTGTACATAATATTGATACTCTTTCCCAAAATCAAAGTAATAGAGTTGAGATAACCCTCGTCAGACTCATGCTGGGTGATAAGAGGCGTACTGTCCAGGTTCATTTTTAACGGACACTTTTCAAACAGACTAAATGTGATATCCTCTCTCAAATAGTTCCAGAATCCAGCTCCAAATAGTCCCGCTCGTAGATTTCCAGAGAGAACATCATGAACTGACGCCATAGAGTAAGCGCCCCGAAGATGCATGTTAGGATCAACATCGCCGTCGAGGATCTCGTAAGAGCGCAAGAGACATGTCGCAGCGAGGGCTATGCCGCGAGTAATGAGCCGATCGCCTTCTCTTAGAGTAATGAGAAGCTGTACGCAGCTATGATGATAGGACTCAGCGATATTACGAAAGCTGGGTGATGTTGTCTTGCATGTGTGCATGGCTGATAATGCGACGACCGCGTTGAAAAGAAGAGGCTCATCAAGGGCAACGGAGGGGACGATTCTGCCGAATGATGATGCTGAGTCGCTAAGATCGTACCATTTTGAGATTTCTGATGTGTATGAATGGAAGAGACGAGCTATGTTTTGATCTTGGAGGGCTATTCGGGGGAGATCTGGGTCATGTAATACTTGTGATTCAACTTTACAGAGTCAGCATCATAAGCGATTTAACCGGCAGAACAAGATTGGATACTACCGAGCCGGATTGGTCTCTCTGATCGATCGCAATAGAGACCGGTAGTTGTGCATTGTCCGCAGATGGGGAGTGCCTGGTCGCCTAGAACAAAACATTAGAGTGATAGTCAAGCAGGAGGGGCGTGACATACATTTCAACTTGCGCCGCCGACATGTGTTACTATTGGATATTAGTCAAGTGGAATAGTAGATGAAATCACTTTAGACTGACCATATTCCTTTCTTGGCGGGACGTGGCATTGAGAGGGTTGTAGTGGGTGAGTTATGATGGATGTAGAGTTGATGTTGATGGCGGGAGATACCTGGCCTCAGGGTGTCATAAGAATTGGCCCCAACACCTCAGCACAAGAGACGAAATAATTTGATCACCTTATGCCAGCTTAGGCCAGAATTTAGGTTACTTTATTTCCGTAGCCTAAGTCTTGGAGGACATTTCTTCTGACACCCACCTGCCTGGGTATCATTTTTACAGTGGTGGGTGCTAAGAGCCACGACCTTGGGGCGCTGAGTAGCGGGCAACTGGAACACTGTAGTCATCCAAGTATGTACCTACAAGCCATGGACTGAATGAAATCTAGGATCCCAATGTCGTGTCAATTTAATGATTATAAAAGAATATCTAGTCATCTTGAATACAAAGGTCAATATGCAATGCAGCTCAAACTCAAAGCTCCTATGCTATGCCATCTAGTCTTCTATCCAAGCAACCGCATTACAAACGACAACAACCATTCGCATTCTTGACATCCCGTCTACAGTAACAAGAAGACTCGATGGGCACATCAACAAAAGCCATAGCCGTCTTAAGCTGTTGCTTTATGATCCGTGCCTCACCGTCAAGTCCCAACTTCACCGCACACTCGTGGTACCCGTGTAGAGCCCACACGTTGTTCGGATGGTGTCGGGCGCGGAAGAGCTTGTTGTTCAATCCGAGATCTGTACGGTATACTTCAGCTGCTTCTTCGATGCGCTCTTGTTCCATGAGTAGGGCAGCGTATGCGTGGCGAGCGGGCTGCATCCATGCCCATGGCTCGGCATAGCGTAAACTATCATCGCGATCAATCGACTTTAGTAGGTGCTCGAATGCTACCTCGATATTGCCCTTGCGATATTCAAGTTCACCATCAAGCATAGCTTCAGCTACATCAAGTACGTCGAGACACTTGTTGGGGTATGCAATACGTGTTGGGGGCACACGTGCCTTTGCGGCGAGGAAAAGCTCACGTTGCTTAGCAGATTCCTCGACATTACCTAGAGCTGCATATGCAACACCCTTGGCGTAATGTATCGTGGCGGTCGTAACACACAGAAGCTCTTGGTCCGCGGGAAGTGCTGTTTCGATGATCTCCTCCCATTTTCCGAACCGAATCAGAATATGCGGACGAACTGAGCGAAACGTCTCTAACCAGTCAGCCATAGGTGGTGATTGAATCCGCAAATCCTCGTCTGGAATAGCTGACTCCATACGATCAACAGCCTCAATCGAGATAGCATATTGACCAGCGAACATGGCAGCGTAGATGAGAGAGTGGTAGTCGTGCATACGGTAAATGGTGTAAAAGTCACGACCACCTCGAAGAGCCAGGAACTTCTCGTCGGCGATGACAGCTTTCGTGTTTGCCGAAATGGCTCTTCGATAGTCTCCAATGAGGATGTCAAGATGCGAAGGCATGTGAGCGAGATGGCCTGCCTCATTTGCAAGTCTGCGAAGATGCTCTGCAGCAACAAGGCCCTTTTCGGGTTCAGTGGACATCTCAGTGACGTGAATGTAGGCGTGCAGAAGGCCGATATGCTCATGTCCATTGTCTTGAGCGAGTCCCTTCTCGAGAACTTCTTGAATCTCAACAACCTCCGATCCAGGCGCTGGCTTCCCTGTTCGCACATCCCACAGTGCCCAAGGTGTGAGGTTCATGAGTGCGTCGGCATAAAGCGTCGCGACATCAAGGTCATGTCCGAATTCTTTGTACACAGGTCTCATGGCTTCTGCGTAAGCCTGGTTCCAGACCTTTGCGTTGTTGGTATCTTTCTCATCCTTGGGGTAGCGATGCCGTATGGCGGAAATAAGAGCTTGTTCGAGCGGGCTTGCTTTTGAGGCTAGTGATTCCGCCTTTTTGAATGCGTTGATACCTTTCAAAGTTGTGTGTCTAAGATCATTTCGATCAAAAGCTTTCCATGGCTTGTTGTAGTTGGGTCCAAGAGCAAAAGCAAGACCCCAGTATGCCAGGGCACATCCGGGGTCGATTTCGATGGCCTTTTCAAAGCAGCGCTCTCCTTCGGAATGGTTGAAGGCGTAGCACCAAACAAAGCCGTCTTCTACCCATCTCTTGGCTTCTGGTTTATTTGTTGAAACGTCGCGACTGAATGGCGGTAGAACAAAGTCTCGTCCTTCTGCATCGTCGGGCTTTTGGCCTGTTTTGATATGATCCGATCTCATCCTTGTTGATAAGTTACTGATAAACAAGATAAACAAAGATAAAAGTGTACTCTATGAAGATGAGAGTGAATGAATGAATGAATGAAGAAGATGGAGGGTTACTGTTCGGGAGATCGCCACTGCAACTTGCGGAGAAGCTGGTCAACGACCCACTCTTACTCTTGGTTGGTGAGACTGTCAAATCAGCGGTTACCAAGGTGACATCCAATACCGACTGTACACGTAGGGAGTTGATAGGTATGAGATTATGTACTGGGTACGGTAACAGTATTTTAAATATGGTACATCTGTAAATGACGAGACGGTCAAGGGTATCTTATTGTTCTGACGAGAGACTTCACCACATCATGCATCATCATGGCATCGGTCTAGAGTCTAGTTCAGTAGCTTGAAAAGCGTGGTTTCTTAAAGCAAAAGTTCGGACTAATGAACGAGAGTACTAAACACCATACATAATCATCATCACCTCCAACACCTGCTCACCAACTAAAACCCCAACGATCTCAACTTCATGACAGCTTAACCAAAGAGGTGCTCCTGCTTAGCACCCTCAGCAGCCTGGAGGTAGCTGACACGGTCACGAGTGTAAAACTCAACACCAATCTTGTTGTCAAGGTTAGCCTTGCCCTCGTCAAGACCTCCAGCCTTGATGATGATCTTTCCCTCCATAATGTCAAGGCGAGTGTACAAGCTGGAACCGCAGTCACCACAGAAGAAGTGGTGGTTGATCTTGCCAGAAGCTCCAGTGACGTCGTATTGCTTGGGAGTTCCTGAGAGCTGTTAGTCTGTAATTGTAATGGGTTTAGTGCGAGGTCGGGATAAATACCCTTGGTGACGCTGAAAGAGTCAGCTGGGATTACAGCGTTGGATGTAAAAGCACCGCCGGTCCATTTCTGGCAGTCAATGCAGTGGCAGAGAGCAGTGACATCAGGTTCGCCTGTATTATACGTTAGACGATTTGCTGTATTACTTTATGAAGGTGTCTTACTGGTGCTCTTGTAAGCGATAGCACCACACATGCAGCTGCCGGTAAGAGCCATTGTATCGGTAGGTTTGATGATAAACGATTTAAGAAAGGAAGCTAGAATGTTTTTGGAAAAGTATTGGTCCTCAAGGTGTTTCTGAGTTGATCTGTGGAGTGAAAGAAGCTCTCAAGGTTCTCGGACATTGGGATATATATACTCGAGACCATGTCCCCTCAGAAGCTCAACTTTACACGTCACGACTGGAAACGATCGACCAATTACTAAACGAAAGGAACTAAACCTTAGTCAACTTTGGAATCTGCCGGTACTAACGATACATCAATCTCCAAGTGGAGAGCGCGATGCGAAAAAGATGCCATTGACTTTGGAATCTTTAGAGCTGAGGTTCAGCTATGTCAGCAACTGAGAAGCCTTTCTCCGGAGTCTTTATTGTATCTTGTTACACGAAACGGTCATATTTAAAAGGCTTTGGAATCATCAACGCTCTCTTCAAAATATGACCTGATTCGGAACCGTTGAAGCGGGGAAGTCCTCTACTGGTTTCTCAGTTCTATCGACCCAGAAAAAGCGGAGGAATTAACTAAGACCGCCGAATAAACAACATCCCCGAGGACATAGAACAGGACAGGACAAAGGGATGTAACTGTAATGTTACTAACTTGGCAGCAAAGATCCCAGCCATGGATCCGTTCTACCGAGGCGGGGGACAAACTCATGATTCAACACAAATCAATTACGACTAGAACAAATAATAACAACAAATATTCGAATTGGAATCATCTAAGCTGACATCAACACTGCATCCCTCATCAGACAACACCATCTTTCTAATCTCGCATATGTGCCACCTCAGGCTTCTCCGTACTATCCCTGAGAACATTCTCCTCATCCATCGACCTACCATGACGACCCGCCTGATCCATGGCTCGGGTACCCATGGCCTCCTTCGCATCCGAATCGTGAGCAACATCAAACTTGCCCCTCAGATTCTCGGGGCCGATAAAGGTCAACACAATCACATACACGTACACGCAGGCCATAAAGATGCAGATGACCTTTCCGTAATCGTATCGAGTCTCACCCTCGGCATTGTCAGGAAGAGGAAAGCGTTCACCCAGGCGGGCTTCGATAGTGGATGAAGCTGATGAGACGAGGTTACCGAGTTGGTAAGATGTGCCAACGACGAAAGTGCGGAATGCACCAGGAGACAATTCCATCAAGTGAATGGGAATCACACCCCAAGCTCCTTGGACACTGAAGATTTGTTAGTGATCACTGGGTCAAGCAACCAAGGTGATACTTGGCTATTTGAAGACTCACCAGAATTGTTGAAAGAAAGCAGCCGCAATAATCGAAGAGTCGCGAACAAAGGTGTAAGGGTACAGCAAAGCGCCGCCAACGATACAGCATAAGATAATGCTGATCCGTCGACCGACAGACTGGCTGCAGAAACCGACAATAGTACCGCCAGTCATAGCGCCCAGATTCGCTACAACTTGAGTAACAGTGACCTTGTTCTTGGAGAAGTTGAGTTGGTTCTCCAACATGGTAGGGTACAAATCCTGACTACCGTGGCTCATAAAGTTGAAGCCCGCCATGAGAAGAACGAGATAGACAAGCAGGAGCCAATGGTGCTTGAGGGCGACTTTTCCTTCGTTGATGAATACTCTACCCTTTCCGTCTGCACCGGCTTCGGCTCTCAGGCGCTGACGCTCTTGGTAGGCTTGAGTCTCGGGGAGCATGAGACGCCAGATGATGAACAGCACAGGCGGGCAAGCGCCGAACCAGAAAAGAGGACGCCAGTCGTGAGAAGTCGTATCGACGAGACCTCGTGCGAAAGCGGCACAAAGAAGATACCCAAATGCGTACTAATCCATTGTTAGCTGTGAACGTACGATAAGAAGAATGTCACCACTTACACCTTGCTGAAGAATACCACTCATGAGACCACGCGCCTCTTCGGGACAATCTTCAAGAGCCGTAGCAGCAGCATTACCATAAAGACCACCCATAGCAACACCAAACAGTGCCCTACAAGCTAGAAACTGCTGATAAGTTTGACAAAAGCCAGTTCCCTGATAAATGTCATCAGTGTTGACTCTCGGACAAATCTCGTAGATCTGACTGCCAAGTCGATCTGACAGGGGTGCGACTTACAAGTTCAAGCACGATAAAGAGAAGATTGTTGATGACAAAGGGCCATTTTCGACCGTAGCGATCGCTTGCGATACCAAAGATGATGGAGCCAACTGATCGGAACATGAGGACGAGAGTGATGCCCCACGTGATGTCGGTTTTGGATTTATCGAATGTTCTGGCGAGACTTGTCACCGAGAGTGATACGGAGAAGAAGTCGAAAGCGTCCCATGTCTATAACAGTTAATTAGCCAATCGCCAGCCAATATGAGGTTGAAGCTTAGGTGCAGACATACCCAGGCTACAAATGCAACGAAGAAGAAGGCCCATTGCTGGGAGTTCAACATGCGCAGTAATTTTATAGGATTCGGCACATTGTGCATTGGGGGTTTGAGCGATGAGAACCGTGTTGCGATGTATCGACCGGGCGACATGCCTTTGTGCGGCGCTCGAGTATTGTACTCGTCTTGAGTCATGGTTGCTTGTCGTTGATGTACGCAGACTCCAATGGTAGAACGTAGGTGTGGGAATCTGTGTGATAGAGATAAACTACTGAAACAGACACAAATATGTGAATGTAAGTGGAAGTATGTTGCTAAATAGGCAGACGTATTTGACAGGAACGACCATCCTCACAAGAGGGCGTCCTTCCTATATATACCCAGACTAAATGAACTAGGTACTCTTGTCTCCAGACTAATCAACAGTTACAAAGCACCGTCCTGACTATCTCCGAACCAGGAGCGAATATCAGTCAAGCCTATCATACATATCCGGACGATATCGACGTGACAATGAGTAGAGCAGGCTATGATTCGTAGAGACAATTTGCGGAGCCGGTTCCTTTTGTTCGGCATCTCAGCAATAGTGCTGCAGATCTCGGTGTTTGGGTTGCAGAGGACAGGGATTAGTACTGTTGTGTGCATCATCGTTGGCGCAGGGTCGTTGAAATGGATGTTACATCACATAACGGGACCTTTTGTTGTCTGTTGGCTATGATATCTAAGATCTTGACGAGAGATTCCCTTCAACATGATAGTAAACTCCAACTACAACTACATAGAGATTTTCATAAAACTCTCTGTGACGTAGCTTCTCATTGATCATCGACTCCTATGACTTACGAGACCTTAAAGTACAGTGAACTAGGCATCCTTCGCGCCATGACTCTGTCCCCCAAAACCTGGGGATAGCGTCTTCTCACTGTCCGTTCCATTCCCGGCACATGGCGGCCGATAAAGTGGGTATGGGAGCCCGGTGCTTTCCTACTTCTGGTAAGCAGCATCGGCAATCCGGCATCTGAGGTGGAGCCAACTTGTCTACGAATTGACATCACCATCACCTTCACAACCACGCGCTATTCACCTCGTTACTCTGATCGAGACTTTTTGAGACGAATATATGCAGAAACAAATGGAAACGCGAAGTTAGTAAGGTACTTTACTCTAACAGGATTGAGAGGAGGGATACGACAACAGATGCTAGATGTGTGAGAGAACGAGATCAACTGCTTGTTTACCATCCCCAGGTTGATAAACATTGCCTATCATCAATAAAGTATCCATCCACAACTCTAGTGTCCACAAGCTTGTTTCCCCAGAAAATGCCTCTCTCAAACAAAGGCATCATTGCGCCCGCAGATCCTTTGTAACTAACACTGAACCAATCTCTTCACGACTATGTCAAACCATCTGTCAAGCTTGAATGTAAGCAAAATCCAACCTCGTGCTGACGCTTCTACAGGACTTCTAGAAACCGACAAACCCCCAGTGGCTGAATGTTGAGATGCAGTGCAGAAAATGATGCAGTGGCTGACCTCACGTTATTCGTACAGTAGTATCATTCCCGAGTGTCCGAGATGCACAAGGTCCACGGAGCTACTCATGTCTCCTCTATGACCCTGCATTGAACAGCATTACCGTCAATTACCATCTGACTCCGATAACAGGGGTTAGCAGACATGAGCAGAATTGACTGCGGAGAGCATAAGAGACGAAATAGTCTAATTATTTGATGCCAGTTTAGATTAGTATTGACGTCACTTCAGTTTCAACGCTCTAAGCTTTAGAGCACATTTGATCATAAAAATGCTTTCGTGAATGAAAAGGATATATTATTGCTCAATAAGTTCTTTGTGCCAAAGACTCCCACCCCAACGCCTTCCAGGGTATCCCTTCGCAATGTATTCCTATAAAACACATACCACTTCTGTCTGCGTATAGACCACAACAGCCAACCGAAGTGAAAAAAGAAATCAGGTAAAACAGTCCAGGTATAATCTTCATTAGTCCGTTCGAAAATCGCTCGTAGATTCATCCGCGTATCAGTCCTCCTAAACGCCCCCACCCATGAAGGCGGCCAGGTCGTCGAGATCGAGAAGTTGTCGTTCAAAGGCCTGACACAACTCGGGCGCCGTCATGTCCTGACTCGTAGTCTGGCCATCCTGCGCAGGCACAATTCCGTTCGCCATTTCCGGGCTGGGCTGCTTGATATCAGGGACGGCGCTGGCACCGTGAGAAGCGTTTGATGGAGGGGGCGAGGTTGTTGGAGTCGATACCCCTCCCGAACCGCCGTTGATCGTCGCGATGCCAGGTCGCCTTGCGAGTACAACAGGAGGCTCACTATCGCCACGGACTGACTCCGAAAGGGATCGGTTAGGACCCTGGCCTGAAACGCTGCCTGTGTGGTTCGACTGGTCGTAATCCATCGCGTCGGGGTTTGTATCAGCGTTAGATGAGATCTCGTCCTTCATGCCACTTGCACCGTGAGACGTGGAGCCATGGCGCAGGGAAGTGCTGCCATTAGCAGCCGCGGCATCGTTGTTCAGTACGCGTTGCATAACGGTGAGGTGTCGCAGCCAACTGCCCATGAGAGGCCAGTTCTCGGTCCCATCACTCATGAAACGCAGACCATCCTTGACAATGTGCGCAGCTGTCTCGACAGCATTGGGGGGTGTCAAGCCTTTAAGAGAGAGGTAAGCGACAGTAGCACTGGCGGTAAAAGCAGAGAAGAGCATAAAGATCGGGAAACAGGGCGAATGATCCTTTTCAGAGCCAGCCTCGACTGCAGTGAGCAGCGAGATTGTGCCGTGGCAAGATGTGAAGAGGCGATCAATGATATCGTGGCATCGAGCGTTGAGACGGAACGACTCGAGATTGAAGTTAGGCGATGTCACCTCCTGCAACAAACGTCTTCGATGCACAAAGACGGTAGCGCAATGGAGCAGGCAGTGGAGCATGGCAAAAGTATAGCCGGAGCCCATTGTCATGTGAAGGTTGATCTGACCCGGCTTGTCCACGAATTGCATGGGCAGGGTAGCTCGAAGGCCCTCAATCTTGGCAATTAGATCGTTGCAATCCTCCTCGCGGAAGCTTGCGAGTGTTGTGGTTGTAAGCATAGACACAACGTCACGCCAAATCGTTGAAGCCAGGACAATGTAGCCGAATTCGCCGATCTCGGACGGAGGCTGACCAGGTGGAACGGCGGTAGGGTCGAGCTGCTGGCGTAGAGTCTTGACAAACACAGCATTGCCAAATGCAAAGTTGATATCAGAGCAAGGCAAAGAGACGTCTGCAGTATCATGAGGGGACAGTGCAGGATATCGTCCTGGTGTACTTGTAAGAAGGCAATCCAGGATATAGATTAGCCAGACTGTGCGGCGAAGGGACTCGTCTCGCAGGAAGACGTCGGCGTCTGGAGATGCGTGATGGCTGTTCAAAATGCGATACATCTGAACCATGCGCGCCGCCTGACCCAAGTAGATATAAGCTCTGACGGCATTACGTGAGCCCCATTCGTGAATAATGATCAAGCACAATGCTTGAATATCAACGAGATTGGGATGGTCTAGGTTTTGGTTTATAAGAGTCATTGCTTTGGCAGCGAATGTCTCCGCAGCCTGTGTCGGTCCTCCATAGCGACGAATAAGACTGGGTGAACTCCTGCAAGAAGGTATTAGCGACACAGTCCTGAATCTGATAAACTTCCAGGCTGAGAGCTCAAAGCATCACAGCATTCAAATGTGGATACGGGCGAATTGAGGGATGCAGACAAACGTGACTCGGGAATCCTCGGCTCAAACCCGGACACCAGAACGAGAAATTGGCGCAGGGTCAAACACTCGGTGACGGTGCCACCGATCGGTGTGGATCCATATGCCGGACGGATGGGCGAGTCAGGTCGAGGTGGGAAATGAGACGACGGTCGGCGTGATGGCACAACCAGCCAAAACAAACGGGAAGGGAATTACGAGGGCAGGGTTCGGAACTGGTGACGTACCGGGCTGCACAAGTCAAAAGACCATAGACCAAGGCAGCGTCCAGCGATGCGCTCTTTAACTGTTGGACAAAGGATGGTTTGTGAAACGCGACGCAAGCCGGGAATGTCTTTGACACAACGCGCTCGCATTCGGCGATCAATTCGGGAGTCAGCCTAATAGAAATTCGTTAGCAAGAGGCCTCGCAATAGCTGATAGCGAGCTGTGAACTCGGGGTGTAGGCTAGGGGATGGCACGGCCCGTCTCATGCTCAGACAGCTGTGCTTCCAATTGACCAAATTTTGGTCAAGCTACTGGGCAACAGAAGAACTGTCCTAGAAGGCCTATGGTACCGAAATAAAGTAGCCTAGATGCCAATCCAAGCTAGCATACAGCGACCAAAATATTTCATCCATTGTGCTCTCTCCACGGCCAGTTCTTCTGATGCCCTGACGCCAAGGTAAATTTCGGGAGCACGCCGTAAGCCGACGGCGATAAAGTGGGGCTGGAGGACGGGCATGAGTAGCCAAGGCCCAGTTGCAAATCGGGGAGAATAACCAGACAGACGCGGGCGCGGGTGTGCTAACGAGAGCTGGGGGACAGGACAGGACAGGGGTGGTGGTGATCCGGCTAAGGACCTTTTGAAGGCCGGCCATTCGAATGTCAAGATGGATGGAACAGGCTGAAGCTTGAAGCGCGAGTGTGATGAGACGAGACAGGGAAGCGAGGCGAGGATGACTGGTTTGCCGATCCACCCGGGTTAGAGAGAAGCGTGCGATGCCCGTCAGCCGCTCGAAAGACGTTGTGGCCGCAACAGGGAAGGCTGTGATGATAACGTAGACAAAATATTCGAATAAGAGTGGATGGGGATTGCGATGCTTGACGACAAAGAAAAATCCGCAACGTACTTGTCAGATCCTGTCTGGACGTGACGGGCAGCAGGAGCGCCAACAACAGGCTGTCGCGTCGTCTCAGCAGCTGGAGCGGCAGCAGGAAGACTGTCGCGAGGAGGGCGATGAGGATTTGCGTGTCGCGCAGGACTTTGACCGTGATGATGAGCCATGCTCTCGGAAGGTAAATAGCAATCGTGCATTCCTTTTGCGCAATTCTTGCAAGGTGCGCGTCCGTTCTCATACACGCACTTCGTCTTTCCTTTGCGGCATCTGACACAGGCGCCTCCAGCCCTGAGGGCTGTAGATCGGATTGATGTCGACATTGGTGGCGATAAAAATCTGCTGAATTTTTTAGATGCTGAAGTAAAAAAAGCATGGAAGACAAGTGGTGTGAGGGAGGGAAGGAAGAGTCTTCTCGGGGCTCCGTCAAAATAGCGGAAGGAGGCCGGAGGGTCCCGTGGGGGGAGGAAGGAGCGAGCGAGGCCGGGCGGAAGGCCACACGCGAACTTGGGGGGTACCAGAGAAATTGTCCTCCAAGGCTTAGGATGTCAAAATAAGGCAGACCAAGTCCTAGCTCTTAGCTTTCATAAAGTGACTAAGTTCTTTCGTCTCCTATGCTCACATTCATAAATCCGCCAATGTTTCTGACACCCGGACACGGGCCTGAAGAACCAGCACCACCACCGGAATCACAGAAGAAAAGTGCAAATAAATCGGGGAAATTCTTGTCATCTGAAAGGAAGGAGAAGAACAAAAACGCTTGAGAAAATTTGTAGAACGACTCAAAAGTAAAAATGACTTACCAGGTACGCGCAACCTTTTGGTAGGCGAAAACAACCGAAATGGCGGCGCCGTTAAATCGGAGAGAAGAGAGGACGCCGGGGCTAAAGCGGGCAGTGGCTGGGTCGGAGAGGCTTCACGTAAAGTCCGGCTGAGGTAAAACACACAGAGTCAAATGTCCAGGCAACAGCAAGAACAAGACTTGATCTCGGTCTGAGATAGTGAACAGCAGAAGTAAGACCAAGCGCAAATAAAAAATATCGTGTTCGTGTATGGTGACAGAAAATGGGACTGAGTGGAAATGAGGAGGAGAAGGGGCGGAGGCAACGGAGGGGATAGAACAGGCGAGGCAAAAACAGGACCAGAGGCGGGAGAGTGACCGGGCGGACAGGACAGCCTGAAGGCAAAGGCAGCTCCAGGGCAAAATCAAGACAAGGCAGAGCAAAAAGCAGCGCAAAGCAAATGGAAACGGGAGACGGAGAACGGGAAACGGAGGAGGGCCACGGGGGTGTGTGGGCCGCAAGCCGACAGGGCGTCTAATCCAGAAATTAGGGGCCAGCCAGTACGTACTCAGGCACTGCACCCATAAAAACACGGATGAAAAACAATTCCACGTTGGAAGGCCTTCATCAATTCTAACAAGCTAAAATGCTTTATCATATAGTTCAAGTTGACATGATCGCTCCATTGTATGGAAGAAAGTATCTAACAACTTGGGTACAATCAACAAACAAGCTGTAGAGCTCTGTTAGAAGCTCTGGTCAAAAGCCTGAAACTGGATGGAAGCTCATCTCACTCCCCGCACAAGGCGCTACGGCGTCCTCGGGGACGGGCTATCAGGGGGCCGCAGTGCCGTACAGTAGTCGCCGTGCAAATCTGCCACAAAACGAATGCCCGACAAATGTTATAAATAGCCTTACACTCTCGTCAAAAGGCTTTTAGTAGTGCGATGAGGGTTTCAGATATTGTTCGTGATCAGATATCTTGATACAAGATGAACATCCTTCCATCCCGCGCTCGACATCCGGCGTTTAAAACGGTAATGAGTGGGGCCAAGAGGGATGCCGTCCCGATGTACGGCCAAGACACTCAACAACGGCTCAAAGAAAGGAGCAAGCAAGCGAAATGCTAACCTCAGAGATATTGCTTGCATACCAAGTACGTACCAGCCACAAAGTGGTCGAGGTAAAGGGCCCAGATGCAGGCGCAAGTCGACGCATGAAATTGTCGCGAGGTTTCATCCATCCCCGGACTCCCCAGACGCGTGAGCACAAGCCTACCTAGAGCTTGATTGATTGATGCAACCGCAGCGGCGGCGTCAGCAGAATCATTCCTGCAAGACTCTTTATTCTCGGTTGCTGGCAACAACTTATGTCGTACAGAAACCGGGGCAAGAGAATCGCGCCCCCGGCATCGGTATATCCGGGGCAATCGGTAACGTCGGAGTAGAGCAAGCAAAATCCATCAACCTCTTACTATCATCACGAGATGGTTCTTAAGGTTACTGTCTTTTCCTAGATTAAAGTTATCGAACGTTGTGAACCCGGTGAAAAGAAATAGTGGCGATGCGAGCCGTCGCCGGGGCGTTGTTTCTTTTTGCTTTTGCTCCCACCCAGGCCGAACCGTCCGAGGTTCCTCCTCCCATTCACCGCCGTCTTGTTCCCCCGGACGCTCAGTGTACACACACAGACCGGGAAATTTCAAGTCGAGACAGCCGACCAAACTAGGTACGGATACGGTGGAGGAGATGAAGGGTGGGGTAATAAGGCCGGCAGTCTCACTATCCAGGGCTGGGGCTTGTCCATCACTTTGCCCTCCGAGTCTTGGAGATGATGGATTGCCAAAATTTCCCTTCTAGGTTTGTGAGGCAAACATGGGCTTTGGTTACTGGGCGGTCTGGTCCTGAAGTTGACGATACACCGTCAAGTATCCATACGGAGTAATATTGTGATTACCTCCTCCTTCGCTGTTGGTAGGACAGGCAAGACGCCTACTACATCACCACCCCTTCGTCTGCATCAGCACACAGTCAATATTCCATGACATGTGAAGCTCCCTCCTGCTCCTGTTTGTGCTACCACCGAACACGAGCTATGTTCATTTTCTCAGCAATATTGCCAAGTGGCTTGAATAGTTAACCGCCGTCCCGTCTGCAAGCTTGTCTTGGCCCCTCTAAGATTGGTTGTAGTGGTCACTGAGGCTAGAGCTTCAGAGCCTCAATATCCATCACCTTTCGATGTTCTGCTCTGCGGCCGGCCGTTTCTGCTAACAATCGTAATCAAGTAAATGCGAGACCGCCTGGCTTCAAATATTCTGCCTCTTGTGTGGTCTCCATATTCGCTCCCTAAACTCCGGCCCGGTAAATGATGAACCGAAATAGAGGGGCCATCGGGGTCGCCCGCTGATTTCTCCTTCCCCTCCCAATCAACCAGCTCCGCACGCCAACTTCATGTTGAGATTGTGGTCCGACCATTGAGAGGCTTCAATATTTAGTGTTGCAATCATGCATGCCTCTATTAGATCAATTTATTCATGTTCATCTGAAAGCGAATACCTGCTTGAATGTGCTGTACAACTCACCTCATCTCCCATTATTGGCATGTCCTATGACACTTTCGGATGGCATTGAGCGGCCGGGACATGGTCCAGGTCTTGTCGGAACTGCATCCTCAACCTCCGCCCGGCGCCATCCCATCCCATCTCTGGCAGCGCAAGGCTGCAATTTCCTGCTTCCAGAGCCTATTGCCAGTCATTTATGTATATCAACACATTCGCTTTCGAATGGGGAATGTTGTTTGAACCCGCTGTGCTAGCCTACAGCTTCACAGACACGTCTTCCACTCCTGTTGTCTTCATGAAAAGGAGGCGCGTCCGGCAAAAGATTTGCGGTGGGGCCGTTTCCGAGTTGAGTACAGTGTTTTCCTGTCTACGGCGGCACAGTACCGCGTTTTGCTCGCAAATCACCGGTGTTGCCTTGGAATGAGACGATCAAGTTGTCCTCATAGCAACAGTCTGTCTCGTGTTATGACAATCATCTACATTTACACTCCCACATACGTACACTGAAACCGTTGCAATAACCGACAACTTTGACCTCTTGGCGATAGCATACAGACTTACCGTTGGATACTCCCAACTGCGATGCCGGCAGCTCAATCACCAAAACGGTACCCACCTCCGTCTTGATCACGGAGACGGCCGTGACGTTCTGACAGGGGGCGGGGAACGAGTTCGACGATCCGCACAGTTAGCACTCGCTGCTTGCCGCTTTTACCCAACACGTACCGTGCCGAAACTCTTCGGATGATTCGTAGTCCGTACTCCGAACTCGCGTCTCGTATCCCATTGCTACGGAGCTATACTCCGCTACAGCTACAGCTTCTGGCTCGTGTCATGTTCATGTTGTTCCCAATGGTTAAGTCGTACAGACACATTATCGCACAGTTCAGCTGTCCTTGATTCTTTTATTCATTTCTTCCATCAATTCGTCATACACTGTATCATCCATAAAAGTGCCGACTTTTTTCTTCCTCTATAACATCCCATATCATCTTGCTAAATGGTCTCGTTTAGGCCTTGGTCTCGCGCACAGGGAGTGTCTTTTCCTTCTTACCAGCATCCTTCTTCTCGGTCTTCTCGGCTTCCTTGGGGGCCTCCTTGACGACGAAAGGCAGGAAATCGGGCTCACCAGGGATGAACTTTCGCAGCACCTCGGGTACAACCAGACCGTCCTCGGTTTGGTAGTTCTCGAGAATACAGCACAATGTTCGCTCAGTAGCACAGAGTGTCTGGGAATGCCGATTAGCATGTCGATTAACGCGCACAAGAATATAGAGACAAGACTTACAGCGTTCAGAGCGTGGACGTACTCCTTCTTACCACCACCAACAATCTGCTTGCTCTTCTTGGAGCCATGGCGAATCTCGAGCTCTCGTGTCTGGTAGTCTGTGCAGTTGGAGCATGAGACAAGCTCCTTGTACTCCTTCTGGAAGGGGAACCAAGCCTCCAAATCGTACTTCTTGGCAGCAGCGTTGTTCAGAGCACCTGTGACGATACCAACAACCTGGTAGGGAAGACCGAGGGACTTGTAGAACTCCTCGGAGTTGGCCATCATTTGGTCGAACTGGTCCCAGCTGTCATCAGGGCCACAGAGGACGAACTGCTCAACCTTCTCGAACTGGTGGACACGGAACACACCCCAAGCATCACGACCGTGGCTACCAGCCTCCTTTCGGAAGCAAGTGCTGTAACCACAGTACTTGATGGGGAGCTCAGCAGGCTGAATCCACTCTTCGGCGTGGAGGGCGGAAAGGGGCTGCTCGCTGGTGGCGATCAGGTATCGATCGGACTCGGAGGGTGTAGGGCCTTCAGAGACACGGTACAGCTCCTCGTCGAATTGGGAGAGCTGAGCGGTCTTGGCCATCTGGTCGCGGTTGAGCATGAAAGGGGGTTGGTTAGGGGTGTAGCCTATGCGCAAAGCTGTTAGCGGACGGTAGCTGACTCGAGATCAAAAGTCACGTACCCTTGCCGAAGAGGAAGTGGGTGGCATAGTTGACGAGGGCCAGGTTCCTGTCAACGTTAGAACAACATTGGTTGTCTTTACATATTATCAACTCACAAGAACATTCCGTAGCCAGTCAAGCAGTAACCTCGGTGGCCCACTAGCTTGACACCTCGAACGGGGTCGTATCCTCCAAGTCGCAGGAGCACATCGTGGTGGGAGAGAGCGGCCTGCTTGGACTTGTCGAAGGTCTCGGGTGCCCAGGTTCTCTCGATGGTGTTGTTGTCCTCGTTGTCGCTGACGTGAACGGAGTCGTGGACGTAGTTTCCGACGAGCTTGGCCTTGACCTTGAGCTCAGCGTTCTTGGCTGCAGCAAGCTCCTCCTGGATCTTCTTCTTCTCTGCCAACTCCTCCTTCCTCTTGAGTAGGTCGGTCGCATCCTCCTTGGCCCTCTTCTTGAGCCCAATCTCCTTTTGAACGCCGTTCATTTCTGTGCCGATCTGGGTGACTCCATACTGGGCTTGAAAAACGTCAGTACTGCATCGTTTGAAGTGATTGTAAAGTTGTTCCGTGACTCACTCTTTCGCGCATCTTGCCAGAGGGCAATAACCTCGTCAACCAGCTCTACGGGAGCATGTCGGCGACGCTGACTCTCCCGAATCTTCTCGGGGTTTCCACCGCGCTCCTCAATGAAATCCTCAATGTCCAGCATCTTTGCGATATACGGTGGTGCTTTATTCGTTCGGTCTTGTCGGGCCTAATGGTGGATTTTTTTATCAGTGTTGATAGCCCAAGAAGGAGGGGGAGGGGCAGTTTACGGATCACCTGACTAGCTAAACATGGAGGGGCAGTTTAGAGGGTCAAGGTGTAAGTTACTGTTGGTTGCTGGATACAGAACAGTTGTAATACGAAGCCAGGAGGAGTTACGACTTTATCTTTATTCTTAGGCGGAATTAGATTTCTTTTACTTGCCTTGGGAAATACTCTGAGTCAGTGGCCTACATTCAAATGTCCGTAATTTGGATTTCTCAGACGACACATGCCTATCACAGGGCAGTATCGGCCCACTTTTGAACTTTCGAGATACAGGGTAGGATGTTATTGAGTAAAGACTGTCTGACTTTATCGGCAAAGAGTCATCAAAACATGTGGCCTATGTTGTTAACGACATCTTGTAACTATATTGATAGGGTTTATTGTGTTGATATTAGAAAAGTGTGTTTTTCAGGCGTGTAACCTTGAACAGTCTCGAAAAAAGATGTTGCTATGAGGTTCGACGGAAAAAGAAAATTGTCAATCGACTCTTTTCCCGTCATTTGATACAACAAATAAATTGAAAAGTAATCATTTTCTTCATGAATATTTACTCTCAATAACAATATTTGTGGCACTAATTGTGATGGAAAAAAGTGACTGAATTGACACAAAGACAAAACAAACACTATATGATTTGCAAGATTTCTCATGTTTGCATGTACGTCACAGTATTGTGGTGATGTTATTTGGGCGGAAGGCTCTAGGACCACGTTGAATATTTGCTCTAAACTTCATTATGTGAAAAAATAAATAAGGAATCAATGCGAAAGAGAAATAATCCGCAAAGAAAAGCTCGTTAAAAAGAAACGTGAAAGAAACTATGAATATCTAGACAAAGGTCCGTCCCAACTAAGTACTCTCAACCTTATGAACCCATTGCCGTTCTTGAATGATCGTTTCCAACTTACAATCCTACATATCAACACTCTTTCGCTACATCACCACTGGGCATCGAAACAGCGTACTCGAGACGCAACTTGACCGCTTTACCCGCATTCAGCAAAACATCCCATGAAATCTGACCGTACTTCTTCAGGGATGCTGTTGCCTTGCCCCAATCCTTATCCTCTGCCGACTCACGCCCAGGAGCCCCAGCTGGTTGGCTAGGTCCCTCGGCTGTAAGCCCGCGAGGAGTAGACAGCTCGACGCGCAAACGGTCATCCTCGGAAACGGGAATTTGATCCAGAACCAACAGATTAACCGGTTTTTCAGCAGTGACGCGGGTGTTGTGCACCGTGACAGTACGGACATAGACAGAGCTGTCTTCCTTGTTGAACATGCCGCTCGTGCTTCTTCGGACATCGGGTTTGGGGTATATGACTTTGATCGACGAGTCAACGCCTAGACCAAGAGTAAATCTCCCACCAGAGCTACATTGAGGGATCTTAGTCTGACCCATGAAGCTACCATCAAGTGTCAAACTTGCTGGTCCGGGGAAGAGGGTAAGTTTGCTGGTGTTCTTGAGCTTAGCCTTGAGATATGCAACTGGCTGATATTTTGCTACAATAGTGTGACTGAACTGGACATTGGTGAACTGCAGACGAGCGACGCGCTGCTTCGAGACTGTGAACTTGGGCACCAGGGTCTTGAGACCAGGTAGATCGAACGTTGTTGTGAAACCCGTTTCTTCGACCAGTGAGTTTTGGAACTCGATAGAGGGCTGAGCTTCCGGCGTCCCCGCATCTTGATTGGGCTCATGTAAGAACTGGTCAAAGTCGAAATCAACCAAATCTCCATGCTGTTGTAGCACCGGCTGCCCATGAAGAGCTGGAGGGTTTAGTTGCATCTGCTGCTGCTTTTGCATCTGCTGCTTTTGCATCCGGCGCTGCTCTATTGCCTGTTGACTTTCCTGTATCTGATCTGGTTGCATTCGCGATAGGTTTCGTCCCGGGTTGAAGAAAGGTGGTGCTGGAGGCGCATCGCCATTCTCTTGCCTGGCCATCATAGATCGTTTCTTATTCTGTTGCTCGAGTAACATCAGCTGTGTCTGATAGTCTTCCAACGCATTCCCACCAATACCGAAAGCCATTCGTCTGGAGTGGCTCTGCGGCGGCTTCAACCCCTTGCTGCGAGGAAAGGCTTTTTGTTGACGCTCTGCATTGCTCTCAAGAACATCACTAGAGCCATGCCCTGAGCTCCTACTACCCAGCTTGATACGCCAGGGTGTGAGGACAGGATGCGACTCATCGAGGCTCGAAGATGAAGCTTGGGAGGTGGACAAGGTGATCTTGCAATTCTCCCAAGTCTCGGATGTGGTATTGTGAAGACCAGCATCAAAGCATAGGGTACCCATAGAGTTAACGGTTGACAACTGCATATCATAACTCGGAGTCCAGAAAGCCGAGTCCGTCACATACGACAGGATGAGGTGGCATGAGGATATATCTTCCCTCTCAACAGTCTTACTCCGGGGCCGTTGGACAAGGTCAAACTCACTAGACGTGGACTCTCGACGAGACGAGGCCGGCGTATAAGACGAGTGGACTTCGAGCTGGATGTGTACGGTGTAGCAATATCGAGGCCAGCATCGAGCTCGTTCATCACGAATGCGTTGCTTTTCGTTGCGACGCTTCTCAAGTAGTTTCTTGCGCTGCTCTTGCTTCTTCTTTGTGGCTTTTTGGATTTTGGCCTTGCTCTTATTTTCTATTGCCCGGGCCTTCTCTGCAAGTCGAGCCAGGCGTGAATGCTCCTTGGTGGCATTGGCGATCGCTTCTGTAAGCTGTCTCTCGTGCTGCACACCAACCAATCGTTCTTCAAAAGCCTTGGTGTGCTCTTTCTGATAGATTTCGAGCATCTCACTAATGTTGACGCCCTCTCTCTTGTCGAGGGAATTTGAAAACACGTCGAGAATCTTGATACGATTATCGGCATTGCCGACAATCTCCCTGGCCCTCTGCCGTTCGTCCTGAAGCTCAATAAGCTTCATCTTGACTTCCAACAGAGTCTGGCTCTGCGGTTCATCTGATGGCTCCTCATCGTCTTGGTCACCATCTCCGCTTTCGAAGTCATCATCGTCGTCATCATCCGAGCCAGGGTAAACTTCATCAAACATCTCACGATTGGGTAGGTATTCGACACTTATACCAGTAACGGTAGCAGCGCCGCTTCCCTCAACCGTGACAGAGTGCTTGTCAACGGTAGGACTCAGGCCAACGATGGATATTTCGTTGATACCAGGCTGGTATGGCGTGAGTAAGCAGAGAGATTGACCTTGTGAATTTCACTGACCTTCAAAGGCACATCCTTGATGTCTCGCTTGACCTGGGCTTGTGCAGGGAAGAGGGTAACGGAACGAGTGCCAAGGTCACGAATGTTGTATTCCACATTGTGCCCAACATCAGCAGCAAAGGCAGAGGGGAGATCGAGCATCATGGGCAACAGTAGCTGGGACGTATATGAATCAACAATGGTGGCAACGAGAGGGTCACGATGGTGCAGGTATAGGCGAGACAGATGACAGATGATAGAGTGGTCTTGTTATGAGAGGCAGGATGGACTGGGGTGAATTGGAGTGTATACAGAGAGAGGAAGGAGGACGAGTGCTATTGAGTATACTGGACAAGACATAAGAGGGGAGTAGACAGGATACTTATACTTGTCCAAGTGAGCATTTGAGGCAAGGCAGATGCGGACCACAGAGTCACTTGTACCAATGATGAGGCAGAAGATATTGGAGGTATAGAATGGACATGATGGTAATAAAGTGACACTAACACTATGCTATTTGGCATTTAAAGTCTAATTAAATAAAAATGAATAAATCATGATTGATAATTATTCTAAAATAAAATAACTCTAGATACCGCGTCGATAACAAAATGGTGAAAATCGGTATCACTAGAAGAATACGAGAAGAAAGTGAGAGTAAGAGTGAGAGGGAAAGTGTAGGCCAACACTTGGTGTGGGATGTTCGTTCAGTGGTTACCTGATTCTTATGCCTGAAACTTCAGGTAACATTCTCGTATGGTTCGCCGGACTCGGCACGAAGCCCATGGTTGAAATATGAGTAAGAATTTATAATCGTATTTATCCTGGGCAATTGGTTGTATTGTTTTGCAGATTCTACACTTGTATTCATTGACAATTGTGTTACAGCAGTGCCAAATGATCAAGAACGAAACACACGTGTACTGAATCAACCACCCTGTAGCTTCGCACGCAAAGCGATGTTTTCTGTCACTTTCATAGGTACTTATTAAGTCGTTAGATACAGCTTAACGAGAATGATAGCAATCAAACGCTTCTGGAAATACAAGTGTTTGAAAATTCATCTAAACTTGTGTCATGATTTGATTGCGCTGCTCAGATGATTCTTGTTGCTTTCGTGGCAATCGCCTGCTACAAACTTGACCAGGCTGTTGAACAGGAATTCCAATGACTATAAGATGCCCAAAGCCGGCATTATACTCCTAGAAATCACGATTGCAGAGCCACCTTGATCGCAGACACCTATCCCAGTAGCATGTACTGGCGGAGCTACTATCGCCAGAGTACAAGGTCACAATACACCTCAACAAGGCGCGAACCTGTATTTCGTAACGCTGCCTACGATACGCCTGCAAACATGGGAGACTATAACGGTCCACTGCCTAGATCTCGGCCTCCAAGACGAGAGAATGATCCGTTACTCAGAAGTGCAGCAAGAGTCCGAGATAGAAGACAGAACAACATCGTCGTACAACTGTACGATCTCGAAGCACAAGGTGGCAGATTCGGACTGGCTGGAGAGCGATTCAGCATCAATCAAAACGTCTTGTTCACATCCTTACCCCGGACCAGAAATGCAGTGAGGCGAGGAACCCTCCAGCTGGGGAGTTTCTTCATACCTCAAGACATGGTAGCCCATCCGCCGCACATTATCCATCAAGCATTGCACTTTCTGTTCCGCCATCTTCAAGACTATTCTCGAACTCGGGTTATCGACATGTTTGGGGCAGCCGAGCTAGAGATTGAAGATGACCCATCTCGCGACTTTGCAGTACACCGCTGGGCAGGCATGATGCATGCCCTGTGCGTGGTTCTCGACAATGATAGAGGACTAGGATGCTCAGACATGCTCTTGGCTGAGATTCTCGACTTTTTCGAAACTCTCATCCACGATGTTCACAACCTTGGGGGATGGGACGAGGCGGCTATCCTTTTTGAAGCCTTTGCCGGTATCTTCAGACCTACACGAACAGATTTGAGGCATCAGGTTCGCAGGATCTGGAATCGATTCGACCCTGAAGTGCAGGATCAAGTGTTGGGCGACATGAGACGTGCATTGCCGGTTGAGGGTGTCGATGGCAAGGCGCATCGCATGTACAGAGCATTGGGGTATTAGAACAACGGGGTCATCGATCAATTGGGATGGACGAGTATGTAATCTTCAGTAGTTGCTAAGAATATCACTTCACTTGTTGCATATCTTACTTGGGACTTCCCGTTACGTCCCAGCCTCATGAATTATGAACTCCGAATTCCATCACCCCACATGAGCGCCCAACCTAGGTACCAACCTATCCCTGCTCGTCTGAGCGTCATGGTCTGGCCTCGTTTATTCAGCCCAGCCTCTTTCTGTCTTCTTTTCACAGACAAAAGCCAGCGCATGCATACGAATGAATAGTCTTACTTTCCCTTAACTGAACCCTCTAACTGAGATCTCTGTTCGGTTATTTGGGCCCCGAAATTTCTTGTTCGGTGAACCTGAACCTGCCATTGAAGCCTTTCTTCTGTCTCTAGCGAAGCAATTGTCTATCTATTAGTCGCCCACCATGGCAGAACGAGCACCCTCTCGCAAGTCAAACCAGTCACCGCTCCAGAATCTGGATCCTCAACCCGTCCGCAGTCCATCTCCTTCACGAGAACGGGACCGTGGTGATCGCGACCGTATGGGTCGCGATCGCGGGTATGAGCGAACTGATCGTGGATATGATCGAGGTCCAGAGAGGGCGAAATCATACCCAGGTCCTGAAGCTCAGCAGTTTGGAACCCAGCAATTTGGCACTCAAAATTACCACCCTCAAGACTACTATACCCCGGCCTACAATCCTCAGAACAACTACAATCCGCAGGGCTACAATCCTCAGAACTATCCTCCCGTCAGCGGTCCTCAGACAGGAGCTAATGACATCCCGATGCGCCCGGCATCTGAGTCCTTTCTTCCCAACCATCCTGGGGTTATGGCCAGCGCAATAAAGCCACCTAACCAGATGGTGCCTGCTAACATCCCGGCTGACCTGGGAGAACTCCGATCTCTCAGAACGAACTGTCAATTCAATCTGCGCGAATACATCAGCTTGCAGCGGCAGCGCAAAAGTGGCGATGCTTCAATTTCCGCTTATGAACTTGAGACTCGTATTCGCAACCAAACAACCTTTGTTGTGAATGATCTCAGGATTCTGCAGGGTGAAGTGCGCAGTATCGCCAAAGAAGCCGAAAACCATCGCTGGCGAAGATGGATCATTGGAGGCGCTATGTAAGTTGATGACCATCTTGATTAATCTTTGTAATTGCTAATTGATCAACAGCGCTACCTTTATCCCACTTATTCGCCGCTTCTGGCGACGAAACGACGACGACGAAGACTCTCACTCCTCGGCCAACGACACCGAGTTCGCCTTCAAGAAGTCCAAGGGTCTTCTCGATCACATCAAGGGCGGAGTCCTAGGCAAGGGTCGCTTCGCCAAACTGGCCTTCCTCGTATTTGCTGTGCTTTTTGTATTCTCTAACGAGGTGTCAATCCGGGTCGCCCGAACTGTGCAGAAGCGCCTCAAGAAGCTCGCTGCACGAATCGAGAACGGTGACCCGGATGTCGACGACAAGGATATGAAGGTTCTTGAGGGTTGGCGATGGAGAGTTCTCCTGTGGTAATGATGATACGGATTCATGATAATGAGATGGAGATTGGGATGCCGTACATAAGATGAGGACACGATTTCAACGACGCCGACGCGATTTCATTTTATTTGTTATGATTGTTAAGAATGCAACGCAAAAGTCTATTTCATAAGTATATCGGAGGTTTTGAATAATATACAAGCTTTGGTCATTGATGGAGTTGTTTTCTATAGTGGACGAAATGATTGTGTTTCAGAAGGTGCGACCTCTGAAGTGGTCGCTAAATTATACAGCCTGCCCAGGTTCAGTCTCTAACGTGCACTATGACCAGCAAACTCATCATTTTCACCAACAGCTCAGATCAATCAAATCACCCAACATCGTCAAAACTTCCCGAACATGCTCGTTTAACACGGAAGCACACCAGAAATACCAGAGTCATCCATCTCAGTCCTTGAAGATGGGCGAAAAGAGGAAAGCTTCGCAAGACCTTCGAGGTTACACGCTCCCTGTCGACAATGGCGATCCGAACCAACCAACGGCCATGGAAAGCACCCTTACAAGACCAACGAAGGATGATATAGCTCAAGATCATCACTATGCTGAACTCTATGCTAAAGCGCCCGATTTCCAGCAACTTGCCCTTCAAGATGCAGACTTTTCGCGATTGTCAGTATTTCATCATCAAACTTGAGTCGCTAAATCTCATAGACCACTAGGTGGAATCAACATAAGGCCGACTTCTTCAACGATCCGGAATGTGTTATGCAATTGACAAAGACTCTTCTCAAGTTGGACTTCAAATTACAGCTTGAACTCCCTGATGATCGGCTATGCCCACCTGTGAGCTCATATCTACTATCTTGACGCGTCATTGTATCTAACGCGTCTTGCAGGTCATCAATCGACACAACTATATACTTTGGCTGAAGAATCTTCTAGACAGCTCCTCATATGAGCAGAATGACCGAAATGTTGTTGGCTTAGATATCGGTACTGGTGCAAGTTGCATCTACCCACTGCTTGGCTGCACGGAGCGTGATTGGAACTTCATCGCTACCGGTAGGCTCTCTAATCATGACAATGAATATTTAACTAACAGACATAGATATCGACTCAAAAAGTCTCGAGTATGCTCGCAAGAATGTGGCGCTGAACAATCTTGACCAGAGAATCAAAGTTGTTGAACGAAAACCCACGGATAACATCATCCCACTTGACGATCTGCAAGTCCCAAGCATCGCGTTTACCATGTCTAACCCACCCTTCTATAAATCTGAGCAAGAGCTCATCGAAAGCGCCAAGAAGAAGTCCCGTGCTCCCTTCACTGCATGCACAGGCGCGAAAGTCGAGATGGTCACTGACGGTGGTGAAGTTGCTTTCGTCGACCGTATTCTCAAAGAGTCTCTTGTCCTCCGAGAGCGTGTGCAGTGGTACACATCCATGTTTGGCTTCTTGACGAGCTTGATAGATTTTGTGGACAAGTTGAGAGAGCATAATATTGACAACTACGCTGTGACAGAGTTTGTTCAGGGCAACAAAACGAGACGTTGGGCTATTGCGTGGAGCTTCGGTAACATGCGGCCTAGCCAAGAAGTCGCACGCGGCATCAAGACGGCAGTTTCCAAGAATGTGCTTCCTGAGATCACGGAGGAGAAGGTTGTCGGTATACCTCTGAGTGACAACGTCGGCGACTTTGCAGACAAGTTCCGCGCTGAACTTGCGAAGCTGGACTTGATCTCCTGGGAGTGGAATTCTGAAAGACTTGAGGGCACTGGCCGAGCCGCTGGTCGCGTCTGGGCACGAGCATGGCGAAGAAGAAAGCAGAGGGGAGAAACCGAGGATTCGAGCGCCCAGGTAGCCGAATGTGCCTTTGCTTTCAGAGTGTCTGTACGAGTTGGCAAAGATGATGTGTCGGTCAGTTGTCGATGGTTGGAGGGACATGATTCTGTCACCTTTGAGAGTTTCCGAGGATATCTCAAGAAGACTGCGCAGGCAGCTTTCAAGCCAAAAAACGCGGAGGCAGAAAAGTCTACCTAAAAGACACTGGTCTCGCCACTAATACTGTAATAATAGAATTGTCTTAATAGGATCCGGCTAGGACTAGGCTCCGTGTAAAGTGCACATTCTGTTTATCTAAGCTTTGGTCTTCATCCGGAATTGTAGAAGATCCGTCATGACTTCCGCCTTGCTCTTTCCCTCCATCAGAGCATCTCTGATAACGTCTTGTTCCGAATCAGGAGCCATGTTTTCGCTCTTCGGGGGGTTTTTATCCAAGTTTGTTGGAAATGGATACCCCTCTCCCACGGCAGAGATAAACATTCTAACCTCGTCACTCAACCCATCTCTCTTGTACGCAGAAGACAGGACTTTCCATGTACTTTCTACCAACGGTAGTGCATCTACTGTTTCCATTGGCTTCCCAAAAGCACTGCTTATTTGGAAGAGGTTAACAAGCCGATTGATATCCGCAGATTTGTTCTCGCCTGCTGCATGAAACAAGGCTGGGTTGAACCATAGACCATCGCCTTTCTTCAATGGAAGTGAAAGATAGTTATCTAGAAAGAACTCATTAAACTCAGGTAGGCGATACGCCATATAGCCCGAAGCGAAAGATTGACTGAACGGCAGGAGTCTTGTCGGACCGCTTTCGAGAGGCATATCGACATGCGCTACAGCGCCTTGAAGAGTCAAGCATTGGCTAGCGACTTGCATAGCTCGAGGGTATTTACCGCAACTCTCTGAAGACATGAAGCCCAAATGGTAGTCGCGGTGCGAAACCTGGGGTTGTCCTCCAGGTCTGACATTATTGACTTGCGTAGTGGTGCGATATCCAGGACCAAGCCATGAAGCGAAGATGAGGTCGAGGTAGGGGTTCGAGAAGTATTGGAAGAAAGATTCAGGATCTTGCAGGCCATGTTTGCTGAAAGAGTTCCAGATTCGATCATTTTTGCCAGCACCGGCGAAGTGATCACCTGCTGTTCTTGTGCCCTGACTTTCCTTCTTGATGATCTCGTTGAAAGCCGCTGTTGATCTGTCGATTACTTCTAGATCTCGGTAAAGATCAGATGTGACAAAGACTCCTGGTCCATGGAGAAGGACTCTATACCACTCATCCTGCAGTGCCGCCTTCTGGTCTGCAGTCAAGGTCGAGTACTTTGCGAGGTTGTAGATAGGTACGTTTTCCCTGATGTCTGCCGCAAGGGGATATTCTTGTTTGGTCGCCTTTTGGAAACACAGCGCCTTGAGAGCGTCTATGGGAGAGGAATCTGATAACTTGTACAGGCGTTCTTGCCCTTGTTGCAATAGTAGATCACTGGTCGTGTGGCCGTTGGTAGCCATTGTGTGCTGCTATGCTGTGATGCGGGAGTGCGAAGAACTAGAAGGAAGCTGTTTAGTATCTGGTGAGATATTCAGTAGGAGATTGAGGCAAGAAATACTCAACGATCGGCGAGAAATCCGAAGAGGCCACCGGCTTGTGTAATACTCATCTAGCGTTGTTGTGGAACAGCTTACGATATTGGGTCTTCGAAGAGGTTGAATGCATCTTGTAAGTGATGTACGGTTGGTTAATGCAGGGTAGATTTATCAAAATTATAACGAATAATTTAACCGGAAGCCAATTACGTATTGGAGGCCAATGAGCATTCGGAAGGATAACATTACAATAGTGTGAAGGTCATAATCCCTTCAGGCTCTGTCAGAGATCAATGCGGGGTTCAAAGAAAGCTGGAGAGACATTCCTGTCAAAATATTTCGCTATCAGATCTCGTTGGTGAAGGGTTGAACATGATTTTTAACAGCAGGATATAAGAGCTAGTATCGATGATACATCCTTAGAAATACTGTTGATGGAAGAATTTGATCAAGGTGATCTTTGAAGTTAGTAGTAGTCTAGCATTGTTATAAAGAGTACAGGTAGCTCACGAGTGCCAGGAAGCTGGCTTGATTGTCGATAGACGTGAAGCATGTAGTCACATAGAGAGGAGAGAGGAAATAGTTGAAATCCTTTTATTGTTTTGTATTGTGGAGACCATTGATATACTGATCCCAGTCGTTATTCTATGAGGCTTTTCGCCCCGTCATTATTGATCATGGCTAAAGACAAACTCCTTATTTTCCAATGCTTTTCTTCAAAACTTGTCATGCAACTCTAGTTGTTGAGGTTGCCAATGGTAATGGACTTGATGTTTTGGTACTCAGCCATTCCGTACAGACTGCCCTCCTTTCCGTAACCGCTCTCTTTGACACCACCGAAGGGAGCCTCGGCAGCGCTGATCTTTCCAGTGTTGGCTCCGACCATGCCGACTTGCATCTTGTGGGCAACGCGCATAACACGGCTGATATCCTTGGAGAAGAAATATCCGGCCAGACCGAACTCGGTGTCATTGGCTAGACGAATAGCATCCTCCTCGGTATCGAACTCGAAGATGGGCGCCAAAGGTCCGAAAGTCTCGTCCTTGGCGACAGCCATCTCTTGTGTGACGCCAGTGAGGACGGTGGGCTGGTGGAAGAAACCGGGGCTGTCGGGGGTAGAGCCACCGGTTGCGATTTGGGCGCCCTTCGAGGTAGCGTCGGCAATGTGCTCCTTGACCTTGTCGACAGCGGCCTTGTTGACGAGAGGGCCTTGAGTGGTGGACTTGTCGAGACCGCTACCCATTTTGAGAGCGTTGACCTTCTCGACGAGCTTAGCGGTGAATTCTTTAGCGACGCTCTTCTGGACGTAGAGTCGGTTCGCGCTGAAGTCGTGTTAGTATCTTAATCAAATTTCAGGTGCCTGTGACTTACCAGACGCAAGTTTGTCCAGAGCATCGGAACTTGCAGAACATAGCACCCTCGGCAGCAAGGTCAAGGTCGGCATCCTCAAAGACAATGAAAGGAGCGTTACCACCGAGTTCCAAGCTCAGCTTCTTCAAGGTGCCAGCAGCAAGCTTGGCGAGGTACTTGCCAACACCAGTAGAACCAGTGAAGGAGATCTTCTTAACCAGAGGGTTGGTAGCGAGCTCAGTAGCAGCTTGGCGGTCACGAGTGGGAAGAACCTGGATGGTGGCAGGAGGAAGACCAGCTTCGATGGCGAGCTTAGTGAAAGCAAGGGCGGAGTAGGGAGTCTCGGAAGGAGGCTTAATAACAACAGAGCAACCAGCGGCCAGGGCGGGAGCGATCTTTCGAGTGATCATGGCGGCGGGGAAGTTCCAGGGTGTGATGATACCGCAGACACCAACGGGTTCGCGGACGGTCATGAGGGTGGTGTGAGGAGCGGAAGAAGGGATCGTGACGCCGTAGGATCGAGTGGCCTCTTCGGCGAACCATGAGATGAAGCTGGCAGAGTACAGAACCTCTCCCAGAGCCTCAGAGTAGGTCTTTCCGTTCTCGAGAGACAGAATGTTGGCCACTAGTGGTTTGTGTTAGTCTTGGGACGCAGTGAGCGTTAGAAGTTACGTACAGTCCTCCTGGTTGGCGAGAACGAGGTCGTACCATTTCCTCAACAGGGCACCTCGGCTGGCACCAGTTGTGCTGTCGAAGTACTTTGTATGGGCAACATCGGCGCTCTTGATGGCGGTTTGGAAGTCCTCGAGGGCACAGTTGGCGACCTGTCCGAGGACAGTGGCAGTAGAGGGCTCTGAAGTCCGGGTTAGCTGTTAGATTCACAGAACTCATGATGAAAGTGTTACTGACCAAAGACGTCAAATTTGTTATCCTTGGCGACCCATTGGCCATCGATGAAGGCCTCTTGAATGAGAAGGCTCTTGTCCTTAAGCTGTTGAGTCCCCAAGTTAGCAACCATGAATCTTTGGAGGGGTAGAAGTGCTCATGACTGAGGGGCAACTTACGCCAGCAATGACCTCCTTGTGGTAGTTTTCAGCCATGATGAAGTTTGTATGCGAAAAGTTTCTGAAGAACAAGAATTCGTTCAAGTAGAGAAGCAGAAATTCGAAAGAATGGAAAGATGAAGAGAACCAGACAAGTTCCGGTCAACGGAGATCTCCCAAGTAAATAAAAAGTCGAGGATCCACGACAGCTCCTAAGCAAACGTCACATGGACGCGCTAGAAAACTCCCACCCCCCACCAACCGAGTATGCTTAAGCCGTTGCATCGTGTCCATAGAGGTCAATGTTGACTGAATTGAGGCCAGTCATGATCCAGAGACGGACCCCATGAATTTGTGAGGCCGGGGCAGTGGCGCTATAAGTCGCTAAAAAGACCCCAAATTCCAGCAACAGACCGGATCTCGGTTCCGGTCCCAGGCTCATCAACCGGCCCGGAGCAGCAGCAGACGGTTCCGAGCGGGAATTACATTCCGGCTCTGCAATGACCGGGAACCGAGAGCATTTTGGTGTAGAAGTCGTGCATTTCTATTGCCGTTTAAGGAATGGTACGTTAAGGCGGTTTGTTGTTCGAATTGGTCAGGTTCTGGGGTGAAGTGTCTGGGGAAAAAGTGTGGAGATGGGCGGCTTCTCATAATGAAGTAGATGTGTAGATATGCCGGGCACGGTCGGAGTGGCCATGATCATACAGCTTATCGTTTCGGATTTCTCGAGAGATGATGGGAGGGATAGCGGACTTATGTAGATGTTAATAATTAATGGACGTTCTCTAGATTTGAGTTGACAGGCCTTGTTCATGTCTGAATTTCTGTAAAAATGTATGGGGGAATAATAGCATTGGCGAACTAGAATTGAGAACAGGATAACATGAGAACAGTCCTTGTTGACTCAGAATAGTTGTTGAACAAGGACCGTGAAAGAATTGAATGGCCTGTTCTTCCCACTCTCAAGGTGATGAAGCGGGCTAGCTAAATTTACTCTATCAACTGCAGGCGACAAATTACCACGGACCCTCGCTAACTCACACTACAACACTACCACTGAGAACTTCAACGCCGATAACAACAACATCTCTTAACTCGACATCGGTTTTGATATACTTGGACAGACTCTATTTTTACGACAGTTCCTTTATCACCAGCGTCAAAGGTCATTTCTTAGGAAGCTTGGGTTCTAAGCGCTGGTCCAAACTTCTGGGCGTGGCAGAGAAGATACGAAAGAACAATTACCTAACAGTCTTCTTGACGAACACTGTCTACTATACTCTTTTATCGACAGGAGAAGCCTTACAACAGATTCTCCAGCTTCAAGGTTTCAGTCAAGTGATCAAGGGACTGTCCCTCCCACTCAGCAAATGTCCCAAACCTCCATCTACGACTCGGAGCGCGTTCGAACTCGATTGCGGCACTTCAGCTTCTAGCTTATGAAGGCTGTATACGAACCTAGGCTGTGAGCCAATCTTACTGTCGATGAAACTGAAGAATGGTAAGTCATCCTTGTGGTCGAATCACAGTGTTGTTGCCCGAGTTCGCGGGCCAGGAACCAGGCTCCCAGTGGTACTATTGTAGTACACTCTCATGTTACGGCATATCCTGTGCGGGCTACAAACAGAAATGAGGACCGCTGCTAACTTCTGGGTTATCTAGACTGTTACCTAACTTCTGAAGGCAGACTATCTTTCAAGTCTCGGAGCGATATCCAGTACCTATCCACGACAACAATATTCCAGCGCTATAACTTCCACCGCTACTCCCAAGAATGAATCCATCCCCCAAAATACTCTCAAAGCAATTCATGGTAGATACTGATTGTATTGAACCTTTGTCGTGTTGAAGTGATGCAGTCAAGAGACTGTGGGTCGTTTGGCGGCGTGCAAAGGGGTAGCTCGAGATATGACTCGGCTTTGATCTTCCTCGAAATTTCAACCCTGTATACCTACCCATATATCGCAAAGCTTACCTATACCACCTACAAGTCCAATGATAGCTAGCTAGACCATAGAAATGACCTTGACAATCGACCGAAGGAGAAAGAGTGTCTGTGACCCCTAAGCGACAACTTGATAATCTAGTGTGATGCTAGTCTCTAGAACGTATATCACCTAGATGGGATACATGAATACAATTGAATAACACCTTAAGGAGTCCCAAATATCGATCGAACTACAAAGAATACAGCCATTAGCCGATCATGGTGCAACATCTGCGTTCGCGTAGAGTGGTCGGCTCTCCCCTGAGGTGTCTCGCATCTGCTTAGGCGTTACTGACACGCTATCTGTGTGATTCAAGTCAGAAGATTAGGGAAAATAGAAACTAAAAAGTTGGCAGTGTGGGTTTCGTACCATAGCATAGGGTTTTCTGTGGGAATTATTGATACCTAGCTGTGGGCGGACTCATGGAGGAGAATGAACGAAATAGACTGCCATCTGACGCCAGCTGGGAGCACAACTGACCGCTGCACTGCAATAGCAACACGCATGCCAATAATTCACAGCATGGCCTTATATCAATAGGTCCATACACACGTATTACTAGGTATGCATTATGCTCCATCAGGGTCTGCATCAGAGACAGCTTGAACAACCATGAAGCTGCACAATATAATTATGAATTCCAACATGACCAACAATCCGCTTAGCAATAGCATTTGACAAGAAAACATGCAGAGTTCTATAAAATTCTAATTCATAAGGGGATATCAGCCGTTCATCTGAAGTGCCAGGACTAGTGCAGTTGACATAGTTATGCCCATATAATGCTTCCACTCGCTTCCACCTATCACCCACCTCATCTCCCACACGTCATATCTTGATAAACAATACGCAGACTGCCATGGTAACGTTGCTCTAGCTCACCGACCCTTCGGTCAGTCAAGGGCCAGCACCCTACATGTGCGCACAACTTGTCGCCAAACTCACAAACACAGACCAAGTTCTTAGCTCCCACCTGCTCATCTACCTTCTCTTCCTCTCTTACCCCTCTCCTGAAGACCTCCAAGCTTCCCAAACATCCTTCCTTTCTCACTTCCCATTACCTACTGCTTCTTCCGTTGGCATCGCCAGGTGGGGCTCCTCTCGTGGCACGTTGTCATGACCGTGGTTGCAAAATGGAACCCTTTCATTACATCCTGCCTCTATACTAGCTGCTACATAATGGCTCACTGGAGGGGCGCTGGCCACCTTAACATCAACGTAGGTACTTCATACCACACCCATCAAGAGTTACAGTCCCTACACCCATGGCTTTTGCGACACAGGCTGTGCACATCTGCAATAACCTTTACCTTGGCGCTGCTCTGACATTCCACTCACTATCTAGGAAGATGAAAGGCACTGCCATACATCGCCTCGCGGCGCTGACTACCTTCGGGCAGGCACACACGATACTGGTTAAAGTTACCGCTGGGGTCAGGAGGAGTCCTTCACTGGCCCCGACAACATATACAAAATAAAGAGCTCAGTTGAGAATGCTGAGCATGGCGGTATGTATTATATTTTACTTACGCAAGATGATTGAAGACTAACTTCGTTGCAGTGGCTCGGCTAAGGCGAGCAACCTGGAACCCATCCGGCTCAACCTGCCGCTGGCCCGATTCGAATCGGACTGCCCCGACCGCGTTATTGGGGGCCTTGAAGTCCTCAACTTAGGTGCTACCTGAGTACTATGTAAGTTTTAACACATCTCTAAACTCAGGATTCCCTCTAATATCTACCTAGCGGAGATCGGCACCTCCAAATGTCTGACTGCTGGTGTCCGTCTTGTCAGAACAGAACCTGAAGAGAAATGAAAGGGAGTCGTCCTTAATGTCAGCCTCAATGTGATGTGAACATCATCATTACCAGAAGGGTCTCCGTAAGGATCACGGTAACAGAATGTCTCTAGTCCCTCATCGATGGCAGCAACGCAATTGCTTCGAGACACGGTTTTCTTTTCGGTACGAGCAAGTTCACATCACGTTGATGTTGGCATTAAGGACGTCTTCCTTATGAGCCTCTCCTGTAAATAGGGAATACTTGGACCGTTGGGTGTTAGCAGGGTAGAATGACAGTTAAGACTTTCATCAACAAAATTACACTTTTGAAGCATGAGAACTTCGATGATTACACGAGACACCTTTTATACCACCCCAGCATAAGATCTGTGACAACGAAATGACTTTACTTGGTTATTTCTTTTCGGTATATCCTTCTTCCTCCAATACTACAACTGGGCACCCTTTGCAATGACGATCATTCCTTGTGAGGGCTTTAAGCGGTTCTCGGTCTAGGGACTGCCGGTATTAGAGGAGAAGGAAGGCGACATGTTATTAGATACTCAGTTGCTGGCCTTTTGAAAGGGAAATGTCATTCCATATCCTCCGTTCACTAAATACCTCGATCCTCACTCGGTCTCTTTCTTCGGTTAAACTCTTGTATATCTTCTTCGAGACAGCTACGCCAACACTTTCCAATTCATCTAGACAAGATTGCCACTCCTCCAAATTCCTGGACTTCAACAGTCGAGTGAGACGTGGGAGACCTATGGGTAACTGGACGACTGTCAACCCCGGGCCTTTTCGCCCAGAAAATACGACTCACGCATCTTTGCTCTTCAAATAGTTGTAATCTTTCGTCTAGTCACTCAGTCAGATTCTCGCCACAGTGGATGTTGTTGACAAAGTCTGGCCGATAGGCTGGAGTCACGGACGAGATGGTCAGCATGGCTAGTTTTGGGTGCAAGCCAGATGATGTGTATGGAACCTCAATTTGGTAGGAAGAAGGGTTAGAAAACTCACCCCCTGTTATTCTTGTCTGAAGGAAATTATATACATAAGCCAATTATTCGTTGACCTAAGGTTGATGTTGATCAAAGAAAAGATACTTCTGATCTTTCACTGGGCTCGGAATATCCTCCTCCGCCTCAATTGTCTTTTTTTCTCCATCACCTTCATACTAGGACAAAAGGTCAGAATCCTCTTGACTTTCCGCGAACAGGTTTGTATAGATTTGAGAGCGGTAGAAAGCTCTAGCTACCCGATATAATTCCCCCGAAGATAGTTCCTGGTAGTCCGGGATGCAATCGTCTTGGCTCAAACCGTGCAGCTTGCGTAATGACCACAAAGTAAACCCAACCCGTAACTTCAGAACTACATCATGGATATGCGCAATCTGGATTGTTTTGCCAACAGGAAGGATTAGTTTGTTGTCGACAGTATCGTCGGGGGAATCGGTGTAGAATTTGGTTAGAAAGTCTTGAACATCTATACCACTAGTCTCGAACAGGCTTCTGTGATCGGTGGGTAGCAATGGTCAAATAGAACATATTCTCAGGGACTTGGGTACGTAGAATGTCCAAAGGCAGACTTGGAGTATCTAAGAGAGCTGAGTAGAAGATTCGGTGGCTCAGCAATATTGGAGGCAGTTGGTGTATACCATACAAGAGACGAAGAACATCGGCTATAAGACGCAGGGGCAAAGACAATATGGAGGTTATCATAGATTATTGAGAAGTCAGGTCAGAACTCCTTCACTGTCCCGCGGCATATAAATGTTATACAAGGCACACATACGGATATTGGGTAGCATGTAAATGGTGTGACCTGGCTTGTGCGGTGACATTAGTTCCCAACTGACAGAAAGATTATTCTTTGAGACTTACGGGCACTATTTGGCATATACGCCGGCCCAAGCCTGCATGTAGTGACAGGTTAATTCCGTCTTCTGTGCTCTAGGAATACGATGAAAGATGACAATTTAGTGCTGTGGTCTCTTTCTCTCCCCAGACTTGCAGCACACCACAACCGTCCAGCGTGGGGAGATGCGTGTCTACGGTCTAGACTATCGACCTTGATAAGCAGGAGGGTTGAAGAAAAGTCGAGACTTAGTTAAGGGTGTCGTGAAGATCAGTATAGTCTACTCTAGGCTTTAGTGCCTGAGTATGTCTAAATCATCTTGTTGATAGGATTCTATGGCCGGGTTAGTTTCCGGACCACCTGTCAAGTTCATACTAGGGTTTCCCGGGGTACAATCATGGTATGTGACAGCGAGGTAGCAATCGCTTCTGTATTCTGTATCGTTATATCCTGGTATCAAATCGTCTACACTCGCGGTTACACACTCGCTACAGCGTATGCTTCTTATGTCCAGGTACTTCGTAAGCATCCCACGCCATTCTATCTATTCCATCGCTTTGCACTTTCCCCCATTTCTATTGGCAGTCGGCCACCAGATGTAACTAGTAAGATGGCACACACACTTGACTCTATGCTTATATGCGTGAGCTCAAGTCCAACGACTTCTTCATCCCCAGTGGCCGGTCAGGGATGAGGGGTTCAGTCTCCTAGACTTCAGCAACAACCTTCTCCGTGGCTTCTTTCATGCAAGCCTCCTGCTCAACCTCCACAGGAGGAATGGCGATACCGAACTTCTCGTAGGGGAAGTTTTCCAGACTCAGCATGTACTCAGCCCAGCCATCGTCAATCTCACCAACCTGGTGGAGGTCGACTTCTCCAGCCTCACCAGTACGTCCTGCAAGGACTTCTGGCTCACGTCCATCGTACTCCTTCTTGAGCATAGGGTGGGGACACCAGATGACACGCATGCCAGCACGGCGGCCAGCCTCGACACCGGGGACGGAATCTTCGAAGACGAGACACTCCTCGGGAGTAATAGGTCGCTCGCCTGCGGGAAGACTGTCGTTGATAGTCTTCAGGGCAAGAAGAAAGATGTCAGGTAGTGGCTTGCCACGACCAGGGGTCAAGCGGGAATCATCTCCAAGGACACGACGATGGGAAGGGAAGACGGAAAAGAGCTCCTCGAGGTGGTTTGTCTTAACGCGAAAGTTGCCAAGGTGAGAGCTGGTAGCCAGAGCGATGTGGACTCGATGAGGTTCGCCGGTAGAGTTCTCCTTAACCTCCCAGTATCGGGTACGACCAAGGTGACCGAGCATGTCGACAATACCAGGGAGGGGCTTGGTTTCAGGAAACATCCTCTTCTGAAGGGCGGTGTTCTCAGCAATGTATTCCTCAGAGGTGATAGGAAGCTGAGCCCAGTCGTGGAAGATCTTGTTGGCCTGGGGGCCAGGTCGGCCCTGGAGCTTGGCTTTGATCGACCATGGAAGAGAATCTTTGCCATACTTCTCCAGAATGATATTGACACACTTAGTGTAGATATCTTCAGTATCGAGGAGCAGGCCGTCCATGTCAAAGAGACAGGCCCGGACGGGAGGGAAATCGGTGCGAGGAGCCATTGTGAATGACTTGAAAGATGGGTTTGTAGTAGGACAGGTAGGCAAGTACCTAGTAAGAGAGGCAGTCAGGGGTTTTTGTAGATGGTGATGTAAAGTGCGAATGAATCAAAGACGACGGATGAGTTAGTAGCAAGAGAGGTGATCGGGGGTTCTTATTGACCGTGATGTGAAGAACAAAAGAAGAACGCCAGTGCCAGGAGACTCGCGAAAATGAGTTGAAGCTTTGAACAGCAAGGTGGAAGCAGCCGAAATGGAGGTGATCGCGAAGTTTTTCTGACAGCCGCAAGCAGTGACTCCCGTCCCGTCGCTATCAGCCCAACCTTTTCCAGCAGGTGGGGGAGTCGATCACAGAGGCGACGTGCTGGAAAACTACCCCGCGGTGGGGCTTTTCCAGTGGGGACAACACTCGCTATGCCAGCTATCGCTTAGTGGCTATATGACGTGGATAGAGCCGGCAGGAGCGTCCCATCGGAATTATGAGGCTCCTGTCCTCAGTCCTCAGGTATTCAGATTGGCTCATGACATTTCTCAATGTGACACTTCGTCTTCTCAACAGTCTCATTCCATTTCAGGCCTCTCTAGCGCGCTTCCCACTCTGAAGACAACGCATACGTCACATTCAAGAGACCATTGCAATTTGAGTTCAATTAATCAGTAGTGGGACCCTATTTATCAACTTCAATACCTCTTTCCCAGCCATGAGTTCAGACGCGCCGATCAAAGACGATGTGGTGAAGAAACCAAATGCCGGCGACACCAAAGATGCCGACGATTCTATCGATGGCCAAGAGCTTAGATTCACACCAGAAGAAGAAGAGGTACGGTTGTTGAACTATCATCCTTCTTGTCTTTGAACACCGCTCATCCAATTTTGACTCTTGTTCGTTAACTTAGACTAATTCGCCCAGGCCTTAGTGAAAGAGTCGGATACGGCAAAGCAGGAGGCAAACGCCTTGTTCGCTTCCAAACAGTATCAAGATGCACTGAACAAATACGACGATGCAATTAATTCATGTCCCAAATACCTGTATTATCCTCGGGCAGTCATCTACAGCAATATTGCAGCTTGCCATATTCAGCTTCAGGATTGGAAAGAGACCATCAAAGCAGCTTCCGATTCTCTTAAAGCTTTGGAAAAGCTAGAGCAGAGTAACAGCCGACTACAGTCTGGGGAAAAGAAAGACGGTGACGAAAAGACTAAGCAGGAGGATGACGATGTGGAAGAAGAGATTGTCAGTACTGGAGCTTCACGTGCGGCCCCAGCACCTGTTACAGTCGATGAAGAAGTCAAGACGCTAGAGGCGAATATTCAGCGCATTCGATGCAAGGCCCTTATGAGACGAGCCCGTGGCCGCACTGAGGCTGGTGGCTGGCACAACCTTGCTGGTGCAGAGGAAGACTGCAAAGCTCTTGCTGCCAAACCGGAAAGTCTGGCTCCAGCAGATCTTCGAGTCGTTCAAAAGCAACTGCGAGAATTACCTCCGCGGGTGAAGGCTGCCCAGGAGAAAGAGATGGGCGAGATGTGGGGTAAGCTAAAGGACCTTGGAAATGGCATCCTGAAGCCCTTTGGGTTGAGCACGAACAATTTCCAGATGGTCAAGGACGAGAATACTGGAGGTTACAGTATGAACTTTCAGCCTGGAGGAAAGTCTCAATGAGTACAATGCTTTATTGTGGAAGACGAAAATTTTTCTCTATTCATCTATCAAGTCGACAAACAAAACTCCAGTTCCTGCACCCTAGAGAAAAGCAATAGATATCCCAGCGCTGTCTATTTTTACCATGCATCAACAATAAACACTTACTTCTTCAAGGCTCGACGCACACAAGTCTATCCAATGATCCCTGCCCCGGGTCATAAGCACTTGATCTCTACAATGACGACGTATCGAAAGAGTTCGACCGACTGGGTGGCTCATACCAATTTTGATAGGGGTGGTTTGGCAGTTTGAAGTCAGCAAAGCTCAATGGGTTGACAGGTGTTTTTATCCCTGCAGAGGCCATTGCGGGCGGTGTCGATAACCTCGAGGGCGTCAAGGATATCGAGGTTCTTCGAGTTGTCGAGGCACCTAGATCATGGCTGGTTTCTGTTTTCGGGCTCAACGTGGGCAACTTCATGCATGGCCAACCCCATCCTTTCTTGAGCTCCATCTCTACTGCCCCCAAACGCCAACCATTCCTGTTGTTGATTCTTTCAAGAATCTCGAGAACTTCACTTTGTTCGGTAGGGTTGGTGAGGACGCCAGCTGCAATTGCTAAACAACGGATCGCAACTATAGCAACCCCTCTATCTGTGGTATGGGCCACGATGCCGCATACCTGGTACGCATGGTGGAGTTGCAAGGCACGCAGCCTGTCGGAAGACGTGAAAGACTCAGTTGGGTGCGTTTGTAAAAGGATGCAATGGGCAGTGTGGAACAGGAGCTGTCCAATCGTCGCTTCTCGCTGAATCATCCTAGACACGGGTTATTGCAAAGTTCAGCGTCGAAGCTTCGGTTGACCTACCAGATACGAGGGAACACCGACTTGCCCGTTGACTCTACTGCTTTCACATAGCCAAATGGATGCATCGTTCTCGGGCATCGTGTGTTCCAACCATCACAGAGTCTTTTAAGCTCATGCCATTGCGATAGGCGATTACCAACCCAGTTCCGCTCGGCCTGTGGACTCGTGTCGTCGAACTGACCTGCAGTCGCGCGAAAGTTCGTAACCTTTGCAACAATATACAGGGCACGGTGTACCCAGGTTTGTTCATCTCCATATTCGTTGTGTTGATGGTTATCGGGTTCTGGAAAGTCTACACCCCACTCGTCGGGGCTCCATGTCGTCTGCCAATTTGCTGCGAGGCAGTTCAGAACTTCTATCCCAATATTCAACCAGAAGCAGGCCAACCCTATCCCGTTACTCTTCGCATTCCACCCACACTCTCGTACTAAGGCTCGGGAGCCTGCTATATGACTCATCCGGTGGGCGGGCTTTTCGGACATGATCTCGTATACGTTGAGCACAATCGCTGTCGTCGCGCACTCCGCAGTATTCCGATCAGGATTCTGCAGGCTTCGCAGGAGCTGTGTTGTCGCAGTGTTATAATAGAACAACGCTTTGTCATGGTTTTCCTGGGACATCAGAGAAGCATGTTTGACGCCACAGGCAAGGAGGGCGTTGAAGAGCATTGTCGACCTCAGGGCATGATGCGGAATACTTCTGGCGAAGTACTTGTCCCTGTTGAAAGAATCCATCCAGATTGCAACGTCGTCGACAAAGACTTGCATATAATGAACTTCCTCGGCGGAAGTGAGGATGTCGCGACCCACTAGTTCAATGTTTTGAATGGCTGGATGATGGATATGGTCATCTTCGTGTGCTTGTTCCAGCAAAAGCTCGTTGTGCGGCGATGTTCCGAGGTGCGGGAGTATCAAGTTGCCGGTATCCTCAACTGCTGCTTGGTGCGATGAAGGACGATTCCTCATCGCTATTAGTTGTTCTGGGAACAATTCTGTCCTTGGGGTTACAACAGAACGTGTCGATGACGGCGGTGTCGCAATGTTCGATACGTCACTTAGGATCCCTTGCCCGCTGTCGCTAAGCTCAAGCTTAATTGCATCACCCGATGGGCCTCCCAGGTCGTCTAATGCTCTCGGCGTGGTGTTATCGCGTACATAGCTGAAAGGCTGTTGCGAGCTAGACTGAAACCTCTCAGTGGCAGCATTTATTTCTCGCGGATGACTGCCTGTTACCAGGGGTATTGCTTCTTTCGAGTCATATCTATCATCGAGTCCTGGAGAATATGGTGCGTAGCGACCAAGACCACCTCGATATTCGGAAGCAATCTCTCGTGATTCGTCTTGAAACTCGACTAGAATTCCGATCAGCACAGAACCTGTGTTTGAGATGGGAATCCATACCTGCCCAATCCTCTGGAGGTGGTATAGCAGCAGGACTGTGTAGGTTGATCTCAAGAAAGTTAAGACGCACACCTCTTTTGCATTCACGACCTCTTTTCCGGCAATTCATACAGTCAGGCACGGCCTCGTCGCACTTGAGGTGCCTTTCACGACATGTCAGGCATCCTGTTCGGACTCTCCTTCCTTTGACTGGAGTGGGATTTGGAGTTGACATGGAACTTTGCACATTCATCTCTTTGGAAGTCTCCGTGGACATTGTTGTCGTGTCCTGGCTGAGGCTCGGGGGTTCGGAGATCGGCGCCGTTGCCATATGTGGATGCCGATGGGATCCAAAATCAAAGAAGTCGAACTCGAGATTATCTTCCATCGAATATTGCCCTGATGAGTATCCTTGCCACTCCGGTGGGAACGACATTGTCTGACTTTGTTTGGATTCTTCATTTTGCATCGCCGCACCGAAGCTGACACCAAGCTTGGCGATGTCATTGGGGCCTTTTTGCGCCGACACTATTATCTACCTGGCTCTTCCGGAGGCCACGGTAGTAATGTACGATTTCTCTGCGAGTATTATTGATGCAGCCACGTTGGTTTTGGAGACTTCGTGTTGCAAAATAGATCCAGATGCTTTGTTATCACATTTGTGGCTGGATAACTGAATACCCGCAATACTCAACAATGTTCTAAATGTTCTAAATGTTCTAGAAAATTCAATCGGGGCATGGAATGAAATCATAACTTGGGGTCTAGGCCACGGCTTCTGATCCGGTTTCCCTACCCCGGGCTCGGTATAAAAGACCGTCCGTCGCAGGTTCGGGATTGTCGTTGCGGGCTCCACAGTCGGAGTATAGACCAGGAGGGATAGGGCGGGGTGTAATAACGAGCGACTGAAGATAAGAGAATGAACCGGATGGATCCTGAGGAGTATAAATTTAAGATGGCATCAATTCCGGGCGGCTTCTTGTTCTGAGCCTTAGTAACCAGCTGAAGAACTCCGCCTGAACCCGGGCGTTGCACCATGGTTATATGGCGAAGCACCACCTACTTACCTAGCCAAGGCACGCAAGCCAGTTACCACGGACTTGTACTCCGGATGTCGTGCGAGTACGATCAGCCTCTTTCTTCGGCTATGATTCGGACAGCAAGCTGGTAGATACTGAGACCCTTACACGGAATGGCGTCTGTGTTCAATTTCAGTTCTGTCTTGTCTTATCCTAGAGGCCAGTGAGGAAGCTGGACTGGAGGAGAAATCATGATGCCGGGCCGAACCATCTGTCCGGCAAGATAGCTCAGCTGTGCATGATGCCTTCCATACAAGGAAGGTTGCTCGTCGGAGTAAGTAGCTCTGGAATTGGTTCCTGGAGCGTAGACCACAGTATCTGCCGCATGATGTATCATGTATGGAAGCTGAGTTATAAGTATACATTACACATGTGGCGCCCAGGGTCGATGAAACTCGGCTTGCATCCCAGCTGCCTTTGCCTTTGCCTTGCATTGCCGGAAGCCGGAGTAAACGAACCCTCGTATTAGGATCGATAATGACTTCCTTCCATCCGCAGGCTTCGCTTATTGAATCGCCTGTCAATATTGCTCGTGCACCGCGATGTCTTTTCCTGCGGCAGAAATCAGCCCCCTCAGACGATGTGCGATGCAACTAAGCTACACGGATAAGTAGCACGGGTACGCCCGAGATATACAGTCAGTTTGATTTGTCGGTTGTAAGTGATAGGTAAGACAAAAGCCCGAAATAACTCGGGCTTGATAGCCAATAGGGTGACGAAAGCGCTTTCTCAGCTGGTTTTGACATTCAATGCTGTCCTTGTGTCTGTGACAAATTATTCCTAGATGCGACATTTCAGGTCCTTGATCATTCAATATGAATCAATAGTTTTATGCTGTTCCTCCGCGCTTGCATCTAGAGCCATGTCAGGCATTAATCCGGATACTTTATATCAATAGCAATAGCGGATCCATCGGTCCGTCTAGGCGATCATCAAGATAACCTTGACTAACGACTGCATGCGAATCAGCAATGACGGCCAAGAGGATACGTTATTTTTTCCAAGATATATAGATGTCGATAAAAAGAAGGTCAAGATGCTTTACTAATGTTGACCGAATTCGGAAAGATAGTGAAATTATGACCATGTTCCACAGCAGGGTAGAAATCCAATCCCAATCAACTCTGCTTTTGATAACCTTCAAAATTCCTAACCATGACCACAAATCCTTGTCAATGAAATGGACTCATCAACTCCAACACCCAAGTCCATATTGCGTGGTCACAAGTCTCAGATTCATGCGGCAGCTTTCATCCGATCGAATGAGCGTCTCATCACAGGCGATGCAGATGGTTTCGTGGTGCTATGGGATCTCACCATAATGCGCCCGAGGGCCGTTTGGCGCGCACACGAAAAAGCACTCTTGGGTGTTCGCGGCTGGGGCGATGATAAGATTATCACGTAAGATCTTCCTCAAAATGAAGAACCTAGGTTTCTAACGACAAATTCTAGGCATGGACGTGATATGAAACTCATAGTATGGAAGCTTGGCGAGGCAGATGAGGACCATCTCAGCACAGCACTTCCTGTTGAAGACGTGCCGACACCCAGAGCTCAACCATGGGTTCTTCATCTTCTAGAAGTCAATACCTTGAACTTCTGTGCTTTCGCAATCTGTTCCAGCGTTCCTGGGCCTGTTGATACTGCCTCTGAGGTCTTGATCGCTGTTCCAAATACATTAAACTCGGACGCTGTACGTACCAAGCTTGTCTCGGTTGAAGTGACAAAACTAACGGCCATTATAGATCGATATCTACCATTTGCCCTCACAGCACCGGATTCATACCATCAAGGCTGGAGATAAGACTGGAATGGCCATGTGTCTTGCTCTTCTCCATCACAACGACGCTCTTACCCTCATTGCTGCTTTTGAAAATGGGTATGCGACTGTGCAACGCCTCGAAGCCAATGGGCAATGGATCACCACATACAATTCGCAAGCTCACTCACAACCTGTTCTGTCACTCAGGGTCTTTAACGACTTCTTCATTACATCCAGTGCTGATTCCATTGTCGCTAAACATCCTATTCCCACTCGATTATTCTTCCCGTTGAAAGAAATGGAACCACCCAAGAGCACAGAGCGCGTCGTCGAGATAATAGACGAGGACCCCAAAGGAAAGTCACTGTTGTCTGCAGGACTCAAGTCATCGTCGGCGCAAACCAGCACGGGTGCTCCCAAGAAAGGTGTGCCATGGAGAGATCCCCTCAAAGCTATCAACACCAAACATTCAGGACAGCAAAGTCTGGATATACGATCGGATGGAAGAATCTTCGCCACGGCAGGATGGGATTCCAAAGTGCGCGTCTACTCTTCAAAGACTATGAAGGAGCTTGCAGTCTTGAAATGGCATCAAGTGGGATGCTATGCTGTTGCTTTCGCTAATGTCAAGATATCAAATAAAGCGAAAGACAATACATCAACGACAGGTGAAGAGGACGAAACAAAGACTACGACTAGTCTCAGCACGCGCACAACCTCGCTGGCCAGGACAGGACTCAGCGTTAAGGAGCAGCGTATAGCAACTGCACGACAAACACATTGGATCGCCGCAGGAGCCAAAGATGGCAAGATTAGCTTATGGGATATTTATTAAGCTATGAAAAATGTGGTTGTACAGCAAGCAGACTACATTTTGTTAATCTGTATGTTTGATGATCCCCGAGCAGCCTCCTGCGCTGCGACTTGGGGGAGAAGTTCACAGATCGAGACCGATCAACGTTTTGCTCGGATAGAATAAATCAGATGTCCAAAGGGTAAAATAGAATAGAAATAGAAACGTCAAAAGACGGATGTCGTAGCCAGTCAGTTCTGTGATCCTGGACAAAAGCTATTATATAGCTATTAGCCCTCTATGATCTAGACAAGATTCATAGAACCCACCTTCATCACCCCAGTATTCTTTGTCCGCGAGCGGCATGTGCCTATATGGACGAAGTGCTGTCAGCGAGACCAGCGTACACACGCAACAGATTCTGCTGGCGACCGCCTACCCGCATTAAACGCGCTGACGAAGAATTTGTATTCCCCTTCGCCAAGTCCCACCATACTCGAAGTATCCAGGCTGCGACAAGGGCATCGCGCAGTTCGACGCTCATCTCGGCTGTGATGACGAGGCTCATACTGACTCGCTCATCCTCGACCTCCCTCGCTATCAACTCGCCCTGGGAATCTCTCCATTCGTAGCCTACGCCTTTGCTCCGCGACGAGCAAGCTTCGTACAGCATACCATGCGGCTCGAGCTTACGGTCCGCCCCCTTCGCAGCGCGGTCGAATCGGAAACCTTTCTTCTGCCGTAGGATATTACCGGAGCGGAAGTAGGTGACTCCAAAGGAGCATAGAGCTCGACGGGTAGCGGCTTCGGCATGGTAAGGAAACGTGGGGAACTCGGCGGCCGTCGGATGCTTGAGGTCGAAGAGGTGGCGGTTTCTTAGGACGACTTGGGGAAGACCGGAAGAGGTCTTGACGACCGAGTCGACGCGCTCGACTTTGACGCTGCGGTCATTGTCGTGGAGGTAACCGATGGAATGCGAGAATTCGTAGAGAGGTGGTGCTTGAGGGTCGGTTGAGTAGATGAAACGTCCAGAGATGTAAAGTGTTGCAGGGCCAAGGACGGCTTTGGTAGTGGGGTTTCCAGCGACTGTAGTGGGAGGAGGAGCGCTGATCAGGGTATCGTAGGAGGGTAGATCCAGGTCCGAATAATCGGGAGGAGGAAGGTCTGTCATTTTGGAATACGATACTGATAAATATTGGAGTATAAAGTACTTAAATCTTTAATGACGATTCGAAACAGGCGACAAATAAATGCAAGTGTCGCGTGCTGTCATTCACTCTCTATCCTGTTGGAACCGTTAAAAACTACTATGACGTGTATCACAGCAAGCTTCCAATTACTGTGCGAATTGAACTACAGCCACAGCCTAACTATAAAATTAAAAAAAAGTACCTATTCTACGGATACAGTAAACCAGATGGTTATTTGTGGACTGACGTTACTTCGCCTCAGTATCACAAGCCTCAATCACTGCGTATTCCCAGTTTTGATTCATCCTTCCGGTATTTCCGATAATTGCTAGTTCCTAAAATACGACTGCGATACGCCAAAACGCCTTATCACCCACGTTATGCATTCAACCTTTCCCTAAATGACTTACAGCCGGGAACCCAGGTTCACGTGGATGGACTTGGTGTTGCTGTAGGCCTCCAGTCCAGCCTCGCCAAGCTCACGACCAATGCCGCTCTGTTTCACACCACCGAAGGGGATGTAGGGTTCAGAATCCTGCGTAGAGTTGATCCAAACCATGCCGGCCTCGATCTCAGCAGCAACTCGGTGGGCGCGCTCAACATCCTTGGTAAAGACGGCAGCGCCAAGGCCATATGTCGTGTCATTGGCAAGCTTGAGGGCCTCCTCTTCTTCACTGAACTTAGTGATGACTACCACAGGGCCAAAGATTTCCTCACGGAAGACACGCATCTGGTTATGGACATCTCCAAAAACGGTAGGCTGGATAAAGAAACCCTTCTTGGAAGCGTCGACAGGCTGTCCACCAGCGAGAAGAGTAGCACCCTCGGACTTTCCAATCTCGATGTATTCGAGAATTCGATCGTACTGCTGCTTTGAGACTTGGGGACCCTGGTACACCTCTGAATCCCATTGGTGACCGACCTTGCTGACAGTCTTGGTTGTTTCGAGGAAGCGCTTGATAAATTCGTCGTAGACCGTGTCTTGAACCAAGAGACGAGAAGTAGCTGTGCAAATTTGGCCCTGGTTGGACATGATACCCATGTGAGACCACTTGGCAGCCTCGTCGAGGTCACTGTCGGCGAAGACCAAGAGAGGCGATTTACCACCAGTCTCGAGGGTGATGTTCTTCAGGGTCTTAGAAGCCATCTCCATAATTTTAGCACCAGTAGCGGTCGAGCCAGTGAAAGCAACCTTATCGACAAGAGGATGTTCGACAAGAGCAGGACCAGCCTCGCTGCCGTAGCCGTTGAGAGCGTTGAATACACCCGGAGGGAATCCGACTGCCTTGATAGCCTCGCCGAGGAGAAGGATGCTAAGAGGTGTCTGCTCCGCAGCCTTCATGACAATAGTGTTACCGCATGCCAATGCAGGGCCGATCTTCCAGGCGGCCATGGCAAGAGGGTAGTTCCAAGGAATAATTTGGGCGACAACGCCGAGAGGCTGGCGAAGAGTATAGGCGAGCTTGTTGGGGTTGGCGGTAATAGTTTGGCCAGTGATCTTATCGGCCCAACCGGCATAGTAGCGAATAGTGTTGATAACTTCGACAACGTCGCCGCCTTCAGCATCGCCATAGACCTTGCCTGCGCGAAGTTAGTATAGCTATAAGAATAGATTGGCAGCTTTTTTAAATACCATTGTCCCAAGCCTCCGAGGTAGCAAAGATCTTGGTACGCTCTTCAATGTAGTCGGCAAGCTTGTTCATCAGAACACCTCGCTGGGGAGGAGGCAGCTTCTTCCATGAGGGGTTGTGAAATGCAGCGTGGGCTGCCTTGACAGCCTTATCGACATCATCGGCATTGGCTGCGTGAACTGTGGCAATCTCCTTCTCGGTACTGATACAGATGCTTATTAGCCCAAGCGTCAGAAGCTATACGAAGATCACTTACGCAGGGTCGATGGAAGTAATCTTTTGGGTCGACGATCCTGGAACAAACTCGTTGTTGATAAAGAGGCCGGTAGGCTGCTTGTACTTGACGCCGTTGGGCGCCTCGAGATCAACATACAAGTCAGACATTGTGCTGTAGCGTTTCTGTGCTGTCGTGATAGTTCGGCCAAGAGGAGGAGCAATTGAGAGTTGGCACCGTGAGCGCGTCAAAGGTCGAAGAGGTACTGTATGCACAGAACGTGAGATACCAGCAAATGTGAGCCTCGAGGCGAGGGCTGCACCCATCTTCTTATAGCTGCTCAAAGACATGGCTGCAGAGAGAGGGGTAGCTCGGGCTTGGGTTCAGCGTCTCCTACTTGAGTTTAGCTAGCATGTATGTATCGCCGCCTCCCCCGCAATCAATCGTCTCGAGAACCCGATGCGGGATTCCTCAAGAGAGCAATTGATTAGCTGCTCTGTTGCTGTCCCGAAGCTCGTTATCGCTATCGAGGCTCGAAATGTGTAATGCTGTGCCTAGTTTCGGTAAAGCTCATGACGGCGAGCGGGACCGGCAATTGCCTGTAGATGCCCTCGTCCAGTTGCTGCAGTCCATCGTCATGAGATCGCCTATACCTTACTGTTCGAGTTTAGCACGTTTGGAAGCAATCGGAGCCGAGATCTTGGCGCTATCTATCATGATCATGACAGCTCTTATCGATAACATTTGCCGAGGGTCAGACATAAGAGACGAAATAATTTGGTCACTTTATGCTACCTCAGACTAGCACTTAGGCTGCTTTACTATCATAGCCCGCCTAAGGAGATGCTCTATCCTTTAATCCTCTACTACCATACCTAAACATCCGCAAACAATGTCTCCAGACCAAGAAAGGCTGTTGTACATCGTGTCATGTCTTGATGTCTTGTATCCGAACAAGGCTTACGTTCGATCTTTATTATTCTGGGCGTCGCTGTTTCGTCCTTGCGTACCTTTGTCTGGAGTGTGATATCTACAAACTTCGTCTCATTTGTCATCGTTCTCGTTATAAGCTATACATTAGTTTACATTTAGAATCCTTGCATCTAGGTAAATGTACTGATTAATACTATAGATGGCGTCTGTTCCCGGTATCTCAGCGAATACTGAGCAAGCCCGACCTCTTCCACTTACTCTACCTACCTTGCGACCAGCCAAGACCCATGACTCTTCGAACGACACCCCCTCTTGCTCTAACACAGCCGACTACCATAGTGGCACGCCTAGTCTTTCTATAGACTCCTTCTCTTCTGGGACTGTCAATGTATCTTTGGTCCAGCTTCTACCATCTCAGTTCCTGCCATTTCAGCTCCAGCATGAACATCCGCTACTACAACTCGAACAGAGGGAATCCCAGCTACAGCCTGCAGAAACCTTCTACGACTTGAACCGAAGGATGGACGCTTCTATCGGGAGACTTGGGCATCGCCAACGTTACTGACTTAGGAGCTCACTGATAGCTGTGACCGTTTTGAGCGGGGTCCAGCAACCTGGTCAATCACAGCACACTTTCCAGTCCGTTCTCCTGGAGGCAGCTGGCTTGTTTCTAGGTCTAGAAAGGCCAGGGCCAATAGCACAAGATGGGTTCGTGGACGCTGCCAAAGCCTACTATCGTATGCAGAACAGAATACGGACTCAGAACACTCGATTGCACGAATCGTCTGAGAAGAAGGTGAAGAGATGTGAACAGCACAAGAGCTACTACAAGAAGAAGGTAGCGAACGAGACGCTGGCACAGAGGACCCAGCAACTTGGACGCGATCGGGCCAGAGCTCAAGACAAAAAGGCAGACAAGACAGCTGTCGACAAGAGGAGCAGATTGGATCGCGACAATTCCTACCGAAAGTCAAAGCGATCAAACGAGACACCTGGAGAGAGGAAGAAACGACTTACATACCGACAAACAGCTTACTACAAACGTAAGTCCAAGGGCCACAAGGAAAACAACCCAGCACTAGCTCTTGTAGGAAATACTGGATATAATAGTATTTATTGTTTAAGCTATAGGTAGTACTGCTTATCACTGCTCACCACTGCTATTACTGCTCATCATTACCATTACTGCCTAGGTATCAATGCTGTTACTTGCTTACCACTATATTGCTTCTTCACTAACTAAGAGAAAATATTTCTTAGATCTGTTATTTCTTGCATCACATCTGCAAATCTTTACTCTTCACAACACCTCACAGTATTTGATCACGACCCATGAAGATTCAGTAAGACTACAGGAGGAGACTCACTGGGTTATTGCTGATACAGCCTTTAGCACAAACATGAATCCCATCATCATCGATGATGATGGCGATGCTCATATGGAAGCGCCACCACCACGCGCTCCTGGACCAGTTCGTAGGGATTTAGGACGTGCTCAAGAGGCACGTATGCATCCATACAGCCAAAGTCAGGGCGTCCGAAACTCAAATCGAATGTCTCTCCAGACCATCCAAGACACGATGAGCTATACCAATCACAGACAGGCGAACATGATAATCAGAGGCGGAGCGGACCTAATCCTTACCGAATTCAACGAAATCTCGACCATTCTCAAGAGCCTCGCACTAAAGATGGACACTCCCGCGACGACTTTCAGATTTTGAGCGATTCCTGCAGTTTGTGGACACACGAATCCAAGTTGGGATTCTCTCGCAGAACCACCCCTTGAGCGCCTAAAAGATCAAAGCTGGAGTGACTCCTGATGAACAAAAGAGAGAGAGACGGGCGGGCCAGCCCGTCTACTTCGGCCTTGTTGGTCTTAACTCTGAGACTGGAGTTGTTGACTGCGCCTAGCGCGACAAGAAGAACGCGGCGGTAAATCCCCAGTATGTTCATCTGGACCATGGTCAAACCCCCATCACGATCAGGACTCAGGCCATGCTCCAATATGACAATGTGGAACGTGACCGCATTCGAGCCTTTAACTCTTCGCTTATTACAAACTGCGCCCGGCGCATCATTCAGAAATGGGCACAAGCTGGTACCGCGCTTGTACCATTCATCGATAACATCGACAGACCTTTTGGCCTAATGTCCCTCCAACTGTCAGGGCCCACCGTTATAGCTGAGGGCGATCGGTTAATCGAAGCTGGACGGGCATATACCGCTCAATCCCAAACCCTGCACACAGTATTCCGATGATCGACTGGGTAGCAAAACAGTATACTGGGTTGCAATAGTTCTGGTTCGGGGAAAAGGAAAAGAAAATTGAATATGATGTCCAAAAAAAGAAGAGATAGAAAGGCCACAAGTTGATCAACTACGTAACAGAAGAACTATCTTACAAAGTTTAGATACTAGTTAGAGTAAACAGAGTATTCTAAATGCTAGTCTAAGCTCTATAAAGCGACTTAAATTGTTTCGTCTCTTGTGTTCTCGGCAGCCAATTACATCTGATATCCTGATGCCATCCTGTAGGTTGACTTGAAGACGCCACGTGGAGATGGTGAGGATGTAAGGCCGTTCCCAATAGCCATGGATCAAATGGCTGGATATGGATAGATCAGTTTATTTTACCAGAAACAACCCTCCCTGGATAATTCCAAAGCGGTCAATATGTCAGCATTGCTTGGCATGCCAACGTTAACAGAGCCGCTTACCTACCCCTAGCTACCTACTAAGGTACTGTCCCATCCCCTCTGTCTTGAAATAGTCACAAAAGTTCATCAACGCTTACTAACTCCGCAGGCTTTGTCCGCCGTCACTCGTCCGCCAACCGTGAATATGCAACGCGGAAAGATATTTCCTCCTTATCTTACCGCAAGTGTCGATGTCTGGCTACTGACAAAGAGCCAAGACCAGCGGGACATCAATACAAGCTCATCCAAGATCTGCAACCACTTCCTGGGGGAGATCGTCGCTTAACATGCCCTCGGGTCTCGTTTAGACCCTTCGATAGGGTTTGCTTTAACCGAACCCCATCAGATATGCTGACGGCGTGAGATGAGATTATGGGCAGACGCGAGCCTGTTAGCCAGTAGATAAACCGAAGTGTCTTACTTTTGAGTGTTGTTCCTGTTGTTGTATCACTGTTTGAACCAGTGAGCCTTAACTCCGGGGGTACCGATGGACGTCAGCCCATATCTCACTGATACGTAATTGCCCTAGGCGTATAATTTATCTAGATCCCTCTGTCTTCGACTGGTTACATCCAGTCGATGCTGTTATTACGTTTTATTTGGCTAATTTGACTTCTCCGACTCTTTGATCTACCTGGTCAAGTGACTCATGGACCGTCATTTTCTGACATCTTGTCGGTCCGTTTGCACGTGTGTACATAGATAGGTAGGTAGTTAAAATTTCAATAAGCGTTGAGCTGGTGTTGTTTAACGTGTTATGCCAAGCGTTATGCAGGACCCTCACGGTAAGTCTCTTGTCTCAGAACTAACATGCTGATGCGGCAAACACTACTAGACTGCCTTAACGTGATTCCATTATACCGTAGGTATTTCAAAAAGGTGTCAGCAATCAGAACTTTCATGACAAAACATATCCGCATGTGTTTAGGATAATTCCGTCGTCTCAACATGCAGTTTAGGATAATTGCTTTCTTTGCTGATTGAAACCACAACTTTAGTCCGAGGATTCGGACTAAACACCAAGCTTTATCATGGCTAGTTTCAGTTTCCCTCAAACGCCGCAGACCTGCATATCGGCCTAAATACTTAGACATTGTACTTACAGAGACGGTACTTCCCAGTCAAAGAGATCTACCACCTTGTGAGCCGCATGGACAATGTCCGCAACCAAGTACCGATCCTCAATGAGCAAATCACTTTAGCGTGGGCGCTTGTCTAGTTGTAGCGGCTTTGGCTTACGAGATAACTGTAGAAAAGGGTGTAAAGCTGGCGGACATAAGGTGGAGTCCGCCACTCCGCCTCTTGTTTATTGGCTGGTCTTGTCTTTTGCCCGTTATGCTGACAATGAGAGCACTTATACCCTACTCCTAGAGGTACTGTAGGTGTAGGTATCATGTAGGCGGATTTTATGTGCGGGTAGAGCTTAACTCCTGCGACAATAGGGAGTCAGATTATACAGTAATATGGATGGATTAGCAATTATGTTGGGTAGCCATGTTGTCGTATCTCGCAAATTATAAAGGCACTCGTTCCTCGCTGTTATTCAGTGTGTTCCAGATTCAGATCATCAAAGAGGCTCTCGAGCACTTACACATACATACTTTATACCCCTTTCTCAGAGCTCCAATATAAGCTTAACTCAGACTTTATCAACAGAGTTGAAGCGAAGATCGGCTATCATGGCGGCCGAATCAGCGAAAAAGCTCGAGGTCCCTGCGACTACGGATCGTCCCGAGTCTACAACTTCTACACTACGAGGAGAGGATGTTCAGGAGAAGAAGAAGGAGGAGGGACAGACAGATGAAGATGTCGAAGCTGGCACAGTTCAAGGCAACAGTGACAGTGATTCCCCTGAAGAAGATGACTACCCAACTGGTATCAACATGTTCTTCATTGTTCTCGCCCTAGTCATGGCTGTCTTCCTTTTCTCCCTTGACTTGGTACGTTACACCTCCATTCCCTCCCTTATCATAGACACAAGACACGCTAACATCGACGAACCAATAGACTATCGTGGCCACAGCTATTCCTAAGATCACCGATGAATTCAAGGGTCTTGACAAGGTCGGCTGGTATGGTGCTGCCTTCTTCATGACTGTCGGAGCTTTCCAATCAACCTGTAAGTCGTGATACCCTCAACCTTTTCTGGTTCCGGCTTGTCACTAACACCACTAAAGGGGGTAAAATCTACAAGTACTTCCCTCTCAAGACATCGTTCATCGTGGCCATTTTCATCTTCGAACTTGGCTCCGTCATCTGTGGTGCCGCTCCCAACGCTGAAGCCCTTATCACTGGCCGTGCCATCGCTGGTGTTGGTGGTGCAGGTCTCGGTGCTGGAGCTTATACTATCATCGGATTCTCTGCTCCTCCCAAGAAGCGACCTGCCTTTACTGGTATCATCGGTGCTGCATACGGTATCGCTTCAGTTATCGGTCCTCTCTTGGGTGGTGCCTTTACTGATCACGTCTCCTGGCGATGGTGTTTCTACATCAACCTTCCAATTGGAGGTGTCTCTGCTGCCATCATCTTCTTTTTCTTCAAGACACCCCGTGCTGCCATCCCTGTCAAGGCTCCTCTTCTTGAGAAGTTTCTCCAGATGGACCCTCTCGGCATTGTCTTGATGATGGGTCTTACCATCTCGTACATTCTGGCTGTTCAGTACGGTGGTCAGGCTCACGCTTGGGACTCTTCTGTAGTCATCGGTCTCCTTGTCGGTTGGGTTGCCATCACTGTTGTCTGGGCCATCTCCTGCTACATCCAGGGTGAACGCTCCATGATCCCTGTCCGCATCCTCAAGAACCGTACCGTCTGGGTCATGAGCGCTTTTGCCTTCATCTTTGCCGGTTCTTTCTTCCTGGCCATCTACTACATTCCCATCTACTTCCAGTCTATCCACAATGCTTCTCCTACGAGCAGTGGTGTTCGCAATCTTCCCCTCATTCTCGCGGTTACCTTCTCTACTATCATCAGCGGTGCTCTTGTTACTGCTACAGGCTGGTATCAACCTCTCCTCATCGGTGGTGCCGCTATTGCAACCGTCGGTGCCGGTCTCTTGTACCTGCTTGATATTGATACATCGACTGGAAAGTGGATTGGCTACCAGATTGTCGCTGGTGTTGGCTGGGGTTTGGCCTTCCAGATTCCCATGATTGCTGTCCAGGGTACCGTTGACCCTAAGGATCTTGCCTCTGCCACTGGTATTCTTCTGTGTAAGTGTTTCTCTTCAATCCTCAGTTATGACCACATCATTAACAGCATACAGTCTTCCAAGGTCTTGGTGGTGCCTACATTGTCTCTGGCGGCCAGGCTGCTTTTGTCAACCAGATGCTCCTCGACATCTCCGAGAACGCTCCTCAAATTGACAAAGGCCAGCTGATCCTTACTGGCGCTACTGCTCTTCGTGAGACGTTCGATAACGAGACATATCCCATTGTGCTCAACGGTTATATGCACGGCTTGAACACCGTATTCGCCATGGCCATCGCTTTTGTTGGTTTCTCCTTCTTGATCACTCTGCTCACCCGTTGGAAGAAGCTCAACCTTGCCAACATTACTGGTGGCGCGGCTTAAAGTTCCCATTCTCTTAACTCTTCTATAATAGAAACATGGATAATAAGGATATGTGAAAGGGTCTTTTGGGTAATGATGGATATTGCTTAGTTCAAGCTCAGCGCTTTCGGCAGCACATAGAATGGCGTCCGGGTTACATATACTTTCCTAAACGTGTACGATTTAATGACATAGATAATATTCTCCCAATAATTTTGGCTTTCTTTGTGGTCGGTCATACTATTGCTTTTGTTCGTGATAAATCCCTGACTCCCAAATATGATCCTAAACCCTGGCTCAACCTCAATGAGAGGTATGGACAGAACTTCATGTTTGTATCAAACTGCTAACATCCACGCCAGCACAGACATCTATAAATGTATTCTAAGTAGAATCTAGAGATAACCGATGCATTATTTAAAACTTGAACAATAAGTACAATCATTATCCAGCTGTTTGCAAACTCAAGGTCTAGAGGCCTGCATAGGTAAATAATGGCGATGGTACAGGGTAACCTTCTTCACATGTCGGAATTCAATCTAATCTGATAACAAACTCTATGGAAAAACGGACCCCTGCATCTTCAACTCCACCAAGAAATCCGTCTCGAACCGTCCCCAAAGCTTCGCGGCAGAAATTATCACGAAACCTTGCTGCTGCGCCCATCAGCCATGATATATGTTGATTTCAATTGAATAATATCTTCTTTTGTTTTTTTTTTCATATCATTAATATCTCCAAGAAATACCGCCGCAATGCTTCCTCTACGCTTTGTCCGATATCGCTCGCCTTTCACCACTTCGGTTCGCTCTATGGCATCGGCCTGCTCGACTTCCTCCCGCCTCGAAACCCTTCCAAAGTCGCCGATTCGTGTCCTACGCTCCGTTGAATCTGTCCGTCGCTGGCGAAACCCCCATGTTGTTAACCACCGTTCCGTTGGCCTCGTCCCTACCATGGGCGCTCTACATGAAGGCCATCTTGCTTTGATCCGCGCCGCTGCCAAGGAGAACCATCATGTTGTCGTGAGCATATACGTAAACCCTGCGCAGTTTGGAATCAAGGAGGACCTATCGTCGTATCCTGTAACCTGGGAAGAAGACTCAAAGAAGTTGGCAGCGCTGGATAGAGAGCTCGCAGATGATGGAGGGAACTTGGGTCGCATCTCTGCTGTGTTTGCGCCGACAACACCGGAGATATACCCAAGTGGCTTTCCAGGCCAGGAGATTGATAGCAAGGGAAGCTTTGTTACCATCACACCCGTGGGAGAGGTTTTGGAAGGTGCCAGCAGACCAACCTTCTTTCGGGGCGTTGCGACAGTGTGCCTGAAGCTCTTTAACATCGTTCAGCCCGAGCGAGTGTACTTTGGCCAAAAGGATGTTCAACAAACAGTCGTCATCCGTAGAATGGTCAAGGACTTTGTCTTGCCTTTGCAGGTGGTTGTTCAGCCCACGGAGCGCGATACAGATGGGCTTGCCCTCAGCTCTAGAAATGTCTACCTTGGCCCGAGACGAAGAGCTGCCGCTATCGTTTTCCCGAAGGCATTGCACGCTGCCGCCGCCGCTTATACATCTTCCGGCTCTTGCTCTAGGGAAGCCGTCCTTGGTGAGGCGCACAGAGTCATCAATGCCTTTGCATCGCGGCAGTCAAAGCTGTCCCCCACCGAGCGTGTTCTCTTCGAGGTTGACTATATCTCTCTCGCGGATCCAGACACCTTGACAGAAATTGATGAGATTGACCCGTCACGTGGAGCAGTCTTGAGCGGCGCAATCAAGATGTTGCCCGTCGAGGAGGCACAGAAAGGTGAGGACTTAGGCTTCAGCGGAGGACCGCCCGTGCGTCTGATAGACAATATCATCCTGAAGCCCCAGGATCAGAACAGCGCCTAAATTAGATGCAAGAATAATGAGTAAAAACGGAGAAAAACAATACCCGAACAGGCATGAGCTGTTCAAACGTTGCAGTTGGAAATACTGAAATAGATAAAGGGCAGACCAATGCCCAATTGAGTATGTCTATAAATGCTTATGATAAACTGTGTTGGTATAGTCCAAAAAAGGACGACTGACGCCGATCTCATCAACCAGCTGCAAATGAAAAGGAAGGCATACTCGCTTGTTGAAAACATGTTGTACAGAACCGCGCCGATAAATCTCACAGATGAGCCCGAGCCCTCCCTTCTCTCTTCTTCTTTCCTTCTCTAACACTCTTCCCGAATGCTTCCTTCTCCTCATTACTTAGAGTGCTAGGCACTCTGCCTTTGCCGTTCTTTTCACCTCCGATTGTCTCCTCCCAAAGCTTACGACCCAGCTCGTCGGTAAGTCGGAGCACACGACTACTGACTGTAGCACCGTCGCGGCGATTTTTGCCTTCGCGGCGTGACTTGGCAATCTTTTCGGTGAAGTCCCATAGTTTACCTTCAGCAAGCAAAGCACCTGTCTGTGGATCGCGGGGTGTTCGCCAGGAGGCATCTAGTTGGACGCGTGGAGGAATTTTAGAATCTTTCGATTTTACCACGTGGAGAATCTGATCTTGCTCGAAGCGCATGTATGAGTTCTTCAGAGTTTCTTTGTTGACAGCCTCAAAGTACGAGAGGTCACCCTGGTGGTAAAGCGTCTTGCCGAGCTAGAGAGAAGTTTTGTAAGCACATAAAGATATGCAAGACGGCTGATGTGTTGGAGTGTGGGCTATGACTTACCAGTTGGGCACTGTTGTGTGTTTTGCTTTGCTCAATCCAAGTGTCTTCATTCTGCCCAAGTGGAGGGGTGAGTCCCATGAGAGAGACAGCCGCCAACCAAGTTGCCTCGACAAAGGGCCAGATTAAGAAGCAGTAGAAATCGTAATTCTCCCGACCAGCCTTCCTCTCTTGTTCTGCAAGACCGACCATAGTGGCGTTGTCGTCAGCATCACGGTCCACTCGAATAACATTATCTGCTTCCAGACCTCGCAAAGTCCTATCCAAGTTGGTATCAAGACCCTCACTAGAGAAGATAAACTCGCCACGGAATAGCGACGAAAGAAAGAACACCTGCTCCCTCAACTCATGAAATGGCATGTCTTGCATCTGTGGACCACCTCCTCTCTTCACTCGCGAGTACATAGCAGCACTGACAAGCGCTTCGTAAATGAAGAGATGAATTGTCATATTGCGGTAGAATGACAATTGAAAGCGGTCAACAGCATAGTAAGTAGGCTCAGCGAGACCATCGACCATACCAATGAGATCTTTACCAAGTACTTCGAGGCCGCGCTCGATGATATCGGTGAGAGGTGCGTTTCCAAAATGGGCTACGCGCCCACCTTTAGCACGTACTCGTTCTGTAAGCCATGTAACTCGTCGGTTCAGTTCTTGTTTACCAACTCCACGACCACGAAGTGTTAGAAGAACAGTGCCGATCAAAGCTGTTGGCATCACAACGGACACATCGTTAATGTCGCTCAGCACCTGATACCCCATTGTCCGCAAAAGCTTCTCACGTACAGCTCGGACCTCAGGGCGCTGGTGATCGGTATCGAGTCCACGTGGAATGCTGGGGAGCTTTGATAGCTGCTCATCTAGAAATCCTCGTAAGCTCCAAGGCTCATGAAACCTAACATCCACGCGACCTAAACGTAACGATAGAACAGATGAACCTCCACTCAAGAAGTCGGCCAAGTTTTCTTTCTTCTTTGGCATCCCAAGCAGTTCCGTAACGTAACCCTCGGTCTCTATCACCTTATCATACTGGGTGCTGACAGGGCAGATGATGGCATCTTGGACCCGACCGGACAGGATACTATCGAGGACGAAACTAAGGATACCGAACTTTGGTGGCAGTAGTTTTCCTGTCCGCGAGCGACCTCCTTCGATGAAGCATTCAAAGTTATAACCTTCTTGGAGAAGCGTATCGATATATGACTGGACCAGTGTCGTGTATAACACATCATCGCCGAATGCTCTTCGGATCCACATGGCACCGGCGTGCTGCAGGAATTCGCCCAAGACGGGTATATTCAAGTTGTCTCCCGCCACTACAACCGGTAATGTCAGGCCCAGACGGTAGCAAATGAGCTGGAGGGAGACGTAGTCAACGTGTGATCGATGACTAGGCAAGAAGATGATGCTCTGCTTCTTTTGGGCCGCTACTTCAGCAACCTTGCGCAGTCGCAAGACCTCTTCGCTGGAGACATGGATACCTTGGTGGTAAGCGCGTGTCAACAGCTGGGTAGCCAAATAATAAGCACCACGAATGAAAGCCTTGCTTTCCATTTTGCAAATCATGTCATCAGTCCATTTGTCTGCAAGCTGTTGGAGTCCTGACTCAATCTCGTTGAGTCGTTCAGAACGTTTAGCGCCATAGTCTTTACTGTCCCTTGGCAGCATACCCTCGCGCTCTTCAACGGCTACACGGTGCTCAGCAAGTCGGCTGATCCTTTGCTGAAGGAGAGGAGCTGAGAGAACCATGTTCTTCATATTCTCCGAGAATCCGGAGTAGAAGACCGGTTGACCGATAACATTATCATATGCACGCCATCCTTGACCGGACACGTAGAGAGAAACCTCGCGAAGAAATCTAACAGGGTGTCAGTCTACGTCAAAAGAGCCAGAATAGATGGGCACGTTTCATAGCGACTATGATGACGAAGGCAAGGGGGGCATTACCGGAAGGGCTCAGAGCGGAATGAGGCAAACTTGTCCATCAAGGCCTCCTCCTTGCCCTCGGGAATCTTCTTGGGCGGTTCAACATAACCACTGGGCTGAAGAGTGACTTCATCGCCTAGGATCTGGAGATCAGGTGCCGAATTGATCGTTGAGTCGGCATCGGTCTCGTTGTGCGACATGGCTGGCGTTTCTCGTCAAAGCAAGTAGTAGGTACTGTAGGAGTCCGAGACTTGATTGAACCGAGGTATCGACAATCAGTTACTGTTTGATATCGAAAGCACCATCGCAAAGTAAGTGACAAAGCCGCGTTGAAAGTTGCTGCAGCCTCGGATTGATGAAGATTACAAAAACATTTACCGCCTTCTACTATCAAAGAAGATACAAACAAGATCCTAGGAGTTCGTAACCGACGGGAGTCGCGATGAGATGGCATTGGCCAAGTGGAGACAAGGCGAGACGAGGCTTGACTCTACCGAGCAAGCGGCATGTGATGGAAGGGGGAAGGAGCTTGGGCCCCACTGCCGTCTCATTTCCCCAGAAAATTACTTGCAGAATCGCGGCATCTTTCCGCTAACTAAACACTTTTTTTTTTCTCCGACCTTGACCTTCTGACTTCATCCTCGACCGCCCACTCCCCGAGCTACATACACCTTGGCGATCATGACTAGCGCAGCGCAACAAGCTACGCAGAATCTGCTGGCCAGAGCGCATTCTCCTGATAGCGCAAATCGCATCTATTCAGAGAAGATACAACACCGTCCGCTTCACCTTCGACCGACCTCTCCTCCGCCAGCTACCATCAATGCCCGCGCCGCACGCCGAAAGACTCGCCAAGACAAGAAAGAGAAGCAGAAGCAAAGGCCCAAGCCGCTATCATCAAGGGAAAAGAGAAATTTAGGTCTTCATGATATACCCAAAGATGGCCAAAAATATCACATCTACGAGCCTTTGAGCCAGTTGTGGCTAGGATATGCTCAAGAGCTGCTTGGAAATGACATCTTCACCGGAGGGCCTAGCGCAGCAGTAAAGCTGGCGAGCGCTGAGTTTCATGGTGCTCCTATCAAAGTTGTGCGAAGCCATTGCCCGGGCCGAGTTGGCATCCAAGGAATTGTTGTCCGAGACCGCAAGTTTGTCTTCGAGATTATAACCAAAAAGAGGGGAGTCAAGGTCGTCCCCAAAGAAGGTACTATCTTCCTAGTTGAAGTCTCAATCAAGGAAGAAGCCACGAGTGACGAAAAGGGTCCTCAGAAGCAGTTTGCTTGTGAGATCCTCGGAGATCAAATGATGTTGCGAGCACCAGACCGGGCGAATAAGAAGTTCAAGGCCCATTTTCTTACCAATATCTGAAAATTCCTCACCACCTCCATAAATAATCACACTGCCAATTACTGTATTTCGGACTGGCGCGGCCATATGATCGTCTCCTCATGCGCCTCGCAATTATATCGGTCAATCAACATGATTCGCGCCCCCCCAAGTACCCATTCATATCGGACGGCACCCAGGTGGACATGGCAACCAAAGTTACTTTCGTCATTCAAGTTTATTTGCCCAATCCAGAGCATCCCACCAGCTCGCTCGGTTGATCTTCCAAATGGCCGATACTGGAGAAAAAGGGCGTTCGCCCCAAACACTTGAAACGATTGAGCTCATTTTGGCATTCTCCTCTTCTCAACTTAGTTTACTTCAAGGGCGTCCTTGAAGGAAACCAAGTTCGCCATGCCCTTCTGCGGATGCCTCTCTTCTTATGTCCGTATCACGCCGTCGAGCGAACCACGGCAGCTGTCGCCCTTTTTGTGTGGCACGGTGATTCGCACATCTTTGATGTTGTTCTTCTTGGCAATCATGATCACAATCTGCGCTTGTAGACATGTGGGCGGAATAAGAGTGTCAAGAGCACTTGTTTGGTCCAACTTGATGTTGGTAAGCTTTATTACAACTAGAAACTGGGAAACCTAGATTTTGAATTAACACTCCAATCAACAGGCATTTTTCTTGTTCTCTAGCATTCATGCTCTCTATTATCTGAAGGTCTCCGTTTCGAGACGCGATATCACAGATTACGTTCTGACGTGGACAACGATGATGGCAACTTGGTGCCTCCTGATCATGAACGTGGCCTACTGGTCTATTTCATTCCGCCAGTGCCGAGGTCAAGCTAAGTCATCCAGCGACGAATTTGAGTACTGCATCAGCACGATCGACTGGGGTGGATGGTGGGTGCTTGTAATCTGCTGTACATTATCTATGTTTCACTTAGCGTGAGATACTCTTCCTAAGATTGAAGATGTGGAAGCTAACTGTACAAGGTGCGAATGGTCTCATCGGTACTTTACGGCCAGGGGCGGGTATTTGAGTCAGTTCTGATGGACTTAGTATTTATGAGCTTGCAGAGTGCAATGGCTACGGAATTACAAGAAAGCAAGAGAGGAATTCAGAAAGTCTATCTGATCCTATGGAAGGTTGCTGCAATGCTTTTGATCGGATGGTTGTTTGACTTTCCCACAGCGGAGATCTGTATAACCTTACGAAATGGATGTTTAGATAATGAAAAGCGAAAAGATCAGAAGGAAGAAATGTGTGAATGAAGGAAAAAAGCAAGGAAGATCTCGACTAGACTCAATGATAAATCACCTCGCAAGCAATCGGAGCTATGGAGCTGCTATATTACCTGCCTACTGGGTAACAAAAGAATTGTCTTCCCAAGATCAGGGTGCCAAAATAAGAGAGTCTAAATAATAGTCTAAGTAGGCAGAAGATGACTAAAATATTTCGTCTCCTAAGCCCTGGCGGTCAATCGCTATGTTCCTGATACTTGTCTCGATAAGTTCAAGGAAGTCAAGTGCCAAATACTACAGACTAGGTGCATGGAACAAAATTATTGAGACCAATCGCTTTCCTGTGTGCATTCGTATCAAGATTCAGGCTGTCAAGCCCTCTGATGGCCGACATTTTGATTCGTGGCTTACAATTCCGAATTTGTCTTGGTGGATGTTTTACAATTCAATTTTCTGATGAGGTTGGAGTACTCGGCACGCGACGCGATTTAGCGCGACGTGACGTGAATGAGACTGGGCAAGAGGCCCAGGTCAGATAGGCGAGAATGAATGTCATACAGTGCCTTACTGTGTGACGACACGTGACCCCTCTCTACCTTAATTCCCGTCTTTGCCACGTTCTAGGTACCTTAATTGATAGATCGATACGGAGATTAGATATTGATCAATCCTTGATGGAAAAAACACAGAGTCCCCCTGACCCAAGTGCTCGGTAGCGAACAGCCTGGGTATATAGTTAGCTAGATTACCCTCGGCTTTGAATCTTGAAAGAAAAATCAAGACTGAAGTGGACAAGTCTCAATGGCTTCTGCATCTCGTCCCCATTTTCGTTTAGGATAGGTTCAGCCCTGAACCAGAAATTCAATCTGTCAAAGTGCCGGTAAATTGTCGGCTGGTAGGTGGGTAACAGAAGAATTATCCTCGGTGGCTCAGGTTGTCAAAATAAAACAGTCTAAATCCTGGATTAGACTCCGGGCAAGATGACTAAATTATTTCGTCTCCTATGCTTTTAGCAGTCAATTCTTCTGACGGGCGGGCTGCGTAGCACTACGGGTCATACCTAATAACCCCACTAATCAAGACTTTCAGTGAGGTGGCCTGGACGGAAGCCCAGTGCCAATCTTGCTAGGAAAGGTCGACTCCGTCACCCAAAACCCTTCCAGTCGATTTTTTTCCTTTCCCCGTTTAAAGGTTTACATCACCACCGCAACATCACACGAAACTCTTCTCGTCGGATCTCCGAAAAAAACAAGAAACATCATTTCACTCAACAATTACGTCGCGCTCCCCCGCCGATCACAGCTAGTAACACTATCATTACGATATCGCATATCGCCTTGCCCGCCGCCTTCGTCTCTCGACTATCGCTACAAAGCATCGTTTTGTGCTCTCGTGTCCCCCGACCAGTCCTAAAGCTTTTACCTTGTTGCTCCGCGTTCGTTCCAGAGCTCCTAGCAACCAATCTTTAGCCATATTGCAGCCTAAGGCCACTGTCCCTCAGCTGTATCTTCTGCCGATTCGACCATTTGCGCCCCTTGACCTCGAACGACAACGACGTTCCACACTCTCTCCCGTCCGCTCGAATTCTCCGTACTCGAGACGACGATTTTGAAATTACTTTAGCATCAGCTTTGTAGTAGCGTACTCAATATGCCGACTAATCTCCCCTCGAGCTTTGCCTCGGCTGCCGCTGGTCAGAACACCACCAGTGCTAGAGGAGCAAGGATTGATGTAAGGGGAAATACTTCTGGAGACTGGTAAGTTTGTTTGGGCGTCTGTACCTGAACTTGATATCATGGTGGGATGTTGTGCTGCATACTGTGCTCCCCAGTCACCCCGCGTGTAGTGTGGTGTACAGGAAACTCTATGCTTCGCAGTCCTTGGGTTGTTTGTCGCGGATGGCGCTTCAGGATACCAGGGACGATCGTCATCTGAGAATATGGCCGAAACCTATGTCCTGCCTATATCAGGGTGCTCCTAGTGCAGTGTCTCACTGTCCATCAGTTGCAACACCTACTTGGCTATCACGCACTCTTCTCCACTATACTTGAACTTGATCGGCATCAATGAACCATCACTAACATTACTTCAGGGCTAGAAGAGATGGTCGTTCCGCTAATGGTACACTCACCTTCCGTCGGTCATCTACAACTCCCATCGGCCAGCCATCATCTCAGCCGCCGCCCTCAACGGATCATGCAGTTCAGCCCCCCGCTACTGCCGAGAGTCCTGTGACTGCGTCCGACTCGACATACGAGCTGCCCCCCGCGCGATACACAAAGGAGGAGCTCATTGACATTTACCGCTCACAAAAACCGGCCGTCGATGTGTCTCACCTCCTCGCCCCAGGATGGAATCCTGGACAAGTGAATGGGCATGCTCCCAGAGGCTGGGGCAAACCTAATGACAATCATATCCCGCAGGAGCCTGGTGCCTGCTGGGATGATTCTGGCGATTCGACTCCCATGGGATTGCAGGATATGTCGATGGAGGAGAGAGAGGTGCGACAGTCCCCACTCTACTGTTGGTGTTCTAAGTTTGTACTAATGACTAGTAGGTTTTTAATACTGATATTAATTCGCCGCTTAAACCTCCGACCCAAAACAAAGACGCCCACCAAAGTGGTGCCAACGGACGTAAAGCATCTTTATCCCAAGGCACTTCCAACACTTTTGGTGTCAGTTCACCCTCATCGGCCACACGACCCGGTACACGACGACGTGAGACAATTGAATCGAACCCGTTTGGTGGGAGCGCTTTGGCATCTCCCACTGCTGCTGGCCGCTTCAACCGTGACGACCCACCGCTCTGGTTTCCACGTAGCAAAACCGACCTCAAGGACGCTGAAGGCGACGAATCCGACGGTGAACCTGTTTCCCGTGAGGCTCCTGGAAAGCTGCCCCCATTCGGCAATTTGATGCGCTCCAACACAGGTGGTATTGGGGGTGTTGGTTCCATTTGGCCACCTTCTAACCAGACAACGCCTGGTGCAGGAGGATTCGGCAACTTCGCACTGACAGGCTCGCCTGCCGTTGGTGATAAACGTGTTGGCGGTGCTGCTAGTGGAAGCAGGCTGGCTCATCTAATTCCCAAGGACAGTTCGGATAACCTGAGTGGCAAGGCTGCCGAGGGTCAAAGCCCTCTTAACCAGTCATCTTGGCGATCTCGCCCACGAACCGACACTGATCCTTTCGGAGACGAAACTTTATCAGGCAGCGCGGTACTCAGCGGCGCACCGGACACTGACACTGCCGGCTTGCAAAATAATCCAGCAGGTGCAATGGGTACACCCATCAAGGGCTCTGCAGCCGATTTTGGCATGTCAGGCCTTAGCCTTGCTGGCCATGGCGATGACGGTCCTCTGAGCCCTTCCGAGACGAATCCCTACCGTAGCCCTCCAGCCGACCGTCATGGCCACGACGGCGATGGCAACGAGGACAAATCTCATGGCGCGGGTCTCCACGATGCGCCTTCGAACTTTGGCTCTATTGGTCGCGGCTTTGGTGGTTATGATGGAGGAGATCGTAGTCAGACCTCCAGCGTGGGTGCCAAGGCTTACCCTTCGCTGAATACCTTGTCAGGTTGGCCCGCACCTGGTGGTCCTGCTATCGGGACTCCGGATCGCGAACGACCCAACCTGGGCGCTGTGTTCGGAAATTCTCTTTTCAGTCCTATGGGGGAGCTTCAGTCGCCTGGGCTATCAAACCTCAACAATGTCTTCGGCCCTGCTAGCGCCGGTGGCCTTGGGACTGGAAGTATCGGCCGTGGTAGTAAGATGGGTTCTCTGTTTCCTGCCGCCATGCAGGCACAGATGCAGACTCATGAACATGACAATAATCTGTCTGATTCTCTGCCCGACCTTCGCCAGAGCAATCCTTTGGGTGCTATTGGCCGGAGCAACTTTGGTATTCCAACCCGCGACACCGAGAGCCCAATGCGACCTAATCGTGGAGTTTTTGAGGAACTGTTCCCTTCTAGTGACGCCTCGCGAGCTCAAGGTGTTTTCACCACTGGTGATTCCAGCCATCCTACCTCTGCCGCAACAGCTCCTCAGTCTTTCACTCCTATTGGTGGTGGTTTGCCTTTTGGAGGTAGCCAAGGTGGCGCCGAGCCCCCTTCTGCACAAGTTCGACAGATGGTTATGCCGGATCGTATGAGATGGGTTTATTTGGATCCTCAAGGACAGGTTCAAGGCCCCTTCACTGGTCTGGAAATGAACGACTGGTATAAGGCAAACTTCTTTACGCCTGACCTTCGTGTCAAGAAAGTGGAAGACCCAGAATTCGAGCCCCTAGGCCAACTCATCAGGCGTATTGGGAATTCGCGTGAGCCCTTTTTGGTGCCTCAGATCGGCATTCCCCACGGTCCTCCTGCGCAGCCTGGACCATTCCCTTCTCAGGGGAACAGTGGTGTGGTTCCACCTCTGAGCGGTGTGTTCCCTAGTTTTGGACGTACCTTGACTGCTGAGGAACAGAACAACCTGGAGAGACGCAAACAGGAAGAGCAGTATCTCATGGTTCAGCAGCGAGAATACGTGATGCGCGCTCAGGCCATGAACAAATTCCCTATCCCTGGTCAAATGCTGCAGCACCACTCTAGTGCTCACAGCCTCCAGAGCCAGCCAAGCTTCGGAAGTATTTCGTCCCCCAATCCCATCGGAATGCCAACCCATCAGCAACCAATCGGCGCTATGCCTCCCTCTGGTAGCTTCTTTGAAGGAGCTGGGCCGGTAGGCAGCCAGCCATCTGCCCCCTCTGGGTCGGGAAACGGAGACCCCTTCAGGGATGATGATTTGACTGGCTTTGCGAACACTGAGCGTCAGGTGCTTGCTAATCTCCAGAGCTCTGGTGCTCCTCAACCCATTGGAGCCCCTGCTGCCGAGACTGGCGCACGCGCTGGACTACCCGAGACCGAGAACCTCGAGCAAGATCCCGAAGGATTCAAGCAACGTCTGCAGGAGTTCGAGCAATATCAAGCTCAGATTGAGGCTGAACAGGCTGCCAAGGCCGCAGAGGGTAGCGAGGAGGAGCCATTTGAAGAGCTGTCCCCTGCCGATGATGCTGCTCCTGAGGAGGACGAGCGACGTGCGGAGGCCCCGGTTCTGACTGGCAAAGCTGCGCGAGCCGCCAAGAAGAAGGCAGCTGAGGATGCTTTATCTCTAACTCAACAGGTCCAGCAAACCCAGGCTGCTGCTGCTGCGGCCGCTGCTCAGCCGGTCGAGCCCGATATGCCGATGCCATTCCCTCCTCCCGCCTCCACTGGAACCCCTCTTCCCGCCCCGACTGCCCAACGAGCTCGCTCGAATCTCCCTGAACAGTACAACCGTTCTCAGACCGGAACCCCTGACAGTGCTTCCGTTAATGCCCAGCCACCACCCCTAGCACCTTGGGCTAAGGATCACGGAGCTGAGGCTCACAAGGGCCCCAGTCTGAAGGAGATCCAAGAGGCCGAAGCTCGCAAAGCAGCTAAGGCCGAGGAGGCCGCCGCTGCTCAAAGGAAGGCTATCCTCGAGCAAGAACTTAGGGAGCGCGAGAAGACAGCCGCTGCTACTAACGCCGGTCTACCTGCCACTAGCACTTGGGGTCACGGCTCCCCTGCCCCGGCTGGTAGCCCTTGGTCCAAGCCTGGCCCGTCTAAAACTACTTCTGCTGCGCCCACAACTTCAGCCTCCAGCAAGAAGACACTTGCCGAGATTCAACGTGAGGAAGAGCTTCGTAAGCAGAAAGCCAGCCAAGCAAGCTCCCAGGCCGGTACACCTACCAGCGTATCCAAGAGCTACGCCAACCTTGCCGGCAAGCCAGGCCAATCCACTCTGACTAACGCTGCGTCTGCTGCGGCCGCGGCTGCTGCCGCCGCTACGGCTCCTCCCCCTGGGAGCGGCTGGGCCACTGTCGGCGCCGGTGGTAAGGTGAAAGTTCCTACCGGTCCGTCGTCCCAAAGTCGATCAGTCAGCGCCACCAACATCAAGCCTATCACTTCGCCTACAAAGCCAATGTCTAAGCCAGTTGTTTCGGGTAATGGCAAGGCTGATACTGGTAATGCTGCCACGGAGGAGTTCAATAAGTGGGTTGGCCGGGAGCTTTCTAGGGGTATCACTGCTCCCATTGATAGTAAGTCAAATGTATTACAAGCCAACAAGAATGCACTAACCATAATCTTCAGTCGCCAACTTCCAGTCTGCTCTCGATATTCTACCTCTCGATACTAGTTTGATCGCTGATGCTGTTTACGCCAACTCAACCACCATGGACGGCCGTCACTTCGCTGAAGAGTTCGTCCGCCGCAAGAGGCTTGCTGAACGCGGAGTTGTCGAGAAGCAGCCCGATAACAAGGGAGGAAACGGTGGCGGCTGGAGCGAAGTCGCTAAGAAGGGAGGTCCCAGCAACTCTGCCACCGCCGCCGCTGCTGCTACCAGCCCTCGTGACGATCCCAGCATGCAGGCCGCCGGCTTTAAGGTTGTACCTGGCCGAAAGAAGGGCAAGAAATAGATGCATTTGCCTTTGGACCGGTGGATTAGATAACTCGAGTCCTACCGCACCCTGGCTATTCGATGTGCTCCTTGTTTGAAAAATGGTGGACGGCCTCGCTGTAGAAGTCTGAAAAATCAAGTGTGGGAAAATGGCTTACTTGTGGGTACGAGAGATGTTTGATGAAATCATGGAGTAGTGTTAGGAGGTCAATTATCGGGTATGGATGCAGCGAAATATGCTAAAAACAGCGCTGCCAACAGAACAGTCCCTCATAATCATCTGCGCATGCTAGGTTGGTGACAGAAGAAATACCCTCCAATACAAAAATAAAGCAGCCTAAGTGGTGGCCTAAATCAACAGAAGGTGACTTAATTATTTCGTCTCTTATGATCAGGGCACCCTGACGGTCTTTCGTAGAAGTTGTTTCTGATGTTAGATGTCCTCTTAGCATGTGCAACGATCCAGACACACCGTTAAGGAATATAGTAACAAGTGGTTGAAGTCATTGCCTTTTGTAATTCATTGTCTATGTTATCGTTCTACTGTTTATCATGCCTAGTGCGTTTCTCATGACCTAGCCAATTCTTTTTCACTATCTTCTTAAGAAATCCTCAAGCCTTCCATCAAGTTTTCCAAAACCTTCCAGCCTTCACTCCCCTCCCACCGTTCCTTGCCCTTGCCCATCACACTCCTCACTGCGCTTCTGGCTTTACCCTTCCACTTGCTGCCAATAGTCTCGACGGAGGGGCCCCAGTTCTCATACACGGACACCAGCTCGTCGGTTCTCTGCACCACGACTGTCCATGCACCCTCATCAACAGTCCAATCTCGTGCCTCGTCTTCTGTAGTGGCAGCTGCGCCGGGCAAAAGGCCACTGCCTGACGAACCAAGGACTGCGCGCCACGCTCGCTCTGCTGCATCGATTGCACCAGAGTAATCCCTTCTCCAAGCACGGAGTCGTGAGACCAGTGTCCAGAGCTCCGATCGCTTTGTGATGAGTGGCACGACCTCCTCCTCAACCAGGCGCATTAGTAGTCTTTCGGGTGTTCCACGAGGAGGATCGTAAACACCGGAGCTTGACGTTTTCTCCACAGAAAGAACCGCATCTTGAAGCAGCGCTCCAAGAACGTCTGCGTCGATGGCATCTTCAGTCTTGCGGATGCGAATGATGTGCTTAAGAGCAAGGATCATGTCTGGCAAAGCAGGCGGTTGGACACGAGAGGCCAAAGTGAGCACATTATCCCAGATTCGCCAGTTGTCGTGAGCGATAGAAGCACCTCGCTTGTAAGCAGTGAGGGACTGGCTCACAAGAGTTGCCGGGTCACGATCTGAGGGCTTGGAAGAGCTGGTAAGAGCAACGTCGTCCTCTTCATCCTCAGCAGGAACCGGTGCAGGGGTTTCATCGGTGGTGATGGGGTTCTTCTTGGCCTCGGCAACGACTTCGCAGTACAGACTCCAAAGGGCACTTCCCAAATTGCTCCATGTTCGGGCATCTTCGCCTCCAGCCGTATCGCTCGCAGACCCAATAGAGCGGTTAAATGCCTCAGCAGCATCGCCAAATTGCGCAAGGCGCAGACTGATATCTCCAAGACGACTCCACATCTCAGGGCTCAGACGATTAACAGATGTCGCCTTCTTGTATGCTTCGCGTGCCTTCTCCCACTCCTTGTTCTGCAGGTAGTATTCGCCAAGCGACTTTTGAGCTCGAGCGAAACGATGCTTGGAGATTTCCCAAGCACGCTCGTAGTAAGAGGGATCATTCTCAATATCACCCAGAATACAGAATAGTCGCGGGGCGTTCGGTGGTGAAGGCTCACGTTCAGGTCCAGAAAAGTCAGCAGCCTTGAGAAGGGTCACGTCATCGCCAATATCCTCATCGTCGGGATCCGAGGGAGAAGTTTCTCCAGTGCGATGGAACAGCCTCCATCGGATGATTCCCTTGGCTTTCTCTTCGCCGCCACTGCCACGGCCATCTTCATCTTCGGAAGCAGCAGCACTGGCGAGACAGAGAGCGACTTCGGCCCACAGTCGAAGTCGCTTGAAGATCTCGAGAGCAGAGGCCAAAGAACCAATACCAGCCCAAGCATAAGCGAGCTCAGACTCAAGGTGCCATCTGGGGGGAGAGCAGATGGCGTGAATATATTCAAGACGCACGTGTGCAGGGGCGGATTCTGAAGCTTTTGGAGCAGGGAGGAAAGATGTCGGCTTGCTCTGCAGTGGCGCGGGAGCTTGATCAGGGGCAGTGACTTGGATGGCTGGAGCATCCGCCTCAGTATCCTGCTCTTTTGCCTCGGCCTTCTGTTGGGCTTCGGCAGTTGTGTCAGTCAGAACCTGATCCGCCACAGCTTGGAGCTGAAGTACACCTCGCTCAACAGTTCGACTGCGGTGCACCTCGATTCGAGAACGGACCAACAAGGCGTGGGTATAAATTTGCCAGTTAGTCGACTTATCTCCGATAACTCGCACAGCATAGGGAAGGACCTCTGCTGAAGTCAAGGTATCTATAGGTGAGAAAGCATCCTTGAGAGTAGCCTCCGTTAGAAGTATAATCTGGTCGAGAGGCGAGAGTTGAGGTTGGTCGTCAGGCGAAAGCTCGGCCAAGGCAGCGGGAAGAGAGGCCTTCTTATCTTCTACACTCTCCTCCTTTGAGAACTGGATCTCCTCGTGCAGAGTATCATCGTTCAGCTGGAGAGCATCTGGCTTGGCTTCCTCCTCCACGCTATCAGCCTGTTGTTCGGCGCCACTTTTGGCCAAAACAACAAGCTGACTGATGCTGTTTTCTTGAAACTTGGTCCTTTTTCCTAGAGCACCTGAGAGTGCATATTCGAGGCCACTTGTCTGAGATGCCTCCTTGAGAGCTTCTCTGGCTTTATCGTCACGACCTAGCAGAATGTAGTTGTTCGCTGCTTCTACAAGGAACTGCACCTTTTCTTCGCGACTCCAGGCATCATTGTCCGATGCCCAAACCTCTTCTCCAAGAATCTGTGCTCGTACACCATCGATGCCAGCCAAAATCTTGGATGCCAGAGTAGGCACGTCACTCCACTGAGAGCTTCGAGCAAAGTTGGAGCCATGTCCCAAGCTGGGTTGTGTCAGGAGCTTGTAGTGCCATACGTCGACTCGAAGTCGTGTCCAAGCAAGGCTACACTTGAGAGGCTGGTCTTCGGAACGAATCTCAACGATATCATTAGTAGCCTGGTTAAGTTCCTGTGTAAATATGAATCGTGCCAGGGCAAAGAGCTCTAAGTGAGGGATATAGGCGTATGGTGATACGCCATCAACCTCGAGATAGCTAAGGCAAGTCTTGTGGAGATGAGCATGGGACTTTTTGGTGTCGTTCAATTGAACACTAGCCCATTCCTTGGTGAAGAGGGAACTGAGAGCAGCCGACTCAGGGAGAACAGGGCCAGTGACATTGACTTGGAGGAAGGCATTCAAGGCAGCGAGACCAACTGATAGAACCTGTGGGACATCTGCCGTTGTCTCGGCTGTGTAGTCGGACCCAGAATCGGAAGAAGCCAACCGAGTGACGAGGGCCCTGATTAAAGCCCCGGCCACCGGAGCAGGGTCGGATACGGAACCGGAGGTCGAGCTCGGAGCTTGCTGAGACTCGACACTGTCTGCTTTGGAGAGTAGAATTTGGGCATAGCGGCCGTTGCGCAAAGCGCTTCCATACTCGCCCATAGCACTCATCGCTTTATCTGTGCTATTTGCAACACAGATTTTTTCTTCGTCGGCCAAGAAGGAAAAAAAGGTGCAAATTGGGCGTCAACGTTATAGCGGCTTAAAAGCAGGGTTAGGTCTTGGCCCCGGCCTCGCACTGAAGGAGATGTCCTTCTGATTCTTTGTTTTTTTGGGGTGAAGCTTGAAATAAAATGCGCTATTCTGTATCGTCAATGACAAGCAGACAAGTAACCGCAACTTGTTCGCCTGGTGGTGTAATTTTTGGTGGATGTTGAAAGTTGTGCCCGCTGTTTACTAATACAGTCGCAGCCTTCCATTGACTTCGCTGTACTAGAATTTTTTTTTTTTTTTTTTTCTGCCTCTTTC